TTAAACTTGGTGATATTAGTTTTGATTAATATCCGCGGAAACTTTGATGTAAAATTGTGTTGCGTCTCAATGAAATGTCCTAAATATAGCTCTAGAATGCAGTGAAATATGACTCTCAAAGTACATGTGATATTGAATTATAAGGCACAGTGGGAACGTTAACCTTTCGAACTAATTTAGTATAAATTTTTTCTTTCCTCACTCACTATGAGCAAAAATGTATCAATGAATTGTCTGAATATATCACTTTAATTGCTGCTCCAATTTTCCCAGTCACACTTTCCAATTAGATTCAGCAACAATCTCTCCCTCTCCCTGTCTCGGTTTTCATGCCCTCCTGCCATTTCTGTAATAAGTCATGTAATAAGTTGTCTAGAGGCGACAGACTGACGGTGTGTGAATAAGAAATGCTCATGTGAGGATTTGAGCTATAGAAAGGGAACTCCAGCTCTATGATTTACGAGATTTTACAAATCAGAGGCGAATTTTGGTGCAATCACGGGTGAAGTTCTACAGGGAAAATTGCCAGACGACAAATGCGTCTCTGTGGAAAAGTCTAGACACGCCGAAAGTCGATACAGGAGCGGAAATAGCAGAGTCATTTTGTCTCTCCTTCATAGTGTGAAAATTGAGAGTGAATCTGACATGGAAATTTCTTATAATGAATTAAAAATTCTTTCACTGAAGCTCCTTTAGCCAAACACTGTGACCAGAAGTCAAATCCGGTCATCGAACTATACCAAGTGTGACAAAACAATTCTGTATATGAATTTATACTTTATGAACTCTTCAACATTCGGGAGTGACTGTAAAATGCAAATGTTCTGGCGACACCAATTTTTCTCGCTGCCATAACGCAAAACTTAACACTTGCGTAAAATTATTTGTGTATTTATTGTAATTAGGCGAGAATTTGTGTACATTACCACTGAAAATGTGCTCATTTTTGCGCCACGGGAATGCTGGAAAAGAGTCATTTCCATGCTAAAGAGATGTTTTTGGCGAATTGTGAATGCAATTTATTGATGGTCTTTATTTAATGAACAGTATTGTGAGTGTATTTCTGAAAATCAAATATTTTACTTCTGTCTATTGACTTCTGATGGGTTTTGAATGGGTTAAAATACCCAATGCGATTCGAAGATGATCGTATGTAAAGGCGAGAAATGGTCGCGATCGCTGAATGTTTTCAATTCAAGCTTTACGGGCTAGTTCACTTCCCCGCCTCATTTCGCCACGAAATTCGCCGATCACGTACAAATCGACGGCAACATTCACGAACTGTCCACTCGAGAAGTAAGAATATTAAGTGGCGGTTCTCCCTATCGGCAAAGTCTTGGCAGTTTGAACTCGACTCTCGATCGCAAGACATGTCGAATGGTATCAGTTTCGAGATGCAGTGATTACCAAGTATTATATAAAGTGTTTGATCAGTGAATTACTAATGGAAAGTCTTCGAAATAAGTGTTTGTCTCCAGCTGACTATTCAGGCTTTCCACGAAAGTTGATAAGACAGAGATAACTGACTCTTTATATGACCGAACTTCATGACTGTGTTTGCAGTGTGATTTATTAGATTTTCAACCTATTTTTCCACTAAGAATGTGCTGCAATTTGCATTAAGAAAATAATTTTCCGAGTGTATTTACCGAAGCTCCATTCATTGAGCGAAGACAGTAATTTCACGTATTCACTTAAGCAAGCGTTGTGCAGAAAAAAGTGTTTGCACAAGACTCAATATTTGGTGTGTATTTTTAGTAATAGACTCTTGTGGCCAGAAATCTCACTTCTGAGAATTCCTCTCCAATTGACGTCCACCAAGGAAGAGTGCTAATTTCGGGAGAGTCAATAAATTTATACTGTGTTGGCAAGAGAAGACCAGCATCCACAATGGTTGTCCACAGAAATCCTCCGCCGCCGACCAGATCCAAATTTCTCATGAGCACCTCGAGACAGGTAAAAGAGTCGCACTTCTGCTCTATCTTGGCAAATGTCCAATATACTTTTAAATATCATGACACGAGAACGATTTGCATGAAATTATCATTTAACTTTTGGTTCGAGTCTCCCAGAGTTGGTTAACACGCATAGATCGCCTCGAGTCAACCCTTCTCCAATGGATGAATCATATTTCAGATGTGATCTTTTCAATGTCAAAGAAATTCTTCATCGCGCGCAATGGGTTTATTTCTCCGATGATTCGATCGCGAGTTCCGTGAAAGAGAATTCCGCTGGATGGTGATTCATGCTGGAGAAAATGTGCGACAACACTTTGATTCATCCGCACTTCATTCATAAAAATCCTCATACTATTTCCACTCGAGAAGGTAATTGAGCTCAAACTCCTCGTCACAACCATGCAGAAATGTTAGAAGGCGGTGGGCAAATCGAGCTATTGTACGTAATTGAAAACACTCTCCGAGAACCTGAGTGTGTTGGTGTCTTTGACAATTTCATTGCAATGCTTCAACTGACCCAGGGCAATTTATCGTGCAAATATATTCCACTTTTATTCGATCGCCTTATTTATTCGATCGCCTCATACTTTTCAGCCATGAAAGAGATGTTATGTCTGATTGAGTGTAATTGGACTAGAATTATAATAGAAGAATTTCATATAGTTTTTTTTTCTTTTGCATCCTTTCTTTGAACTTTGTCAATGTATTTTTATCAAGCTTTCTTTTGTTTTTAACGCGGTATTCACTTTTCATAAGAATCCCTAAACCTCTTTCTTGATTTCTTGGTTTTTCTTGATTTCTTTCTTACCCTATTTTGCTGTATTCTGTTAAGTAGGATTTTTCGTCTTTTGCGATGTTGTTTAATCTTATTCAATCGATCATATCCAATTGGCTCTATTCTGGGACCTCCAAGAGTTTATCAAACTAGAAGTGTGTGTCCTTAATTTTCCTGAATTCCATGAATTATAGGTACTGCGATGAAAACCTTTACTTACACTTGCTTTCATCTATCATCTGTGTCCCTACCAACTCTATCATCAACACACACACGCATTCGCCGTCACACCACACAATCGCGTTGAATTATTTTTATATAAAAAAAAACGATTCACTCTGCGTGGGGCTCAATTGGCGACTCTGCCACTGTTGCCTGTGTATTGGGTTTATTTTCAACAATACCCCACTCTTTTTCCGTGTGCTTCATTTGCGGCAACAATAATCAACACGAGTCTGTGGCTGTTCTTGAATTTTCAGTTCTATCAATGCTCGAGCCTGGCAAAGTCGTGGTGTTCGCGCGATAAATTCCGCGGTATGTGATAAATCTCACTGCTTTGAGACGCGCTTCTCTGATATCCGGTATGAACACGTGGTAATAGTGGATTATTCTACATCATGGGCTTCCGAAACCCTTGTGACTGAGCTGGAAATCCTTCGAAGTGATTCAGTGAACTTTGGCGGGTTGTGCAACAGCTTGACAGTTCGCGTTGTTTGTGTGAATCTGAGTCTCTAGGTAGAGTGAGACGATGTCTCATAAAAATTTGAACCACTGACGCGCATGACGCTTTTGCTACCTTATAATCCTTCTTTCGTGGCAAATTCCGCACAGAAAACGTGTGTGAATGGCAGAAAAACATACTCTATTCTCGTATAGTCAAGGTCTCGGCGCAGAGATGCTCTCTGCAGAGTCTCTGTGTTGTAAATCTCCGGTAAACTCTCAATGAATGAAGTCTATGACAATAAAAGCACACATTAGAGAGTGGCCAATTTTAGTTTTTTTCACACATATCCACGTGAAGCATACCAAATTGCCTCTGCAGTATTTTGATCACTTTACGTTTAATGGGAAGTAACATGAAATTGCAATCAATTGTCCCACTTGAAGTGGCGCCAAATGTTTCCTCTCGTGTGTGATCATCAATTGATTTTTCACACTCGCTAGTGGAGCATTGAATTACACAGTCGGAAACTCATCAGGAAATCCCTTACTAATGGGATAGGAATTCTTCATACATATACATAGGTATATTGCATTCGCAAGCTAAGTAGCAGAGTTGGCTGATGAATCACTATTTGTGGACACCTTACTGAGGTGGCCTGAGTTAATTTTAATTTTTATCTACTGAACGTGAGAAACAATAAATCTACATTAATCTCCAAAGAACTCGTCTAGCATGAATATTCACATGTCATGAAGATACTTCTAGGAATTCTATTCTGTTGATAGCCTAGGCAAGTAAATTAGATTCCTGAATCGCACTGGAAATTGCGATAAGTGGTGAAATTGTTCATCTGGCGTGCGTAGGTGAGATATTTGGTCATCTTTTCTCGCCAACAATGAGGAGACACTTTTTCGGAAGCAGTCCCAATCTTCGGGACTTGAGTAACGTGTGGGAATCTCACCCACTGGGTGGTGAGAAGTCCACCCTCAAGATGGAAGAGGCGCGAAAGAAGTTTCTCAGTTCGGTTAGTTGAGTATTTTTGTGTGTTGCTGGAGAAACCAACATGATATCAACACATTACAGTTTTACACTACAAATATCTGTATTTATTCTCTGTGTCTTTTGTCCGTGAGTATTTATATATCTATATTTCTCTTTTTTGTCTCTAATCCCTTCTTGTCTGTCTCCTTGTCCAAGTGCGTGATTGTTGACCATTAGGCGCAGTTTGTTTCACTGAAATTTTCCCGGAATTTTCACTGCCGCAATGACCAAATATTGGCGATTTTCGTTGCATTCTCGTGCTTGAAAATCATCACAGAGAATTTGCCTTGTGCCGACAGTTGAGGAGAAAAGGTGTGCCTAAGACCATGTGTGTGTCTATAATCTCGAATGTTGATAAGAAAATCGGCGTCACAGTTAAAGAAAACAATGACAACTTGTGATTCACACTATTCAATTGATTGAAATGTGGTTTTAGTGAATTTCAGCTGTGCACAAATAATCGTGTGGGTGGTTGTCGAGAGGAAGAGAACACATTCAGTGCCATAAAAGACTATAGGTCTGACTTTTTTTGCTCTTTCATTCGCAATCGAGAATATTCTTTATGTGCTTGTGGAAAAATTGCGATTTCTTCATCTTATCTATTGTCGAGGGGTATAACAACTTGAGAAAAACTGTGTAGTAAAGTGGACGGACTATTTTGATGACTTGGATATTGAAAAAAATGGCTTTTTGTCACTTTTCAGACAAAATTTATAATATCGACTGTAGCTGGAGTTCTTACTTAAGGCAACAAGTGTAGTATCAATATGAAAAGCAAACTATAGAGAGTAATCAATTGATGAAGTTATTCACCCCATTTCTCTTTCAATCTATTGAAACAGAACTTTATAAGTGGAATTCTTAGTTGATGGAAAATAATTGGCGGGAAAGCAGATTGCGGAAATGCTTACGCAAGTATAGCGGGTTGTTATCGCAAAATATGCACTGAAAAACGTCACTTGTGCCAAATCGTGACTTATCAGGCAATTTTGAGCACGTAAAAAATTTAGCGAGAACGAGGAATGTCGCCTGATACTAAATATTTTTCCCTATGAATCATGAACTTACTATTCTCTACAATCTCACAACAAAATTATGAATAAGTCATGAGAGCTTGTGCAATACGGAAAAAAAATATCGTACAAAAATAAAATCATTCAGAGATATTTTGCACAACCTCAAAAACATACACACTTCATCTTTTATTAATTTTTGCAATGCTAGAAAAGTGACACAAAAAATCCGTCACACTTCTCTAAGCAAGGACGATGTATTCCACGAATCCATTTAAATTTTAAAGTAATTGCATATTAGAGAAAATCGCCTCAACTCTATAACAAAGCCGCCCACGAATTTTTGTGGCACTTCTTGTCATTTCCATCTGTTGTGTGTCTTTTGCGTGTGTAGTTAGTGGTTGAGAACCGCCCAAGAGGTGCAGAACAATACCACATTCTGAGAGGCATACTAAACATGTAAAACAGCCACAAGACAGCTTAACTGACATTCGGTGAATTGCAACATCTACGAAACACTCAACGGAAAAATGTGGGCGATCAAGTTTTGTGCGCCCGATTGATTTACCTGTGAAATTCCTGATTTTGTACTTTTTCACAGATGTCAGATTTTCCGGAAGCTCAATCACACGTGAGTCCAGAAATGGCGGCAATGTTAGAGAACATGCAAAAGAAGAACGCCCTCACGACGGCTTCATCGACTACAGCCAGGCAGAACCTTATCAATTCGAGCTCTATCAAGGAAACTTCTTCATCACTGTCATCGTCGTCCACTTCATCATCGCAGCAGGTAAGAATTTTCACTAGTAACTCAACACTTTTAGATGCTTCAAATTAACCTAAAACCGATTTTCCAGTTGGAAATTAAGATTTTTTCCACGCGAAGTGCCTACTAAAAATCATATATTTTAAATTGGATGAAAACAATATTTATATTGAAATTAAAGCTAGAAAATATAAATAAACTGTTTTTTGTATTCCTGTAATATTGAGTCTGTTGAGTAAAGAATTTTCTATACACTTCATATATAATTGCAGTTGAGGAAAAAGTGCCAAAATCTTACACATAATTTCTCCCCATAACTTTCTTCGCAACTTCCATCAGCTGATTTTCTGATATTAGTGCCAAGTTTACATCTCAAAAGGTGTCTCTTGCTCGCATATGAATATCACTGTCATGTTTAAAAGACAACAAAAAAATCCTCGTCTCTGCAAAAATAACATTTCTTTCGCACACACGCTTTTGAACAAAAGAACCAAAATAATCTTCTCTTGTCAAGGTTGAGCAACTTGTCCAATTCCTTTCGATAATTTATGTGTGTTTTACGTGTGCATTAATTATCTCCCAAGTCGAAGGTAATTTTAGTGCCGAAGAAACGCGCACTCCTCTCAATATCATTTTAAAAATAGTGTAGTTTTAGTGTGCTATATTTGCCTAATTTCTAAATCAGTCTACTGACTTCAATGAATGCCCATTATTTAATAGGAAATGTGAAAATAAACATTGATGACTAACACTGGGTGACGAAGAAATTATTACATTCTGATTTGTGTGTTGGTCTCGCGGCACTCAAATGCGACTTCTTGACCTAAATGTGTTGTGGTGATGCCTTATCAATTTTATTTTTATTCTGGATGACTCAGGAGAAACTCTTAATGCCCATTCAGCATCATTCGTTTGCGAAGAATTGGCTTCTTGAGCTTTGAATAATTGACGATTCTAAAGTGATTTCCTCACTATTCAATTTCCACGTTCGATCAAGCGGAAAAATATTCTCAACAGCCGAAATTACAATAGCAAATCCGGAACTTTTAAAGCTTCTGAATAATTTCTTCTCTAAATACCAAGAACGCCTCTTGGCATGTGACACTGTCTTCTGAGAAGTCACAAATATTGCATTCACGCGAACACAAAGGATTGAACAAATTTGTAAGCATGAGCCAAGAGAGAATCCGAAGAACCAGAATAATATCAAGACTTAGCGCGCGCTTTTTTGTCGCAAACCGCTTCAATGCGATACTGAGAAAGTCAACAAAATTACGTGTTTCACACACTCACTTCAGCTCAGCATCTCCTACACATATATGTATGTATATCTTCACATGTCGCGAAGAGAAGATCACTCCATGAGCTTGCCAAGCCACCGCAGTCGCATTAGAGACTTCGATTGACGAGGAATCTTAACGAACGAATTCTAATCGCCATTTCCGCGCAATTTAACATTAATTCTTAGTGTGATTCTTTCCGAAGAACCCTTGAACTGTGCCACGAAATTTGGTGATTGAAACCGAACGATCTTTTTACGTGTCTCTCGAACATTCGGCAGACGTGCGATCTTGTGCAATTTTCTTCAAGCTTAAAAATAGCCATTAATAAACCGCGAGGTAATTTTTCTCACTAGAGACCATTTAAAGCTCAATTAGAATTGAGTCAAATATGTGATGCATTGTTAGATCGCTCGCGGAACACGCAATCAATTCTCAGTTGACGAGAAAAGTGACACGCGTTATAATTAGATACATGACGGCATGAATTTAACAAACAAACAGCTGCTAACTAGTCTCTTGTGTTGATCTTTGCAGGTGGTTAACAGTAGCACTTCTTCGAGCAGTTCATCGTCCACGACAACATCTCGTGTGGCCAAGACATCATCGTCACAGCGCCTCCATCACGTCACATCGTCATCATCGACATCAGAGATGAAAGCCACTGCTCTCCAGCGAAATCTCACCGATTTTAAGAACTCCATGACGGAGATTAACAATCTCGCCTCGATGGGAAGGACAACACAGGCGTCCACGATGAACCAATTGAAGAGGTAGGCAAAGTTCAGGTGGAGGCGCCTGGTGAAAGCTCTATTATAAATTTATTTATAAAACCATTATCTGAGTGCTTTCGCACTTTAGATATGAAAAGAAACATTCAAGTCACTTATAAATATATTGTGCCTTTACTTTTGCAGCAAAATTCGGTCCTCTTTGGAGAATCTTGTGGACAGTCGAGACGACCAACCTCTGGTCACCTTTCCTGACGGTGACAACTCAGACACTGACCTCCAACTTGACCTCTCGCCACCTCTTTCGTCCTCTGTGGCTGGAGATTTGGCCACCACTACTGGCAGCATGGATACAGTGAAATTTGAGCAGAAGAGCATGACATCGGCATCCAAAACGAAAGTTGTGACTGATGGCTTTAGCAGTGAGCAAGCTTCAACAAATTCAGCCGAGATGAAGCGCCTTCAAGCCGGTGATCTGGATTATCAGGAGTCAAAGGCCGCTTCTGCCATGAGAAATCGTCTAGAAGTGGATGGAGTTTCGGCTGAAGCGAATGCGGCGATGCTCAAAGTGAGTGTTTTTCTCCTGCACGACAGCTCACGAAAGTGGTGAAAACGCCCATCGAAGGGATTTTCCACTGAATTTCTCCTCAGTCAGCTGACGACATTCCTTCGGTCTGCACAATGTGACTTTCAGTGCTCCTTTCCGTCCATTGCACTCAAAATCGATAATTCAATTGTCAAAAGTAGAGTTGAAAATGTAACTAAAAATCCCTATAAGTCACGGAAAATGCGAGAAAATGCTTCGGGTCATTTTCTCAGCATGTCGCTCAATGAGTTTTCCCGGAAGAACCATTCGAGGCTTGTGCAGTGACAAACTTACGGTGAGCCATAGAAAATCCCGCTGTGTGGAAAATCGATGCACGAAAAAAGACCGCCGTCTCCACTGCGATCGATGGTCTTTAAACATACATACATTCATATGTATGTTTGTCGTGGGAGGGGCGAAAATTGGCGGAAAATTAATAATATTCGAGGTCGCAAGTGTGAAAGAAACTGTGCGTCTTGTTGGACGTCAATTCTTTCTGTTTTATTTTTAATTATTCAAATTTTCGTTCAAGAGATGCTTTTTCTCCACTTTATGCAAAGAAAATAACACGCGATGACGACGATCGGCGAAATTCTCCCTCGGAAAATATTGATATTGACCAAATCATCACGGCTATTGTCATGGTTCAAGATGGTTTTTTTCTACTTGTGTTTTACTATGTGTTTATAAAACAAATTTCATTTTCTTTATCTGCTTGGAATATTCTTGTAAATTACTATGTATTTAACATTTGCAATATTCGTAAAAGTTTGCTTAATTGTAAATTTATGTTGCAAATCAATTATTAATTATGTATTCCTACGGAAATTTCCTTAAGTTTGACATAAAAACTATTAAAGCCAATCATGTGCTCAGAATTTTAAAATCAAGGCAAGTTTTTTTATACTTATTCTTAAGTTATTCCATGAAATATAACTAATGGAACGAAAACAGATTTGTGCCATTATGAAATTTGAGGATTAGGTGACAACAATATACAACAAAGAATTCAAATCTTGAGTCTGCGTAAACCATCTTGCCACTAATTTTCCCACACACACGCACATTGACTTTCGTAATCAAAAGCTCCCGTTGAGCGACACTGAATGAAAATATTTCAGTTGTTTTTGGTTGCTCAACAAGACTAGAATCGCGTTATTAAATCTACACTTCTCGATCCCATTAGTCGGAATAAGTAGAAATTAATAAAGGAGTGCATCGAGTGCACGATTTAGCAGCCTTGCCCAAGAGTGTGAAAAACTTGGCGACTCAGTGGTGATTACTATATTTGTCTCGGCACCTGTCCGCTAATTGAGAGTCACTCGGTCAGTTGCTTGCAAATCGCATCGCGGTAAAGATGTCGAATAAGGCGCCCTGGCCAGTGCGGAAGGGCATCTTTCGCTCCACCGGCCAATCAGACTTTGTGCCCACGCGCAGTCCTAGTCCTGTGGTCGAAATGCCGATCTCACCACCGCCGCAGAACCGCTCTCGGACCGCTAGTCCACTCCAGAGCCCGCGAATCTCCATCGTGGAGAGTCCTCTGTCTCCCACAGTCCGTGAGATTCCCATTGTTGAGGTAAATCTCTCGCGAAGGGTATTTTTAGCAGCGATCTGATGATTTCAGGCCAATTGCCAGAAATTCTGTCACTGGCGTATTTTTAGCAATAATCCTCTTAATATCACTTCAATTATCTCAATGACTTCCTTCTGTCCTGAACAGGAAGCCCGATCGTTGAAATCTGGGGAGTTACAACAACAGGAATCCAACAGTGTGGCTGCAGCTTCTATGAAAGTGCAGAGTGATACATTTACGTAAGTTCTATCGTTAATCATGCGGGGAGCAAGATCGTTGCTAATGAATTCTTTTGAACGTTACAGCGCCGAAAAGAAAGCCATTTCGCAAGCTCAGCAGCGTCAGACTGTGACCTCCTCTGGAATCTTCAATCACGAGAAGCACGTGAGTTCCGCGAGTCAGTCGAATTTCACCATCACAAAGAAGGGTATCTGTACTGGTGCTGCAATGATTTCCTCCTCTAGCCGAAAGACAAACGGCTTTGAGGACGAACACTTTGGTGGATTCGAGGATCTTGAGAGCCTGTGCTCAGGAAGTACTTCTAAAGATGTGGAACGAGCCATTTCCAAGTACTCAACTTGCTTGGACAAATACGTTAAGAGTCTCCAGTTGACAGACCATAAGATGAAGGCCCCACCAGTGTTGGATAAAATCAATGATATCATCCGGAAAGCCTGGGCAGTGCCTACTCATGGCCATGAATTGGGGTATACACTGTGTAATGAGCTCAGATCGACGGGAGGGTTGGATCTGTTGATGCGCAATTGCGTTGAGGGTGACAAAGACATCCAGTTCTCCTCAGCGAGACTCCTGGAACAGTGCCTGACCACAGAGAATCGTTCTCATGTTGTGGAGAATGGGCTCGAGAAGGTGGTCAATGTGGCGTGCGTGTGCACAAAAGACACCAAGACAGATCATAGTCGTGTGGGCACGGGCATCCTGGAGCACCTGTTCAAACACAGTGAGGGCACGTGCTCAGATGTGATCAGACTTGGTGGACTCGATGCGGTGCTATTTGAGTGCCGGAAGAACGACGTGGAGACTCTGCGCCACTGCGCTGGAGCTCTGGCCAATCTGTCTTTGTACGGTGGAGCTGAGAACCAGGAAGCGATGATAAACCGAAAGGTGCCCATGTGGCTCTTCCCGCTCGCTTTTCACGATGACGATAACATCAAGTACTACGCTTGCCTGGCGATCGCCGTACTTGTGGCCAACAAAGAGATCGAAGCTGAGGTTCTCAAGTCAGGCACTCTGGATCTCGTGGAACCCTTCGTGACTTCACACAATCCCTCCGAATTCGCCAAGTCTAATCTCGCCCATGCTCATGGTCAGAGTAAACATTGGCTACAACGTCTTGTTCCTGTTTTGAGCAGTAAACGCGAGGAAGCTCGCAATCTGGCCGCCTTCCATTTCTGTATGGAGGCAGGAATAAAAAAAGAGCAGGGTAACACTGAGATATTCCGAGAGATTGGCGCCATTGAACCCTTGAAGAATGTAGCGTCCTGCCCAAATGCTATCGCTTCAAAATTCGCAGCTCAAGCTCTGAGACTCATCGGGGAAGAAGTGCCCCACAAACTCTCCCAACAAGTCCCCCTCTGGACCACCGAGGATGTTCGCGAGTGGGTGAAACAAATCGGTTTCGCAGACTACGAGAGGAACTTCTACGAGTCTCGAGTAGACGGTGATTTGCTGTTGCAACTGAATGAGGAGAACCTGAGAGAAGACATTGGGATCGTTAATGGGATTCAGAGAAAGAGATTCATGCGAGAGATGCAGAACTTGAAGAAAATGGCTGATTACTCATCTCGTGACTCTGCGAATCTCAATAATCTTTTGCAGAGCATCGGAATGGAGTACAGCATCTACACGTACTCAATGTTGAATGCTGGTGTTGATAAGGAGTCTTTGAGACACCTCAATGATGATCAATTGATATCAGAATGCGGTATTACGAACTCCATTCACCGCTTAAGGATACTTAACAACATCAAAGGTATGCTAGTATTTTCTGATTTTGTGAAAGCTCTATCTCATCATATACTAAATTGAGTGGGTGCTTATCAATGTCTTTCATGTTATTTCTAGGGATCGAGTCCTCAATGTGCCTTTCTTCTGAGGAGAATCTAGACAAGACCTTAGATGTTTTCGTCAGCTACCGCCGGAGCAATGGATCTCAACTCGCCAGTCTTTTAAAGGTAGTGTGCCGAAAACTTACTTTCAATTTCAACTCTCTCTGAACTATATTTGCATAGGTCCATCTTCAGTTGCGCGGCTTTTCTGTATTCATTGACGTGGAGCGATTAGAAGCGGGCAAGTTTGACAACAATCTGTTGCAGAGCATTCGTCAAGCTAAGCACTTTATCCTGGTCTTAACCCCGCGCGCTCTGGAGCGTTGCGTTGAAGACACTGACTGCAAGGATTGGGTACATCGAGAGATTGTGGCAGCTCTCAATTCTAACTGCAACATCATCCCCATCATTGATAACTTCTCATGGCCGGAGCCTGAGCAATTGCCTGAGGATATGAGGAGTGTTTGCCATTTTAACGGTGTGCGCTGGATTCATGATTATCAGGATGCTTGCGTGGACAAACTTGAGAGGTGAGATTTTGAGATCGAACTCTACATCAACAAACGATTTAATACGCACTTATTTGAAGGTTCATGCGAGGTGAATTGAATATGAAGACAGACGGATACCCAATTAGAGGACCTTTGAGAGGCGACGGGACTCCTAGTACACCTAGTACTGCATCCACTACTCGTCAGAATCCGCCTATTTACCAGAGAATGCACAGCAATGATTCTAACAAGGGCGGGGATAATGGGCGGGTTTCGGATTGACTAGATGGCCCCCCAGCCTCGAATTCACGTCACCGTCTCCGTGGCTCTCCTAGTCCAGCCCGTCATCTCATCACAGGACATCCAGCTAGCAGAATAGGGCGACCCACGACACCTCAAAGGCGTCCGCTGCCGGTTCCACGAGGCCCCAGTGCATTGACACGAAGACCACCTCTTCCGCCGACGATCAGCTCACGTAGTCAGAGTCTAGATGGTCTGTTGGACATGGCAGGATGTGAGGAAGCTAATGGAGAACAATCGACAAGCGAGAGAGCAGCTTCTGAAGTTCCCGACACCGCTCAGAGAAGAGCCAGGGGCGCTGAGACCGATCGGACAAACAGAATATCTCGAAGCTTGGAAGATCTTCTTGACGAGAAACCAGGCAGCAAGCCTGAGACTGTGGTTGAAGATGGGAATTGCAGCAGGAGTCTTGAGAGCCTCCTCCAGGATCCACCAGAGAGTCCTACCCCTGCCAGTCCCTCGCCAGGGGAGAAGTTCTGCGAGAGTGAAACAATGGTGGTGGACAACACTTTGAAAAGCAACGATGACACGGCCTACAACTCCGAAGAGGACAAGTCCTCAACATCCAGTCGGCAGGGATCCATTTCGTCGGAACCGAACAAGAAAACGTTCATAAACCGCCTGGGGCGGCGCATGAAGAGCTTGATCAAGAAGTAGGCCCGACTTGGAGGAGTATAGTTCTATATACCCCTCGTCGAAGTCCCTGGACCACGCGATGACAGTATTAGGACCCATCAGGCTCTTAAGGTGATGCAATGGACCTCATGCCATTCCCTGCCTTTCATCAGGATATGCTAATGCTAATTGAAGTCAAAGAGATGTGACGTACCTGTAAATGATTTTGTGATTACTCGATGTGAGCAGCTTATCGTGTTAGAATTTTAACCCACACAATTCTTTTAATGTCTTTAGAATTAATTCAGAGGAGCGCATAAATGACTCACTTTTGCACATACATTAATTTTCTCTGCCCATGAAGGTCTGCCCTTGTGGGTTTTTATATGTAGTGTCAACAACTTATTTAACCAATATAACGTACATATAATGCAGGACGTGTAGCCTTAAATATACTTAATATATTTCACAAATCCTATTTTATGAACATTTGTATTTCCCAACTATGCTATAGTATTACATTACAGTGCTACATAAATCACTTAAGAAAGATAATTTCATGTAGAATTTATTGTTCTTTTCGTAAATAAAGAATGACGTCGAAAGGTTTTGCAAAACTATTGCAAATTATGTTTTTTTTTGGAAAGTTTGGTGTTCAATTCATTGGGAAATCAATTGTAATGTCAGCTCAATGTCAATCAAAGTGCTTTCCTTTGACCGAAGAAAAGCTATTAACTCTCAATAGCAGTGACTGTGAATATATTCATAAATGTAACCCTATTCCAGTTAAGCTTCTGACCTGTGTCAACGCTAATATTATGCTACATACACCTCCTACAGAGGAAATACCCTTGAACGCCTTAAACGAACAGAAGTTATGTTTGATTGCAAAAGATTTTTACAAATCATACGATTTTGCATTTTGATATGAATATATTTTTAGAAGAGAAATAAAAGGAATATTATGAGAACCTAACATTTAATAGCATATAACATTTAATAAGCAAATACTTGAGAGATTTTTTGAATGTAGAATTCAGCAGTTCCAAGCAGGATTCCAAGCAAGTGTGTGCTTAAAAGAAGTACTAATTTTGGTTGGTGCATTCAATTACGTAGTTTCTCAGATGTCGACATCTCTCGGCTGAAAAAAGAGAATTCTTGTAAGTATCAGCAGATTTTCCGCTAAATCTCTTGACTCACTATCCTGCCAAATTTCTTCCGGGCAGTTTCCGAACAATTTCAAGTAAATACAGTCAATTATAAAGAGAGAATTTGGACGACAGTGTACTTTCGCAGTAGAATTTCCCATCTGTAGTTCTTCTTTTTGCTGTTGAGACTCACTGAAGCAGTAGTCAACAAAGTCAGGCAGCATTTGGAGCCACCAGCCATGTCTGATCCTCTCTTGCAACTTCAACAACAGCATGTCCTTATCTATTCGTCCATCCACACTGATTTTCGTTCTGTTCATCAAACACTCAGAGACACAAACATCGTCTGGAAAGTCGCTGTACATAAACGAGTCGTTAAATCCAAGAGATCTTTCGCACTGAAACACTAAGTCATCGCCAAAGAGAAGAGGAGTTCTGCAGCAAAAGTCCGGATCCTGTGTGAAGTTTTTACAAGATAATCACTTAAAGAACCCATTGGAGAAGTTCGAAAAACTCACAATATTATCTGGCGGCTTTGCGCAATCAATATCCTTTCCAGTGACGACATTATTGAAATAGATAAGAAGAAAACTTATGATAAAATGTCTGTGCATTTTAATGATTCTCAATCCAAATCAGAAATTGAACTAAAATTTGATTGTATGATTTTGAGGTGTTTTATTCCACAAGTAACATTGAACCAAATTTCAGCAGTTTTTACTCACTTTTGCAAATGATTTCCTCTGTTTTGTGAAAATATAATACATAGAAAGCTGAAAAAATGACATAATTTGTGTGCCATTGAGCTGATGTGATAATGTAACAAATGGAAAAATAATTGAAATCGTTAGGAATTACCGTGAACTTTATATGATAATTTTGAGCATGTTTTTTTGACTTGAATGGACGGGGAATCCTGCATTGGAGCGACATTCAAATTCCTCCTTCGTGCTTCATGTAAGGAAGTTCTCCAAGAGCTGTATTTAGCAGAGCGAAGTACGACCATGACGCACTTAGAATCTATAGTAAATAAACTTGAGTTATCACTCCCTCGTTTAGTGGCTCAATATATTTATACCTTTGTGAAAGTCTTGAGACTAATTTCCCAGAATTTCAGAGCGTTAAGAACTTGTGGATTTTGACTTCGATGAATGATATAGGTAATCATCTTTTTAAATTTTTGGGAGGAAGAATACCATTTGCATTCAAATGCTGAATCTGCAACTTTCATGCTCTGAAAAACACTCGGTGATAAATTTTCCATAAAAATAGTTTCCATTGAAATTACTCACATTGTCAATAAGTTCTTGTCCAAACCAGCAGAAGAGAAATAGTTCAATTAGGTAACAGATGAAGAGCATGAAAAACTTGATTGCGTGATAGATCGGATTGGTGGCCATAAGGAATCCCACTGAACAAATGTTAATAGAACTCACGAAGAAGTTGACAAAAATTACATCTGTGAAGATGTTGGCCAGATCATCTCGAAACTTCGCCAAGGATTGTTGCTTCTCTATGCAGTTCCGGAGGTAGATCTCACTTTCTTCAGAGACAAATTCTCCATTCTCAGTCACTCTCGCAGCCACTTTGATGTCCTCTTGCAGGAGTCTGTAGTGCATGCAGAGATGAGAGACACTGATGCAGAAGAGAGAATCGAAGGCGATGTGATAAACTACAACGACATGAGCTGAGTACAAGAGATAGCCATAAACGTAAGGATAGGCCGTTCCGAAAATGTCAAAGGGCAGCCAAATATTAAATGGCAGTTGGCGAATTTCCATGCCTTTGGTTATCCACACGAAAGCCATTTCGGCGAGAGGAACCAAATTCCAGAAGTAACCCATGATGACTGAGAGGATGGAAAACCAGAGAGCGAAGAAGGTATTGTACTGCATGTATGACTCGAGAACGTCTTTCTCGGCTTCCGATTGCACTTTAGATGGCCAGATGGCGCGATAATTTTGCAAAAGACTAGCCAAAGCATTTCGTCTCTTAGCCAGCATCATCATCTTCGTGAGGCCGATGAAGCAATAGCCAACAGTGACTTCTTGAACGATGTATTCCCAAATGTTGGCCTCCAGTGGACGGACACCAACGAAAAGAAACTGAGCCCACGCAACGGAAAAGATCCAGGCATAGGCGATAATAAACCAGATGTTCCTTGCCAGATATTTGAAGAAAGTCGGAGGATTTCTCTCCTGACATGGTGGATATCCAACTGTGAAGTACAGTCGATTGATAAAGTTAATAGTCTTCTTGAAGGTGATTCCAGTAACTTCCATAGTGCGTCTAGATAAGAACACTTCACGACAATGAATTCATGGGCATCCACACATTTTTATAAACCTTCAAATGCGTCCACCTTTAGAATTCAATTACCATCATTCACATAAGAAGTTTGAAAACTTTAATTATAGGATAAAGTTTCTGAATGTTTGTAAACACTTTGGAAGATGATATATTTTCATTTCCACATTCCAGTGAAGCCCCAAATTACGAAATTTGTTTCTTGCTTCTGCACTTGCTACTTTTTAATTATAGTTTACACAGAAAAATCTACACCAGACTTATCCAAATCTAAAAAGGTGTCCTTTCCGGTTATTAAACAAATGCAAGGACAAATGTTTAATATAAAATTGAGGCGACGGAATGTCCTGTTCTTCAAATCATCAAAAAATTTTACAATAATTATAATTACATATGTTATCAGTCTTATTTTCTTGACGAGACGATTTTTATTATTCCTATATTGCTCTAAAGTAGAGAAATTGAAAAGGAAGTATCGTGGTAATCGAAAAATTGAAAATTTACTTGGTGACTTCATTTTATTTCAAATTAGCTAAGAGAGCGTTTCACATTATTACAATCTTCTATGAATCACTACATGTTTTACCAAATCATCCAACCTTTCGTATTCTTCCGCGCAGCATGTGCACTTAAAGGGCGGACCTTGCAAGAAAAAAGGGCTTTGCATTACTTTCTATTTAAAGTCTATTTCAAACAATTTACCTGTAGGACGAGCAGAAAGGCCGCGATGATAGTATCTGGCGTGTTCTCTTAAATTCATCAATCTGTAGAAACTCTTCGGGCAATACAAACATTTTAAGTAATTTTCCTTGGCAGGAATAAAATGCGTTTCCATGTGGTTTTTCAAGGTTCTCTTCGTTTTAAATGTTTGATTGCAAATCTCACACTCTAGATGTCTATCATGCTCACTCATATCCTTTTTAGCTTTCATATGATCTCTGATGCGACCTTCTGTATATCCATGTCTCATTTTCATATGATTTCTTAGCATATATTTGTAACTTGTCTTCCAACCACAAACACCACATTTAAACCGATCCTCAAGTGAATGCTTTACCTCCACGTGTTCTTTCAGATCTTCAATACTCTTACAGACCATTTTGCAGAGGCTGCACTCGGGAATTGCTCCTGTAAAAGATAAAATATATATATATATAATATATTTGATAAGAGAATAATATTGCTCAAGCTCAACCTTTCTTTCTCGGAAGTCCTCGATGTCGTGTCTTCATGTGGCTGTTCATTCCGGTGTATTTCTCATAAGTATTGCCACAGTAAATACAGCTCAATATCACGGGTTTGTTGACATGAACTGTCCGCTTGTGATACCAAATTCCCATGCTGGATTTGTAAAATTTGTTGCACTTCTCGCAAAAGTGTTCTTTTCGAACTTTTTTTGGGTGGTGCTGACGATGCCCCTTTTTAGAATGCGAGTAATTGTGCACCTGCAGGCCACGTTTAGTGTTGAAACTCGATTCACAAATTTCGCACTTAAACTCTAGCTTTGGTTCCTTCACCTCAAAACGTCCCATTTCAGGATTGACCTTTAGAAAGTCCCTGCAAGAAAATACATATTATTGCTATAATGAATTCCGTATTTTTCTCTCTGTCTTCGTGGTAATTTAGTTTCCGGTGCTCAGGATCAAAGTAGTTGCCCGGAACACTTCCTCCTGCTTGTCCAGAGCGAAGGTATCTTAAAATTTCTTACTCTCACCTTTTAATAACCGGCACTATGACTTCCTGGATCTTAGATTCTTCTATAACGATATCAGATTGTAGAAACTGATCTTCAGTTTCCAGGTAGTAATCAAGATGATAGTGAAACATCTCCACTTTATCCTCTTCCATCGCTTTGGCACAACTTTATTTACACTTTTCTTTGACGTTTGTCGCGCGCGCGCCTTTAGCATTTTGGCATTTCTTGAAGTTTGCCTTGAAGTTAGCTGTCCATCGAACCAATTTTTAGATTTTTTCTCCAGGAATATATTCCCAAAATTCCTTTATCATCAACGCCAACAATAAACTTTATATATGTATGTATTCATTTCATTCGTTCGTCAACAACTATCATCTCTTATGTACCCCAGCGTGGTTTATTAATTGATCCAATGTGTCGTGATTCCTCTTGCAAACCGTGCACTTGAAAGGAGGGCCTGTAATTAAAATACATCTTTATATATAAATAAATAATATATATATATATATATATATATATATATATATATATAACAAAGATTTTAATTATGTAAAATCTCTTAAATCTACCTTGAGGACGGGCCGACAGACCCCGATGAAAAACTCTGGCATGTTCTCTCAAATTTCTCAGCCTATAGAAACTCTTCGTGCAATACAGACACTTCACGTAATCTTCCTTGTCAGGAACAAAGTGTGTCTGTTTGTGATTTTTCAAAGTTCTCTTAGTCTTGAAAGTTTTACTGCAAATCTCACATTGGAGAGCTTTATGTTCACGATGTTTTGCAGATATGTGGCAGTAGATACGTTTCTTGAGACATATCTTAGCGCAGAAACGACATGCCTCATATTTTTGCTTCATATGATTGACTTTCATGTGGCGAATTATCAAATATTTATAATATGTTGACCAGTCGCAGAGCGCACATTCAAAGCGATTCTGAAGTGGATGCATTTCCTCCACATGTTCTTGCAAGTCTTCAATGCTCTTGCACACCAGTTTGCAAAAGCTGCACGTCGGTATTGCTCCTGTAATTTAATCAATTAAACAGTACGGAAAATCAATTGATTAAAATCAACCTTAACTCCACCTTTACCTGTTTTTCTTGGAAGTCCCCGATGTCGTGCCTTCATGTGAGCAATTAATCCTGTGAATTTTAGGTAAGTCTTGCTGCAATATATGCAGCTCAAAATCTGGGGATTGCTATTATGAGCAGTTTTCTTGTGGGACCAAAATCCATCCCCAGATTGAAATAATTTCCCACACTTGTCGCAGGTGAATAGCTTTTTCCTAGTGTTTTTTCTTTTCTTCAATCTCTGTGAGTTGAAATGTGTGTCAGGATATGCTCGATGTTCTTTTGTCTCAAAACTAATCACTTCCTTCTTGACCGCTGCGATTGAACTTGACTCTTCCTCCTTCTTGATGACCGGCACTAAAACATCCTGCACTCTATACTCCTCAGTCACAATATCAGAATTTATAAACTGATTTTCAATTTCTTGGGAACAATGATCAGCATAGTCAAATGCTTCCTCCATTTCTTGTTTAATATCCATCGCAATCGCAATTTAGCGACCGTGTGGACCGTACCAGATCGAGCTGTGCGTGGTCGTGTACTGTTTATTCACTTGACATCTTACGTATTTACTGCGTGAAGTTTGCAGAACAATAGACTACAGAGTCAGCTGGCTGCGCAACACACGTGTTTTATTCCATTTTTACAAGAAGTAACGAGTGAATACAGTAAAGTTAAAGTGAAATCTTAATTATAAGTAGATAATAAAGCAGGATGTCATCAGCTTTACTGAAGAAGAGCTTGGAGATCGTGGAAAACAATGACAATTGCAGTGAGTACAAACTTAACCTCACTTACTATAAATCATTACACTTGTATTTTTTCCCTTTTATAGAGCATTCTCGCAAGAAACGGAGCCAGAAATCTACGGGAATTGCAAAAAAGAAAAATACTCTAAGCAAAATCACAATCAACGATGTCCAGAAGCAAATGCAAAGCACGAGTGGGCGGATTGAAAAAACCGTGGACAAACTTCTTGGGTTGCACTCAACATCCTTGGGAGAGAAGGACATCGAGAAAATTGCGAAGAGAGCTAAGACTGGACATTATATTCTTCCTCCCACTGAGCCAACAGTCGAAGTGGATTCAGTATTCACTGAAGAGGACTTTAAGAAGTTTGAGGACGAATACTTCGATGAGGCGATCTAGTCTTCGGTGTCATAGCAACAGAATGTGTTTATAAATCGATTCCGGGAGCTATAATGGCAAGAAGTAAGCAATCTGATACATTTTTACTGATTATAATCTATTTACTGAGTGTTTTCTTCCAGTAACTGAGGAATTGGTTAGAAAAAGATCAGAACATAATGAGAGGATGATTGGAACATTGGAGGAACTCTCGCTGCACCAGGAAAACATTGAGAAAATCGAACATTTGCACAATTGGTGCTCTGATTTGAAAATTCTTTTACTTCAGAGCAATCTCATCAGCAAGATTGAGAATTTATTCAAACTAAAGAAGCTGGAGTACCTGAATCTGGCGATAAATAACATTGAAGTCATAGAAAATCTCCATCAATTGGAGTCTCTTGAGAAGCTTGATCTCACCTTGAACTTCATCGGAGAACTCACTAGTGTGAAGAATCTGGCTGAGAATTACAATCTAAGGGAGTTAATCTTAACAGGAAATCCCTGCTGTGACTATCATGGTTATCGAGAATTCGTTATAAACGTATTGCCGCAACTTAAGCAACTCGATTGTGTGGATATCACAAGAACTGAGAGGATTCAGGCTGAGAAAAGATTGCCAGGCATTTATTCACACATCATACAGTGTCAAGTTGAGTACAAAATCCGTCGTGATGAGCAAAAACTTAGAACAATGCAGAAACTAGAGCAGGATGCTAAAGCCATGGAAGACTTAACTGAAGAGGAACGCACGAAGATGTTCTGGAATATGAAGAGTGAACATAGTCCTGAGATGAGAATTGAAATAGCCAAGAAGCACCACAAATCGCAGCAAAGCATCACAACTGACTCCTCGATGCCGCCGAAGAGAACTCTGAAGCTTTTCTCATCATCCGGACGTCCTTTTTGCGTGAACGAACCTAAGATTGATTTCCACTTCTGCGACGAGGCGGACAGATATGAACTGGAAGTGAAGGTTTTCAAGTTTTTGGACACCGCACACTTGACTGTGGATGTGCAGCCAAATTACGTGCGAGTAACGGTGAAGAAGAAAGTCTTTCAATTGGCACTAGATGAGGAGGTCAAGTGTGAAGCATCATCGTCTCAGAGATCAGAAATTACTGGGCATCTTCTCATCAAAATACCTAAGCTCAATGGAAGGATTACTAAGAACCTTGTCATCGGAATGGAGAGAAAGACAGCAGGGAAAAGACCAAAACATTCCTGCATTGATTACAGAAATGTCGTGGAAATAAGTGAAGATGATGAGATTCCAGATCTTGTTTAAAATAACAACGTGCAAATTAAAAAAAAAATGTGTTTATCATAGGTACTCAATTTCATTTATTCTTCCTTTACATCTTCTGATAGTGTTAGTTTAGTGATTTTGCCGGATGACGATTCACTTGAGTGCAGAGGCAAGATTGCCTTGAGAGATCTCAATTTGTTTTCACAGGATTTTAAGTGCCTACGCAATTGAGCCAACTGACGGAAAGTTTTCTCACATATAACACATCTAAAGTTCTTTGTCAAGATACATTTTGGGATGTCTGAATTATTTTTATGCTGTAGCCGAATATGCTTTTTGAGCCAGTATTCTGTGGTTAAATATTTTCCACAAATCTCACACTTGTATTCTATCGCATGAATTGCAACGTGCTTCTTGAGATTGTCCAATTTCATGAATTTTTTCTTGCAAACTCTGCATTTGAAGGGAGGAGCTGATGAAAAAGGAAAAATTATTATCGACTAGTACTTTACATTTATTCATTCGACTTACCGGTAATTTTAAAAGGAAGTCCGCGATGATTTTTAGACATATGATGAAGAAAAGTTTTTCTGTTGTCAAATATCAATGTGCAGTGCGGACAGGTTACATCAATTTCTAGAGTCTTGTGATGTTTCATATGGATTTTGAGGCAATTCTTCGACTGTAGACGTTTCTCGCATATTTTGCAAGCATAAGACTTCTCAGAACTATGTATTTCTTTCATATGCTTGTTTAAAGCATTAATTTGCGTGTATGCTTTCGAACAAAGTGAGCACTTGTGGTAATCAGCATTTGGCGTACAGTCTTTTTTCTCTCTTTTCTTCTTCTTTGAACAATATCTTCTCATATGAATCGTCAATCTGAATCTGTGTTCGAATTTTGAACTACAGCGCGGACACACGAATCGCTTTGTGAGTTTGTGTATTTCCACGTGTTCCACTAATTCCTCAATGCTTTCAAAGGCTTCGTGGCAGACTCTGCATGCTAATCCCATTTCTGTGAATTATATACATACGCTGTGTTACAGAATAAATGCAGGAAGATAATTTTGACAACTGGTTACTCACCTTTAATCCTTGGAAGGCCTTTATGATGAAGTTTCATGTGCGACTTGAGACTGGGTGTTGTCTTATACGCCTTAAGGCAATAAAGACAATTCTTAAGTGAATCATCCTCGGCGAAGTGTGTCTTCTTATGCATGGTCAGGAGTGTGCGCAACCTGAATGTCATGTTGCAAATTGTGCACGTTAGATCCGATGCTGATCCTAGATATTCCATCGGATCCACTTCGGTATGAATTTTCGCATGAGTATTAAAAGCTTTCTGCGTTATGAACTTTCGATGACACTTTTGGCACTCGAAATTCTTATGAGTTGCTATATGTCGCGTTTGCCGGTATCTAGTCATAAATTTCTTTCCACAGATGTGACAAATGTACGGATCGATTCTGTATCTGTTAATAGAGGAATCAATGACGAATTTAACAAACAAGTCGCAAAGAAGTTTAAATTTCTCACCTATGCTTTTCTCTCATATGCGTTCTAAGTTTGCCTGGCCATTTTTTCGGAAACTCCGTATTGCACATGCTACACATGTACTTATCATTAACAATATGCACATTTTTCACGTGAATTTCCATGGCAAAGAGAGTCGGCAGTGTCTTGTCACAGATGTAACATTGAGCAGGCTGGCCAAAGTGCTTCAATATGTGGGCGTTCAAGACGTGTTTATTGTTAAATACACTGAAGCAATGAGCGCAGTGAAAAGTTCCTTCGTCTCTTTCCTCAGTTTCATCTTCATTTGGAGACGGTACTTCCGGTTCTCTCTTAATGAGAGACGCAACCTCATACCTTTTGCCGCCAATTGTGCATAAATACGTTCTCTTCTTTCCACTATTTGGTTGCAATACCGAACTATTAAACTGAATGCTATTCAGCGGTTCGTGAACTTGAGGTTTCCTCAAGAATTCCCTGTAAATCAAAAACTGTAGCATGAACAAAACAATATATAAAAAATTTGGTTTCTTACGGATTGAGAATACACAGGTTTTCCCAAGGGTTTTCCGTTTCAAGTTCTTGCACTTCGTACTCTTCCTTCACGATATTGCAATCCACAAAATGTTGATCGTCAATTTTAGTCATGTAATCTTTCTCTGTTTCCATCTCTATATGCGTAATTTCCTTGAAATCCATCTCTACGACGCTTTGGAGTACAGCTGTTCAACACACGGTTGTCAAAAATGACGACTTTGCAAGTTGTGAAGTTGAATACGTTTCAAACAGAATCAAAATTTCGAAAATTTCTATGCGCGTCGCACGCGTTAAAGAAATATTCTTGGATATTTTTCAGTGAATGAAAACGAATTCATAAGATAAAGAAAACAAATCATTATGCAGTCTTCCAAGCTGAATTTAATGAATATGTATGATGTGTATAAGATTTAGGAAAAGTCTTTTCCTCCGATTTGCTCACGATAAATGATGAATTAAATAAAATAAAGATAAAAGGCAGAATTTTTCTACACTGTTATGAATATGATCAAAAATCTTCATCCATTATTTCTTCTTTTATATCATCTATTTCAATTTCTAATTTCAGTGACGCCCTTGATGATTCATTAGCACGCAATGTTTCCTGGCTGGTTTTTCTTTTACAAGAAATTAAATGTCTCTGTAAAGTATACTTGGATTTTAGTTTTTTTTCACACATTGGGCACTTGAAGACCTTCGGCGTCTTTTGGATTTTCGGCTTCTCTATTTTTGTATGAAACACTTCAAAATGTTTCCTTAGCATTCTATTATCATGAAATTTCTTCTTGCAAATCTCACACTTAAAGTCGTTCTTGTGCAATAAAGCGTGCTTCTTCAGGCCTTCTAATGTTTTGTGAATTTGTTTACACACACTGCACCTGAAGGGTGGATCTGAAAAGGGAATGAAGTATTGATTTTAAAACCATTGTATATTCTTTTAACCTATTTAATATACTTATAGTGTTGAGAGTAAGTCCTCTATGTGAGAATTTCAAGTGGTTCTTCATGCTGCTCATTCTTTCGAAAGTCTTTGAACAATAAGGACAGTTTTTGTCTTCTTCATGCAAAAGTTGATGCTTTTCCATATGAGTCTTTAGTGTAGTTTTAACTTTATATCTATTTGAACATATTAAACAGCAGAACGGAAGATCAGAGCTGTGACTTGTCATGTGAATTTGCAATTGAGCTACTCTTTTGAACGCTTTCGTACAAATTGAACACTTGTGGCACTTTTTATTCTCATCTGTAGCTTTCAAGTGGATTTTCTCAATATGTTGTCTCAATAGATATTTGTGAGCGCTTTTCTTGCCACACATTGCACATTCGAAACGAAAGACGCGTTTGTGGATCTTCACATGTGCCAACAATTCGTCGTATTTCTGAAAAACTTCCTTGCAAATTGTGCACATTGGAACAGATTTCTTTGCTCTTGGAAGGCCTCGATGATAAGCCTTCACGTGAGACTTGAGACCTTCTAACGTCTTGAACGTCTTTGGACAGTAGATACATTTTTCCAGCATGCCAGTTGGTGGCAAATGAATTTTCTTATGTTGCTTTATGTCTTTGTCCAATCTGAACTTTTTATTGCAAATATCACAAGTAAAAGGCTTTTCACCACTGTGAATACTCATGTGTTCTTCGAGGAGTCTCTTAATTGAGAATTTGCGGAAGCATATTTGGCACTCATTGATTCTGTGAATACCCATATGTCTTTCAAAGGTGTATTTCGTCGGGAATGATTTTCCACAGATGTGACAATTTTGTGGGGCGCTTGAGTTAGTAAAAAGAATATAATTTTATAAGGGGATGCATTAATAAAAGATATCATACATACCAAGAGTGAATTTTCTTCATGTGCTTACGCAACTCCAATCGTGACCTTGCAATGAAGTCTTTTCCGCATATCCGGCATTCACATGGTTTTGTGATACCATGCGTCCTATTACGATGCCACTGAAGGGCTAAAGTATTCTTCACTACTTTCTTACAAATGGGACACGGCAAGGGTTTCTCGAAATGTGCTCTTAAGTGAGTTAATAAATTGCATTTTCGGCGAAAAGTTTTCAAACAGTGCGCACATTCAAAACTCACTTTGCTGGGAATTAATTTGATTTCTGAAATCACAAAATGAATGAATTCTCCATTGCTTTCATCCAGTTTTTGAGGTTGTCTGTAAATTAAGCAAAAAACAAACTTTATTGTGAGAAAACATTCCAGGAAGCATGCAGATGAAAGGACGAAGTCAATCTTACTGTTCTGGCAGACTGCTTTCATGGATTTCATACTCTTCCTTTACGACATCACACTCAAAAACGTTCTGATCTTCACTTTCCGTGGTAAGACCTTCCTCCTTTTCCACTTTTATATCCATAATTCTCTCTATATTCATCCTAATCTCTCCTTTTAACCAACACGATGCGTTGCAAGCTTTGCGATTTGCGATGCCAAATGATGTTTACCTTTTCTTCAGCGGTGTGAAGTTTGCAGAGCAAAATTTGGTATGTCAAGATTGGCTGCACTGTTCCTGACGTCGAATTAGTCATCGAGCAAAACAAAAGTGTCTGGTTGAAGATATTCTGAGATTTTCTCAAATTTTTTCCTTACAAATTCTGTGATTCCACCACTCAAATAGTCTAAAAAGATGAATCGCTTGTTTGGGAAGGCCAAGCCCAAAGAACCTCTGCCCAGCATCAATGATTGCATCCAGGGAGTGAGTGAAGATATCTTTTGTCTTTCGATGGTTTTTAATTGATGGAATTTCGTGGTTGTTCTCAAGGTTGACGCTCGGGCGGATTCTGTGGAGCAGAAGATCAGCAAGTTGGACACGGAGCTGCGCAAGTACAAGGATCAAATGGCAAAGATGCGAGAGGGTCCGGCCAAGAATGCTGTGAAGGCAAAGGCAATGAGAGTCCTGAAGCAGAAGAAGATGTATGAGAGTCAAGCAGAGAATCTGAGAAATCAGTCTTTCAACATGGAGCAGGCAAATTATGCCCACCAAACGCTGAAGGACACTCATGCAACTGTGGCAGCTATGAAGGATGGCGTGAAGAGCATGAAGAAGGAGTTCAAGAAGATCAACATCGATCAAATTGAGGATATCCAGGATGAGATGGCGGATATGTTGGAGCAGTCGGATGATGTTCAGGAAGCCCTCGGGCGCACCTATGGCATGCCAGAACTTGATGACGACGAATTGGCGGCAGAACTGGAGGCCTTGGGCGATGACATCGCTCTGGACGATGATTCGAGCTATTTGGATGACGTCGTGAAGGCTCCAGAGGCGCCGGACAAGGAGCCCGGGGCGGACAGTGTGGTGAAGAACAAGGATGGCATCCCGGTGGATGAATTCGGGTTGCCCATGATCCCAGCCTCTATGAAGACCACATAAACTGTCCAGAGGTGAGCATATTCTTGTATTATATGTCTTGTTTGTCAGTAGAGATCAAATATGTTTCACTGAGCTTTGGAATACACAATAAAATTCAGGATAAAGCATAGAATTTTATTAGAAGTCTCATAACACGCGCAAACACACAATAAAAAAAATCATTCGCTTGTCTCTTCGATGAAGGGCACATTTTGGAGCTCCGAACATTTTCTCTTCCAGAAGATGATTTGTTCTCTCAAGTTCTTCTCCTTGGCCGCTGCCCTGGTCAGAAGAAGCTTAGCCTTCTCCAGTAATTCTGTCTTTTGGCGCAATTTCTCGCGAATTCCAGCATCATCTGAGGTATCATCTGCCGCTGATGCTCTTCCTGGAACTTCAATTCTAGCTGTGGTGTACAAATCTAACTCAACTTCAAGGGAAGACACTCTGGCCAGTGCTTCAGCGTGGAGATTTTGCATCTTCTCGTGCTCACTCTTTAATTTCTCAAATGTTTCCTTGGAAATCACTTCCTTTCCAGCCATTCTGGTGTCTTTCAAGCTCTTATTCTCCACTTTTAGTCTCTCTACGATGCGCTTCAGCGCCAGAATTGTCTGATGAGAGTCGGAGAGAGGCTGACTCGATGCAGATAGATTCTTGGCACTCACTTGACTCAGTTCATTCTTGAGGACAAGAATATAATCCTCCATGTGCTTTATCCGCCTCTTTTGACGCTCGCCATCGTCTCCCTGTTTGAGCATATCTTTGTCCAGTTGCAATTGAAGATTTCTGGCCTCCAGCCTCAGATTCTGTGCCTCTAATCCTGAAACTCTTTCTTGGAGCTTCTCAACTTCACTCGCCACCGCACTGGAACCCTTACCCTCCAATTCCATGGCTACAATTCGCCTCTGCTGCGATTCGATGCGCGCTTTGAGAGCGTCGATGATCTCCTGGCCAGCTTCCAATGCCTCAACTTTTCGTGGAATTGTTGACAGTCCTGTGACACCTTTTACGTGTCCCTCCTCGTAGTCATCGTCGGATTCGGGACTCTCAGCTGGCGTGTACTTCCCTGCCAATGAGTGTGGACAGGAAGGAGAGTGGCAGAAACGACTGCCACCTTTTAGGCGCATCTCCAATCGAGAAATCTGGCTTTTGGCAGTGTTGAAGCTAATCTTCAGCTTCTCAATTTCCGATTCCTTCTCTGCCAGCTTCAGTTTCAACTTCTCAGCAACTCCTTGCCAGCGCTTTTGCTTTTCCCAGAGATTCAGGTCAGATGCACTTTTAGCCTTTCGACTATCTGCGAGATTTGTCTGCTTTCTGAGCTCCTCTTTTGTGTCCACGAGCTCACTTTGCAGCTGCTCGATTCTTCTCTGTAGATTCTCTTCCCTCGTCGTGATCCTCTCGTTCTTTATGGAGATTACTGGTCTCCTAATTAGTTGATTCTTCAGAGTCTTCACCATTTCTCTGGCTTGCTTCTCTCGTTGGCTCAGATTAGTAATCTGTCGCTTTAGAGCTTCAATTTGGGTGTTCAGAACTTTATTGGAAGCTTCGGCTCTACTCAACTCGGCGCTGAGCTGTGCTAACTGATCAGCAGAGTGAAGAGTTGCGTCGCTCATGAACTTCTGCTGATCATCCTGAAAGAAAATATTGAAAAATTATCATATGCCTCGTATGATTCTTGGAAAAAATCTTACGTGGAAGTGTGTCAGAGTATCTGTAAGATCATTTATGTGGCGATCCTTTTCCTCCAGCATCTCTCTGAGTTGCTCAATTTCTCTTCTGTTAGCAATGTTGTCTGATAAATCTCTGAGATCTGTATTGAATCTCTCATTGAGAGCAGAGATTTCCCTGTCTTTTTCAGTGAGACTTTTCTCCCACATTGACTCTCTGTTGCTGACCTCACGAAGTTGCAATTGAAGACGCCTGATTTCTTCTTCATTTTCCGCAATTCTTGTTTCCAGGGCAACAATGCGGTCCTTCTGGGCCTCATCAGCAACAGCCAAAACTCTCTTCTCATCCAGCAGCATCTCATCCAAATACCGATCGTCCAGAAAGAGTTTCTCGGGTTCCTGAGAAACCTCTGGAGATTCGGCTTTGGCCTTCATTTTCTGCTCTAAATCCTCAATAGTCGCTTCCTTCTCCTTTAATCTCCTCGCAAGATGATTTATCTCTGCCTTCAGAGACTCCATATCCCTTTGATATTCACTGCTTGACTTTGAATGCTCGTTTCTTTCAGTCTTCAATAGTTCTTGATATCTGGACAACGTGGTGTCTTTTTCCAGAAGAAGATTCTGCAAGGAAGCGATTGTGATACTGAGAATATTGTCATCTTTCCTGCCAGATTTCTGGCCATTCTCCAAATTCTTCTCGCGCTCCTCCTTCAGTAGTCTTTCCTTCTCCTCGACAGCCTTTTCGAAGGCTTTGATCCTGCCTTGAGTCTCCGCCAGGCGACTCTCTGTCTCCAAAAGAAGAGCACTTCGCGTAGAAGCCAGTATCATGGCCTGCTTTAGCTGAGATTCCAATGCCTTCAGCTCAGCTTCTGAAGCTTTATTGCTGTCCAGAAGCTTAGGAATTGCTGGGGACTCCAAAATGATTTTTTCAGGCACTTCAGCGTCTGTGTTGATGGATTTTGTTGTCATTTCTGGAGAACTTTGCACTGCCTTGTCTGCTCGATTAATTGTCTTCTTCTTTGAACCATTTGTCTTCAGCAGAAGATCAAGAGTGTTCCAATGTTGCGCTGATTCAGCACTTGAAATTTTCATCTCTGTTATTTCACCCTGAAGCTCTTCCTGCTTCTTTTCGGACTCTCTAAGTTGTTTTTGGAGCTCTTGAGAATGAGTTTGACATCTTACCAATGCGATCTTGTCCTCTATAGCTTCATTCTCGAGAACTTCTTTGACCATCTGTAGGCATTTCTCAGTATTTTCCTTCATGAAGACTTCCTCTTTGACTCTTTGATCTTCTTGAAGACCCTTTCTGAGAATCAGCACACTTCTCAAGACACCGATAAATTCCTCAATCAAGAAAAGAGGTGTAAATTTGCAATAAGATGTCTTTAGGAGCTGCAAACTTTGTGTTAGATATTGAATCTTCAAGAGATCATTCTTCCTGTTCTTAGTAAAAACTTCCTGCAGAGATTTCTTCTCCTCCTCAGCTTCATGTATTTTCTGCTCAGTCTCCTTTAGCTTAGCATTGAGATTCTCCACTTGCTTCTTCAACTTCTGTTCAGACTCCCTCAGATTCTCTATTTCTCTCGCTCCACGAGCAATCAACTGCTTTTCACTTCCTGAACACTGGAGATCCACTACCAGATGTCTCAATGTGATTTCCTCATCTGAATAGCGAGTCAGCAAATCCTGCTGTGAAGAGATCTGCTGTTGGGCGACTTTCAGCACTTCCTCCAAATGTTTCCTCTCAATCTTGAGTCTGGAAATCTCATCTTTCGTCTTTCTGGCATCATATTTCATATCTAGAAACTCTTCTCTTGTCACCAGATCCACACTGACATTACTATCAACGATGGCGAAATCTCTGGTGGGCAAATTATCACTCGCAGACTCTGGGATATTTTCCAGGAAATCCTTACACATTCGTGCGGATAAATTTGATAATTTCTGGAACTTACCTTCTAGCTTTTTGTATTCACTTTCCGACACTTGAGTGGAGATATCTTCTCTTAACTCATGGATTTCTTGCTCAAGGAAGCGAATCCTCGTTCTTCTATTAGTCAATTCCTTTTCAAGTTCTGCGACAAGGAAAATTTTATCTTTTCGTTCTGTCTTCAATTCTTCAGATGTGTTTTCGAAGTCTACCATTAGAAATTCCAGCTTTCGTCGGTTTGTCTGCAGTTCTGTCTGGAGTGTTGAATAATTCTCACTCTTCTTCAGCAAATTCTGATCTCTGTCATCCTCTGAGAGACTCAAGATCTCCTTCAATTGCTTTAATTCCTCCCCTTGTTGCTTCATAGAGTCATTCTCGAGTATCTTGTGCTGTAGTTCAGCAGCAATTGACGAACACTTGTCTCTAAACTCCTCGATCTCCTGAGTCTTCTCTCCAATGTGACTCAGAAGAGTGTCGAAGTTCGTTGATATTTCCTCTGTGATGTCCGTTTGGGTGTATTTCTCTACTCCTGATGGTATATTGGTCTCCACAGTTTGAGTTTGAGTCACTCTCACGCGTTCCTTCAGTGCGAGTTCTCTTTCCTTTACAACTATCAATTCATTCTGCATCCTCATGGCAGGATGATACCATCCACTGACACTTCTGGCGTCCAATGCGTGCAAAAGCTTCTCCAAAGTCGATGAATCTACAGTGATGTGATCAGATGATGCGTCGTAATCCCTCAATTTATGAAGAATCTCATGCATTCCTATCCTCAGATTCTCATTCTCCTCCACAACTGTCTTGTAATTCTCTTCTAGCTTTTCATCTTTGGTTTTACTGCCTCTCCTAACACATGAGGAACAAATATTGCTTTCTGGAGTGAAGGTCTTTAGGCATTTCTCACAAATATTCTCAGTTCCTGTGACAAAATTAGTGCCCGATCTTCGTTTTAGATCATTTTTCTCCAACTTCAATTGTAATCGCATCTCTTCAGACGCCCTCAGCTTCAATTGAAGACGTTCTACCAACTTCTCCAGTTTTCTCTGCTTTGCATGGATAGAAGTTGTGGAGATAAATTCATCCTCAGCGATGCCCAACTTCTTCCTCAACACCACATTCTCAGAAGCCAAATTGTGAAGAGTGTTTAATTCCTCAACGAGTGTACAAATCTGTTTGTCTCTAGACTTTATCTTTCTTTCAAGACTGGCGATTTTGAGGAGCGCTTGAGGAAGTCCGTCAGTTCCAGATTCATACTGTCTAAGAGCGTCTATAGCTTCCAGAGATTGCTTCGCCTTCAGGACATTGTCCTCCTCTAGGGAAATCATTGCGAATTCCAATTCTGAAACCTTCTCTTTTGTCTTGTCCAAGAGTGCTTGAGTCTCTTCGCAACATTTTGCAGTTCTTGCCTCACTTTTAGCTGATCTGTCAGAATCCTTCGTATCTGTCTGATGGAATTCCTCTAATTGAGCTTCCAAGGCAGTAATTCTTTCTTCTTTCGTCTTCAGTTCATCAGTTAGACGACGAGTTTCTCTCCTCTCAGCATCAATATTGTAGCCAGGGTGTTTTTCCAACAGTTCCTCGTACTTCTCTTTTAATTTCTCAAGCTCTGCATCCTTCTCGTCGATAAGATTCTTCCAAGCATAAGCACGCTCTTCAAGTTTCCGTCCAAAGGAGTCAATTTCATTATCGCGCTCCTCCATTTCTTTCTGCATCTCTCCATTGACACTCTCCAGATCTTTAGCTTTCACTCCCAGAGCTTCTATCAGATCGTTCTGCTCCTTAATCTTGAACTTCGCCTCAGCATATTTGTCTGTCACGGAAGCTAAACTGGCTGTGGCATCTTCCAGACCACGTCGTAGTTCCTGAACTTGCTCCTTGAGTCCTCTGGACTCTTTTTCCAGAGATTCAATATCTCTGAGAAGACGCTTGATGTGCTTATTCTTTGCACTGATGTTACTCAGCAATTCTTGCTGTCTGTCCAAATCTGACAGAGCATCTGGAGAATCTTCTCTTTCACTACCAAAGTGACTGTCTTGATACTTCTTTTGCAGTCCCACAATCTCTTCAGACAATTCCTTAATTTTTCCCTTCGATTGAGAATTGGAAAACTCCAATCTCTCAACTTGCTTTCTTAATTTTGTGTTCTCGGCCTCTAGCGATTTGTATTCCGGTGTACCCAAAATCTCCATCTCTGCCTCTTTAGTCGCCAGAGCGTCCAGTTCTGCCAGGAGGGAAGTGACTTGCTCACCTTTGTAGCGCAACAAATGCTGACAGAGTTTAAAGAGCTTCCTGTAGTTCTTTCCATCGAAGCGGTCGTAATCGGAAATGCGAATGATTTCCTCGAAAATCTCATCCTTTTTGTCCTCATCGTCGATTTTCTCGGGACTCACGGACAGGATTTGCCTCCAGTTTACCTCCATGACTAATGCACTGTGTTTGCTGTTTACTGGTCGCTCTGGGCAACACGAAGGCGGGTGTTTTTGGCGCGGTGACTCACATAACCTCACATAGATATACGCAGCCTGAAAGTATTCTGGATCTGTCAGTGCGTCTGCCGGTGCTCAGCAATTTTCACGACTTTCCCGAGGTTTTCCTGTACCAGAGACTGCTAAATGGAGGCGAATGGAGCACCTACTGACCATCTTCATAGAAGATGGACCCATATCCGACGAATTCTGGAAGTTAGTGGGCCATTTTGTCACCCCAATTTCACAGCTTCGGACTCGACGCTGGAGTTCATCATGAATTCCTGCAAAATCCTGGTTATCGGCGCCGGTGGATTGGGATGTGAATTGCTAAAGGATCTCGCCCTGATGGGCTTTCGGAATATCGATGTGATTGACATGGACACGATTGACCTGTCGAATCTCAACAGGCAGTTTCTCTTTCGTCGGAAGGACATCGGAAGCTCCAAGGCGAACTGCGCTGCTGCCTTTATCAACTCACGAATCCCTGGGTCCAATGTCACGGCACACTTTAGCAAGATTCAGGACTTCGATGAGTCCTTCTACAGGCAGTTTCACATTGTTGTCTGCGGACTTGACTCTGTGGTGGCCAGAAGATGGATCAACGGGATGCTGCTATCGATGCTGGTGTACGAGGATGACGGCAGTGTGGACCAGTCATCGATCATCCCCATGATTGATGGAGGAACTGAGGGATTCAAGGGCAACGCTAGGGTCATTCTTCCCGGAATCACAGCCTGCATTGAGTGTACGCTGGATTTGTACCCTCCTCAAGTGACTTATCCACTCTGCACCATCGCCAACACGCCCAGGCTGCCCGAGCACTGCATTGAGTATGTGAAGATTATTCAATGGGGCAAGGAGAACCCCTTTCAAGGCGCTGCTCTGGACGGAGATGATCCCCAGCATGTTTCTTGGGTGTATGAGAAGGCCCAGGAGCGAGCAAATTCGTACAGCATCACGGGATTATCTTATCGCCTCGTTCAGGGCGTTCTGAAGAACATCATTCCTGCTGTGGCGAGCACAAATGCTGTGATAGCAGCTGCTTGTGCCACTGAGGTGTTTAAAATCGCCACCAGTTGCTACGAGCCCTTGTCCAACTACGCAGTGTTCAACGATTCAGACGGAATTTACACGTATTCCTACGAAGCAGAGCGCAAGGACGATTGCCTGGCCTGTAGTCAGATTCCGCGGGCTGTTCCCGTAGACGATCCTGCCACAATGACTCTACAGGACCTTATCGATTTCCTCTGCGATAGCCCTGAGTTCCAGATGAAAAATCCCGGACTTACGGCCACGGTGGACGGCAAGAATCGCACTCTCTACATGTCCACCGTGCGGAGCATTGAGGAGAGAACCAGGTGCAACCTCACACTCTCACTGTCGGAGTTGGGACTCCACGATGGTCACGAGCTGATGGTGGCCGATCTCACGAATCCCATCGCAGTCACGATCAAGCTGAAGTTCGCGGACAAGGAGGCGGAAATGCTGTAAAATATTCAAGTATCTGTGTTCTTATGGAGAAATAAAAAAAAATACAGGCACTTTAAATACTTGGTTATAGTGTGATTTATTGTAATATAAAAGAACCATGATTGTAATTTTTACATTTACTGTGACATGACATTGAATTTTTCCACTTTTACCTTCCTATCGTCTTCTCTACTTCTCCCAAAAAATGCTCCATCTGAACATCTCTCAATACATAATCATGTGTATATATAGTAAATTGTAAATCTCTCTATGTATAGTTTTACTGTATAATCTTGCTGTGAAATAATATGCTAAAATTGGAAAATACGCGCCGCGGCGCGCTTCGAAGTAAAGATCCTTGTCTCGCGCTAGCTCAGCGTGAATAAATACAGAGAGAGTGCGTGATCAGTAGGCCTGCGCCTCCTTGTAGTCGCTTTGGTCCATCGTGAAGAAGTCCTCGAGCTTCCACTGGAGCGTCTCGAAGGTGGGGCGCCGCATTGGGTCCTTGTGCCAGCACTCCAGCATGATCTCGTACAGCGGCTTAATGCAATTGGGCGGCATTGGCATTCTGTAGCCGTGCTCCACTTGGCTTAATACTTCTGCGTTTGTCATGCCTGGTGTGGAGAGAGAAAATAGGGCAAAATCCGTAAGATCAAGTAAATTTTAGAGGTTGAGATAATAATCAAAGTGGATGTTTAGCATTACGCTCTCAATTTCAAAGGTGTTATAGACAAATGGGCGGAGCGTTTGATCAGCGAAGGTTCTTGGAAATGTTGTTAATTTTTTTATTCGTACTTTTCAGATGTCCACCATCATTAATTGTCTTCATTTAGCAATGCATTTTAATGATATTAATGGAATGTGTAATCATAAGTAAATTTTAGCGTGTGATTCTAAGAAACCTTTCAGAATACGATAAGCAACTGGCAGCACTTCTTTATTGATCTTTCATATCCGCCTTCAGTGTGCTTTTTTTTGTTGTAATATCGACTGTTTAGACAATCTTTAAGTTTTCGAAATTCATTACATTTAATTCCCTTCTCAAGCATTCATTCCCAGAACCACAATCTTCACGTGTTTTGTCCCATCACAACAGAAGATGTCAATAAGAAAGTTTCCAGAAATATTGTACAATTCACTTCCATGGAAATTCCTGTTACCACGCGTGCGTGCGTCTCTGTATAAATCTGGAGCTCAAGTAGAACACCTTTAGGAATTCCCCATATCGTCGCACCTGAGAGACTTCAGATGCAAAATGCGAGTGGTGAATCAGTGAGAAAATTCATGCATAATCAATTAAAGTTTCCCAACAAATTAACACTCCCGCGAGATTCACAGACTGAAGATGAAAGTGAGAGACGATTTTTTTTTCCAAGTCTCTTACCTGGATATGGAATTCTGCCACATGTCACCAGTTCAGTGAGGAGAATTCCAAAACTCCACACATCGGATTTAATGGAAAATTTACTGTAATTGGCAGCTTCAGGTGCAGTCCACTTAATTGGAAAACGAGCTCCAACCTTTGCCTCATACTCATTCTCTTTTATTAATCTGCAAGAAAAGGAAAGAACAGAGGTAATAAAATCAGCTCCATGCAAATACACCGTCTCCAGATTCTTGTTCCACTCACCTTGCTAATCCAAAGTCGGCAATTTTAACTATATTATTGTCCCCAACGAGGACATTCCTGGCCGCTAGGTCACGATGGATGTAGTTCTGGGACTCCAGATACGCCATTCCAGCCGCAATCTGACCCGCCATGTCAATCAGCTGTGGCAATTTCAGGTTGCGCCCCTTGTTCTGCAGATAGTCAAGCAACGAGCCGTGCTTCATGAGCTCCGTGATGATGTAGATGGGCTCCTCCATTGTGCAGACAGCATACAATTGGATCAGCTTCGCGTGACGCAGTTTCTTCATGATCTGCGCCTCCGCCAGGAAATCCTTAGGATCCATCGTGCCAGATTTGAGCGTCTTAATCGCCACCGGTGTTGTGTTATTCCACAAACCCTCCCACACGTCACCAAATTGTCCAGATCCCAATTTCCGGACAAACTTGAGAGAGCTTCTATCAATCTCCCACTGATCGCGTGTCCGATGTGACAAGCCCTCAGTTACAGGCTTCTCAATCTGTCCAGGAAGAGAAGGAAGATAGAGAACGTCAGAAATCAATGAATTTGTTCTCAAAATAAAATCATCATTTCTTAATCTCTTCTGCGCTCAATACACATCAACATTGCAACCCTTAAATGAACGACTTTGTCGCATCCATAAACAATCGTCGCACATGCATTTTGACAATTTTCTGACATCAAACTTCGTCTACCTTCTGGAAAGTAAGTCAAAATGTGTATGCGACCTCTGTTTACAGAATAAACAACTATTTTTAATAATCTCTGAAGCAGCTCTCAAGCCTCAGAGATAGAATGCATGAACAAAATTAGCCAAATAACATCACTACTAAACATCCATCAAATTAATTTTGTGATCATTCATGCATTTAAGGGTTTCCAACCAAATAACTCCAACATTCTTCCTCTTCCTGCCCACCTTCTTCTCCTTCTCTGGCAGAAACATTCATAGGCAAAAAACAGAACGAAACTATACCAGCAAAGTAATGGTGATGTTGTGTATCTATATGACAAGTAACTCAATTTTAATCATGATAAATTTGGATTCTGTGTGATAAAAATCAATAAATTAAATTTCTCCCTCTCTCTCTCTCTCTTGCTCTCCTCAATTTCAATTTTGGAAAAGAAAAAAAGACCATATATGAAGACAGAGAAAGTAAAGAACGAGAAGACACTGAAGAAAAATTGCTCTGAGAGAAGAAAATTTAAGATGTAGATTAAATAAACATACAGGAGAGTTTCCTATTTACCTCAAAAAGACCCAAAACGACTGACTAAATTGAACGAAAAAAAGATACAAAACCTTCTTTAGAGACGACACAAAAGTTCTGCTCTCTTTTCATCATTATCTTAATTTCTTTAGCATAAAACACACACTCTGAAAACCTACTCTCTTCAGTTATCATTATCCACAATTCTAACCAGACTTTAGCTGAATTACAGAGAAATACAGGACATGGTGAAACATCGCCTATAATTCTCATTCTAAATATATTGCTTATCAACAAACATCATCCAACTCACCTGTACACATGGTTTACATAAATTTACACACAATCCATCTGAATCCTTAGAATAGTGTTCCACCAGCTCCTGAAGTGTTCTGCAAATATAAACACGCGTGAAAGTCATATTGCGAAATATGAATGACAAAATATATATTATTCAACTATAAAGTGTAATTGTTGAACATGTCGAGCAATTTATACTTTTGTTGTGACATTCTATGAATGTGAATTGAATTCCTGAAAATCACACCGCGATGCTAAATAGGTCAATTGATTTCAATATCACGCCGCATGGAGAAGTTGAAATAAGGTGTCGAAGTCGAACCATTAAACGGTCAATGAATCGCTCGGACTATTGTTACTCTTAAACTCCTTGATCACAGAGTGAGAAAAGAAGTACAAAACCTACCGGAAAGTTGTGCGTCGCGCTATGAAGAAGCCACCTTCATCCAATTGACGGATTCGATAGTGTTTCACTGTGTCTCCATCACGAACTGCAATTATAAAATGCAAATTTCCAATCATCAAATAGTTTTAAAAATAGATCTACACACTGTCGTATAATTAACTGATTCACGCGCTCTTTCACCTCACAACTGCTCGCATACACAAGCACGACTTCTTTTTCTCCAATTCGCTGCTCTTTCATTCATATAATTTATACGCACACGGAACACACAGGGTGTTTCAGCGTAGTTTTACTAGACTATACTTGTTATCTAGACGCAAAGTTTCACTAAATATGCAAACATTATTCTATACAATTAAAAGAAAATATAGTGGCGAAAAGATTAATACCACGATTCCAGAATGAACTGTATTTAAGTAATTTGGAAATTTAATGAGGGCCAGTATAGAACAGGAGTATAAATATTACTTTTTATTTTCAATCGTTACTTTTAAATAAATCTTCATTTGCTTATCCGAATTTTTCGCGATTTTTCCACTACATTCATGTCAAAAAGACTAAGAATAAAAGAAGAAGCTGTCAATCCGGTCATAAGTTAGTTTGTCAAATAATTCATAAAAGCTTTTAGTTTGATTTCATTCAGGAAAACTGTATTACAACTTCGGAAATACCGCATAAAAACCTGTTCGCAAACATCAGAATTCTATTTCGTAAAATAATATGACAAAGTCGCATGTTATTCATTATTATTGCTATTCAATTAAGTCAATTATCCAATTATTCTGTTCATATTATTAATTCTATAAATATTATGTGCATCTTAAATATCTCCAATGTGTGCTTTTAACATTTTTACAGGCGCACAGCTTCCCATATACTCACCAGACAGTGAATAGTCATTTTGGCGACTCTCAGAATCACGTATGAGAAAAGCTCCATGCTCATTTTCGGGAAGTAGTAGTTTCTTCTCAGCTTCTATGCGTTTTATTTTTCTAAAATACCATCTGCAATTGCCAACAAGAGGAAAAATTACATTAATCGAGCATTTAGTTTGTTTCACCCGTTTGAAAATCTATAAACTTCATTGTTTTTTTCTTTTCCTTTTGCATCATTTCTCATCTCCTCTGGTATAGTGATATCACATGCCATTTTATGCTGTGGCGCGTCGCGGAGATAAATAAAAATGAGATGAATATCAATTGGACGCTGTGTGGCGCGTATAAAATCTTACACATCGACTGGAAAAATGCTGTTCGAGTTGAGAAAAAAAAACGAGCCATTGGCGCCAGTCACAGCATCCCATTTACTTCTTCACCATCATCATTTCTCTCCTCCATAGTCGCTGTGGCAAAAGGCAATTTCTGCAACATCACAACATCACCGAGGAGAGAGAGAAAGATGACGACGTCGTGGCACTTTGCAAATACCATCAAGAATTTCTTTCAATTTTCACTTTGATACCATGTCTCTATTTTAATCGACTGCGACGCGATATGATGGATAACATGGAAAAATTGCATGATTTTACAAGAAGACGTCTCTTCTTCAGCCTGTCTCTCTCTCTTCCACGTCCCCAGGCAATTTGTCGCTTGCCATCTCTTCACGTAAACACTCCAATTTCATATATCAATGAACAACTTTTACAGAAGCTCCTATTCTTGTTTCTAGATCAACAAAACACAAGTCTGAGAAAACCTGTTGCAAATTTATATGTTTAGCTCTATCTTCAGTATGTTCACAGCTATTGTGATCATTGGAAAGGTGTTGTTTTTAAGCAAACAATAAGTTCTCTTCGGATGTCAATTTAAAGTAGTCATCACACAAATCCCATGTTCAAATAAACATTTCAGGCCTCGTCACAGGTTTTAAAAATCCCGCATTTTGACGCAAAAAAGCGTCAATTTTCACTTTTTGGACATTTTTCCCGCGTGATATCACCAAACCATGTGAATATTAACACGGCTTGCGGAATGGCAGAGCCGTGAAAACTGTAAATAAAGCCAAGAGCAAGGGAATAAAACATTTAATTGCACTCTCTTAAAAACAATTCCAAAAACTTGCAACATTCTCTCTTTAACTGTTGTATACACGAGGAGGAAATTGTACAATGTCTCAAATTCTTGCCTAATTGAACATCACTTTATATCGCCAATATTAAGAAATCACCCTCAAAACCAAATCCAATTGAATTATTTCGGTGAATTTAGAAGAATTCACAACGCTGGAATAATAAAAAAAAGCAACGCCAAAACAAGAAGTGTAAGAAATGTTAAACATCATTAATTGATATTTCCCGCATTGAAGTCCAATGGATTGCGCAACATTTATGCAAAATATTCATATTACGTGGACCTAATTAAATGTCCCTGACGTTGATGTAGACAAAAACAGGCGCACTGGGAATTCCACAATAACAAAGTTGAATGAAACTGATATCAAAGAAGAATTCTTGCGACATTTTTAGTGTTAATTTTTCAGTGAAATTCATTAAGAAAAACCCCAGTGATAAAGCCCAATTTCAGTTAAACGATAGCAACTATCAAAAGCCCCGAAAAGTCAGTCCAAACAAGGTCAACGGATTACTTTTTGCACCATGTCAATAAATATTTCTGACGGTGAGAGGCTGCGTTTGCCTGCGAGCCTCTCTTCCACAATGGAAAAGTGCTTCCGAGAAATTTTTGTACAAGGTTCGCATACTTTTACGTAATCTATATTTTTATGTGAAAACCATCATGTGTGAAAGGTGAATTCTTTGGGAGTTTTCCACTGAAGATATCGCAAGAGAGTGAGCGAATGCACAGAGCGAAGTGAATTCAATGCTTCATTGCTTTCATCTCGACTAAGTTCTAATAGAATGATGCGCCAATCCAAATTCAGAGCAAAATTCTTGCTACACACACTTTAACTTGGTCTTTTGAATGAGCGGAACCTTCAAAATATTTTCTCTACTTCAACTTATCAATCTATCCAAGTTTCTTAATAAAAAAAAACAATAAAAAATATCAATCACTTACAGCTTCTCATTGAGAAACTCTCCCCGAGTAAATTCCGATAGTCGTCTTGTGTTACTTTTCCCTAAAGATCGCTTTTTTAACTGCGAATTCACACTGAACTTAATGGCACTCTCTTTTCCGGCCTCATCCTCACCACCCGCAAGAATGTCCAGTGAGTTGCTCTTGTAGATCTGCAAGTTTCGGTGGATTCTCGAGTATAATTCTTCACTGGGAGCCTGAGTGGACTCTTCCTGTGAGAAGATATTCCAGATCTCAGGGATTTTCGGTCGCTGGACATTGGAGAAACGCCTTTGTGGTGCCTTCGTGGATGTCTCAGTGTCTTCTAGCCGTTTCTCTGGGACCTTTTCCACTGAAAACCGCCCTGATGGCTTCACTGGCAGGGAGTCTTGCTTCAGAGATTGCAGGATGTCGTATATTGTGCCACATGAGCTGCCATCAATTGTATTGACAGTGGAAACTGGGGCTAGAGACTTGTGGGCTGCGATTGTTTTAGATTTCCTCCTCTTTCGCATAAAGGAGTTGTAACTTTCCAAAGAGTGTCTCCTCAGAATCTCATAGATTGTCCCATACGTCATGTATTTGTCATATTTCTTGTATGTTTTGTTGTAAATCTCATTCTTTCTCAGTGTAATATCATAAATAGTTCCATAACTTATCAATTTGTCATAGATTGTGAGCTTCTTCGTAAAGATTAATTTCTTCTCATCGTCTTCTTTCTTCTTTCGAGAATTTGGAGCACTCTTCACCATAGCTTTTGAGGAACTCGCTTCCGGTTCCAATTCACTTAGTATTGCCCGGAATTCCTCGAGAGATTTCCTTCTGTTGTGTGACTGCTGGACAATCTCCTTCCTCTTGGCCACCTTCTCTTTATCCGCTTCAATGAAGCCCGAATCTGACGAACTCACCGTACAGAGAGAATCAAAACTGGTCTTGCGACTAGAACAACTCGACTGCTGTTCCTCAGAACTCTTCCGACGCTCTTTCACCTCCTTGCTATTCAATTGAATGCCCTTCCTTGAGCAACACTTGGCGCAACAGAGATTCTCCTCCTCCTTCTTAGTCCTGTCATCCACAACACGACTCTCCACACTCAGTCCATAATCCAGCAGCACGAGGGCAGAATCCGTCGGCAGGATCAAGCGCCCCTCAGTTGCTGCAGCCACGAGATTCTTCACCACCGCAACATGCTTCTCAGTTATATTGCCCTCTAGTTGAATCCCATGAAGAGCAAAAGCCGCTGGTTTATTTCCGCCATCGCCACTAGAGTCGGCACACCACACAACGGGAACCGTCGAAGACATCCTTCTCTTACAATAAAGTCTTTCTTGTCACCTTCCACTCAATCTCCACGTTTTCTTCTCATTGAATTTGTGCAACACTTATGTAATGCCTATTTTCTTACACGACAAGAGATGTGAGAGTGCTGAGAGAGACACTGTTTGCAATAAGAGTTCCGGGTTCATGTAATTGGGTCAACTTTCATCCACCTAATTGTTCTTTAATCATTCAAAAAGCATCCCCCTATTGCAATACACTTCTTCAAAATTCCAAAGATGCACCACTAGCAGCTTTCTTTTCACTGTCAAACATCGACTTTACCAACTCGACAAATTTTCCACTTAAATTAGAATAAATACTTTCAATCAAATAACCACAGAACACACTGAATCGTGCGTTTGAAAAGTCACGACAGAGAATTCCTTCACTCCACTGTCTCTGCAGTCTTTTATCTTCTTTTGCTACCACTTTTTCTCTTTCTTCACAGAGTCCAACTCTCGAGCGCACGAAATCGACCATCGCACGACAAATTCAAAGAGACAACTGAATTTCTTACCACCATTCAAACGATAACTTCAGTTGGGGAGTTGGAAGAAAAAACCTGTTTAAAGACAACCACACTCACTAACCATATTGGCAACTTGAGACCCCCCAAACACATACACACTCAAGCCAAATGCTAAGCTTTTATTGCCATCAGACACATGGATATATATTTCAACAGAGACTCATTCCAGGCACAGAAAGCGCGAGTTCGCCACTTTATCAGTCAAAATGCTACTGATGTTGAGGATAAGGACATTTGCAACATCCTTGAAAGCGTCCAGCTCGCAGTTGAAGACACTGCACCGATGATCATATTTCCATTTAGTGTCCGGAAACATTAACGCACTGTTCATGAGGCTGAGGTGAAATTAGACACTTAACCCTCGAGATTTGGCACAATTCAGGGTGAACCTTCGACGGGGGCGCGTAAGCAAGTGAGGTGTAACACCACCGGAATACTAATCAGCATCACCCAAAACAACAACTGTCAATGCAATTCCCAACCAGGCAAAATGGTGCGAACCCCAGCGACTTTTCCATCACTCCCGACCGTGTCTCTGTATTCGAGAAACACCCAACATACTTGAGAATGAAATGCATTTTTATACACTCATATTGTAAGTATTTCCCTCTTTGTCCACGCTCTTCTTTCACGGCCTCTCTCTGTCACTCCACTTGCCAGTGACTTCTTTATCACAAACAGCCACGAAGTCACTCTTGGCTTTTCCACAATTGCATTAACGCATTGAAGCAATGTTGCCTAGGCTGTTGAGCTCTTTCTTTAAACTCTCAATGAGACATGGCCGAGCAGCTGATGTGAGAAAAATATGCAAATCAACATTACATCTTGCATATGTTTTTCCTCAAAGCATTATTTATTGCATTGTCAGAAGAGATGAGAACGTATTTTCATCTTCCAAACCATTTTCACAAACAAAGACCGGATTGAGGAAACTCCAATCCATCGAGGAGTCCGCACGGCCATGAATACTCAAAATGAGAAAAAAAGGGGAACAAAATCACTTCCTTCCCAACGTCTTGATCGAAATATTTTCCGGCCACACTTATCAGTCTTGTTGTTCAGCATTTTTTCGAGTCGAATTCCCATTGCCACACGAGTTTCTTGCACCCAATCCACGATCGCAAGGATGGACAAGGTGAATAACACACTTTGAATTCAATCATCCTCTCTTCCCCGTTTTCTCTTCTTCTCACCCAACAACACCTTTTCGCCCATCTTCTCTACTCCAAACTCTCTTTCACATGTGCATTCAAATAAATTGTCCCCGTCGCGCAGACAAGAGACAGTGCATTTTTCGACTGAGCATATTTTATCATGTGAAATATACCATGACATTGGACCTCTCATCAACCCTCTCGTTGCGGCCATGCTGAACTTTTCAATTACCGCGGCAAATACTAATAAATTTCAACGGGAATGCAATATGAGCATGACGTCAATCAAGACAATATGAGTCATTGTCTCGATAAGATCAAGAATTACTCAATTAATCATCTCAAGAACAGTATGATTTCGGCAAATGACCTTTTCTAGGAAGAAATTCAACACGCCAAAGAACCGAAACGCTGGAGCTTTATGGCTTTAGAACTAACTAGAAAGATGGAAATAAACTTAACAGAAGAACTGTGAAATTTACAAACGCTGAGTTTAGTAAGTAAGAAGAAAACCGCCGTCAAGCTCAGATCATTATAAAGCCCACAAAACTAAGCTAAAGACGAAAATCTTTGTTCAATTATTGCATACTATAGTTAAAAAACCAAAACATAACCAATCTTATGTACCCTTTGTGGATGCATACGAAGCTTTCAGTGACTTCAAAAGTTTAATTAATCGAACATTTCTGACTATTCCACTAAAATAAAAATATCCTTCAATTGCATTCTTTTATACGCTTCATTTTCCAATCAATTCAACAAATAATGGATATTCAATGCAGAACAAATTGCATGCGAATAAAAGAAACTCTGTCGGCCGAAAACACTGCCAATAAGTGGGGAGGAGGGCATCGTATAATTCTTTTTTATAAATTCACATGAGCTGTGCTGATGGGGCAAAAAATGGCAAATATAGTTCTGTGCGCGAGTGAAGTTAATGCTATACAACAAGAAAGATAACCTTCGGGTAAATAATAAGAATTAATAATTAATTTGTCAGTAGATGGAATTTACTACTTGAATTCCTCAGCCACCTTCTTGTGGACGCGTCTTGGCAGTGACGCCAGGCTAGTTTCACATATTTTTCACTATGTGAACCTCAAATATCATGCCAGAGCCAAGTGCAATTTGTAGGGAACGCACCAGACAGACAGAGAGAGAGAGTGTGTGCACTCTGTGGCTCTTTGTAAGATGAAATAGGCGAGGTCGCATTTTTTCGTCAAAAGAATTAATACATAAATGATTAGAATGAGTTGTTGAGCGCCGAGTCTCACCAAAGAGAGTTTAGAAGAAGGCACAGTTTGGAATGTGGAAAGAAATTATCACGACTAACCCTCTCTGACGGATATAAAAAAACACACACGAAGATTACACCTCGATATTGATGAGTTTTTATTGTAATGATGGCAACAATAGATTGTCTATTTGAACATGTGCCTAGAAAATGATGCTGTGAGTGTGATTCACGCGATTAATGCAGAGAAGAAGAGCTCTAATTAATTTCCTGACAACAGTGGAAAATTCCTAGGATGTTGTCATTTATTTTGCTATTGTAATTATCGTCTTTTTACCTGCCTTGTTTGCTATCTTTATGCGGGGTGATTAAAGTGTTTTTTTTTCTTTCTAAGAAATAAACATCTCTTGCGATAGGGTTGGATTTGCTGGCACGAAAAACCTTCTCTGCACATATTTTACCCCTTGAAGGAAGCGGACAAAGGTCATGCATTCCTACTCGTGTGGAAGGACAATAAATGTGAACTGATTTTTATCTTCATACGCTAATTTCCCCATCAGAGGCAATGCAAAAGTGCAAAATGATGGTTGAATTTCTAAAAAGCACACATCACACACAAACTCATTGAAATGCACGTGAATCTCTCATCATTAATCTACAAGCAGCGATAATTTCGCCTTCAACTCGACGTATTTAGTGTGCCTCTCACATTTCATTGCACGGTGGCGAGTGTGTGTTGTATTTTTTTAGAAATTCGCCCAAGAGAGTACGTGAACAACCCAAGAAATTGGACGTTTTCACACTTACGGTTCAGCTTCAATTGATTTGAGTTTTGCAACATAATTCGATGGAATATATCCTTCCTGTCTTGTCTTTTTGCTGCGTGCCAGCCACCAGTCGCCCTGGAATTGAACAATTCGTGTATTAGCGCACTTCTGTGGACAGGAAGTCAGCCGGCTGTTGAGTCGAGCAGAATTGCCCTCCAATGGGGAGGTTGTGCAATTGATATCAGGTGAATTGAACTTGAATTGTGGATGAGACTCTCTCATGAATATCAATGCATCTCACGACTGTCAAGTGTGGTCGGAATGGGCAATTTGGAAGCGTTTAGAGACGCACATACTGGCCTAATAGAGGTGTCTCTCGACATTTCTATGATAAATCCTATAAGATGCCAATTGGACTGTGAAGAGGCAACTCGCCCGTAGACACCTCATATGGGTCAGTCTGTGGCGTGGGAGAGAGTTCACTTTTACTCGCTGTTTCACTCACCTGCGTGTCATTGAGTATCTCGAGGTGCTCGCCCTTCCGGAAGCTCAGGTCCTCGTCAGTGCGCGCATCGTAGTCATACAGGGCCACGAAGATCTTCGCATTGGATGTGCTGGGCTCGGTGTCCGGTAGTGGCGGCGGCACTGCCCTGATCGGATCACCCGGAACGGGTACAGGGGCGGGATTAGCCTGAATTGGCGGGTCCCCAATAATCACAACATCCCCGATGTCCTTCGACAGCTTCCGCTTCGGGCTGCTGAAGCAATTGCCCATGGTGGCGTCCCACTCAGCGCCCCCCGCGAGCTAGCACGAGTCCAGGAAAAGCTGTGCGGGGTCTCAGGCTGCGCCCCCTTTGACGTCTGCTTTGCTGTTGGCAGAAAAGGCCTTTTCCCACCACTGGCATGCACACTCAGCCGTCACAACTAGGCGCACGGGTCCGGGGTTCACAGAACAGGGATTTGGGGTGTCGTTCAGTCACTTTTCACCCCCTTTTCCTGGCATTTTCAATACACGAAAAAACAAGCAACACAATACCTCAGCAAACACCACAAAACATGGCCGACCGCATGAAGATTGCATCGATTGAGACTTTCGCCGCGCCACCAGAGCCACCTGCCAGCCAATCGAAAATGCAAGCCATTGCTAAATTTCTCAAATTTTATTTATAAATGCCTCTGTAAATAATTTATAATTGTATATATATAGGGATAAATACTCCATTCTTACGAATTACTACACGAAGAAGTACAAGTATAAAATATAGAGATAAATTACTTCATTTTCCTGCCATCACTCTGCGTTAATCCAATTTTATTCCTTACAAATTCACTACCATTTATAATTGAGATGAAATCCTTCCCTCGCCTTAGTCTCTTCGCGGAAATAATTTAATTGTTATTCAATAAATCCTACCAATATAAGAGCGTAATACATATTAGAAAAGAAAAGCGATTTCCCACAAAGAACAAAAAGACTTCCTAAACTTACAGTTAATATTGTTTTTCCCTTCATTTTCCACCCTCTTTCTAACTACATTGTAAAATATGCTGTTGAACATTGGGAAAAATCAGTCCAATAGAAATATGTATGTTTGATGTTTTTTCTCCTCTACCTCAAAAGTTACAATAAACACTTAAATGTTAAGATTACAGCTTCCTTAGTTACAATATAGTTGTTTTTAAGTTGCTTGAGAGAAAAAGCACACCCCGCGCTTAGTGGATCTTTGGGGCACTGCGATCGTTGCAAGTCTTATTGGGCTTCAAATTGGCGCCCCTTTTGATCTGATCCATGAGCGTGGCGTGGCAAATGCGCGGATCTGGCAATGTTTGGCTGTTAATCAGGTTCCGCACGGCAAAAGCCTTGCCCGACAGTCTTTTCGAGTTGACACTGTGATGATGCTGAAGATAGCCTGCAAGAAGAGCCCCCACCAAAAAAAGAAGACAATCAGTAACAACTCTTTCATATTCATTCATCAGGCCTCCGGTGGCGAGTCAAAGGCAAAGCAAAAGGCACTCAATCTTGCACGCCCTACTAACTAATTCATTAAGCCTTCCACACTCTCAAGTTACGCGGAATGGATTTCCTCAAAAAATTCATGGAGAAAGTGTATCATTTGCTCTTTTGCACGTGATTTCGTGTGCAAAATATAATAATAGGCAACACTTTGCACTTTTATGCAACTCAATTGCGCATCACTATTTCGTATAAAAAAGAATGCAATAAAAGAAAATTCTCGACTTCTAACTAGCCGAAAGAGCTTCCGATTCACTTTTCTCCACTTACAAATCACTTTAAACCAATTTAGCAAGCTCTGCTGAGAATATCAAGTGAAATTAATCTGAGTTAACAAGTGAAAATCCTCTTTGTAATCAGATTAAATACACGTTGCATGGCAATTGAAAAGTACGGCAAGCAAATGGATGAAAAAAGCATCACACCACACACCACACACACACACAAAAGACACGCTGCAATCTGAGGAAAAGCTAGTGTAAACAGAAAGAGAGATGAAAACTCGCCACTGCCACCGGAGCCGTCGTCCACACAGAAAGCGGCAAACTGAGAGAATGGAGGGTCATGGAGATGAGTACTTGTTGGCGCTACAGAGTAATTCCCCTCGTAATGCGAGTGTGAAGTGGACGGTGCCAAGAAGGGATTCGTGGAGATGTAGATTTTCTGATTCATCATCTGATTCTCATAGCCAACGGACGAATAGATAGGCGTCCTACCTTCCTGGCCACCGTACATTGCGGCCTTCTGGTGATCACTGAGACGATAGTAGATCTGCTGTTGCTGTCCTGGACTCTGGCTGTGACGCCCATACAGCTTGTTGGAGTCATTGTCACTGGACGAAGAGGAGTGAAAGTCACCTCCTGATGGTGTTGGACCTACAAAGGTAACACAAAATATAAATCTTCCGCTCCACTTTTTCATTCCTCTTCTCAATTCTTACTGTGACTCTGGTGGCGAAAACTGGACACTTTGGTCACCTTTGGCTGGGCATATAGCTGAGATGATGGTGAAACTTTCTGCAAAACACCATCAGAGATAGCATCTCGTCTCATACAATCAACAACACAAGTACTCACTTGTTTCCCTGTCGAATTGACGCTCTGCTGGCTCCTCCGCAAAATCTCTGGACTGGCTGGGAAGTGTTTCAAATCAGTCAACGCCTTGATGGCTTCAGCCACACTTCCGGCTGCAACGCAAAATCGTGGAATCAATGCAAAGACGAAGAAGAGTAAATAAACGAAGAAGTATAAAAGCAAATATTCAGGTAGTGTGTCTGGAATGAAAATTTCTCTCCCAAACTCTGAAAATCGATGAGACACGCACAGAGAGCTTATCAGATCCGCTCTTCTTTTGTATAAATAAACCACGAAATTTTCCCCACAGCGATAAAATGTATATCCAATATTTACTAATAATGTAAAATCTGCCTCTTGCATCTTCGCAAAAAACCATCTTTATCGCACTGTTGGCAGTTTAGTTGCGCGAAGTTTAATAATTTTATAGGATTATAGAACAAATATGTATTTATTTTAAGAATTCAACAATATTAGGTTAAGCCTCATATATTAATTTAAATAAAAAATACCGATTTTGCTTAAGAGTTACGATAATGTAACCAAAATTTTCAATTTCGAATAGAGATTTGATTTAGACAACATGAATTGAAGGAAAATCTCACCTGATTGCGATATATTTTCTGAGTCCAGCAAATAAGCTGGTGGCGGTGGAAGACTTTCCGATGACACGTTCATCAGATTCTGCTGTGAGAGATTTTGCGTGGCCAATTTGTTGAGTTGCTGACTCGGTGTGACGCTAGAGCTGCGTCGCACTGGAGGCGGTGGTTTTGCACTGTTTACCGAAGATCTCCTAGATCGCGATGCTACAAAGGAAGACACACCAGAGATTAATTATTTGCCTCTCTCATCTGTTTTTCTTTTTTTCCTCCATACTATATGTCATCAAACAAGATCAGTGTGGGGAAGAGGAAAAATAAATAGGAGAATGAGAGGTTAAAGCCAGAGGAGTTCTAAACTCTCTTGAGGCAATATTTGAATAAATACACACAGAGACACACGAAACACAGCATAAGGCAAACAAGCAGAGAAATTAATAAGTGTTGATAAGAGGGCGAATGTGTATCAAAGGAAAGAAACCAAAAAAAAAAACAAGACAAACCGGAGAGAGAGGCTGGACGGGGTGATATTGCGGGTCGATTTGAGATGCGAAACACCCCATCGCATTGATCAATCGATGGTGATGTTGGTGTTGTTGGTATTGTTGGCGATGGTGGAGGTTGCTTGAAAGACGTGACACGGTTTCGCGTCTCAACGCCATCCACGCCATTTGGGGAATCCACCTTTGGCTCCTTGTATCGCAGTGTCACCACTTCACAGTTGTTCTGAATGTATTCCTGTTGGCACGCCACTTCTTCCTGCCTCTCCACCTCGTGATCAATAGCCATAATCGGTATCTCACAGCCTCTCTGCAGCAGATCCAGTTCGTCAATCAGACTATTTAGCTTCTCAATGGAATCACGATGGAGTTTGTCTGATATCGTCCAAAGTCAGGAATACACACAATGTGTTTGTGTGTTGGGACACAAATAAAAGAAAAATAAGCACACAAAATCAAAAAAATATAAATAAACTAAAAATAAAAATACATCAATTCACTGTAGCTAAAAATATCTGCCAAAAAGTTACATTTTCCTTCACGAAAGCACACCGCAGAGGGGTTCATCAATTGGAAGAAACTCTATATAACCCCTTGGATAGCAACATTTGCACATGAGCACAAATTTGAAACTGTAATCTTACCCGCTTCCCTGTCTGGCTTCTTCACCAACTTGCTGTCCACTCTCTTGAGCACACTGCACTGTATCTGTTCCAGCTTCTCGAACATTGATGTCTTGGCCAGCACGCTCGAGCCCAGAATCTTGTCCTCCTCATCCGCCTTCGTGGGCGTTACCGTGACATCCGTCGAGATGGGCGAGCAATTCTGCGGTGTGGCCGTTGAGCTGGACGACTCATTTACGTCCGGAGAGATTAGTGGCTGAGCCACGGGCTTCTGCACGAGTTTCGACGCCGCCATGCTTGCTAATTCAGTCATATTAACGTACGTCGGCTGCATCTGAGGATAGTCCTTTGTCACATGTGCCGGCAATGATGACGGTGGCTTCACCTTCACTGTTGAGCTTCTCTCCAGCGATGAGCATCGAATTGGCAATGGTGGTCGGATGGAGTTGGTTTTTGGCGGCTCAGCCTTTACTTCAGGACTCTGAAATGTGTAAACTGTGAGCGCCGGACGCTGATGACCACGCTCATAGGCTGCAAGAGACAAAATAGCATGTCATTTCAGGCAATTAGGCGACTGCTTAGTGAGGAAGAGCACCAGAAAACTCACTAGATGAGATCGTATGTGGACGATCCACAGCAGAAACAGCTGGATCTTGGGAATTTGGTGGCCAAGTTGACATTATGTGAGATTGACTAGCAGTTGATGTCTTCACGGTTTTGCAAAAGAGGAAAAAACAAGACGGAAATATTAGACAAAGGAAAAATCTCACTCTCTTGTTACATTGCCTGAAAATGTGTAACACAAGTTATAAATCTCCACATCACACAATTGCTGTGTGTGAATAGCGCAGTGAAAGGCTTTTTTCCTTCCTTTTTCACACATCTCACATTGAATTCCATAAATTATCAACAAATTGGTGAATTAAATTGCAAAAAGAAGAAAAAACCCTTGAATAATCTCTTAAATGCACAAAGTGGCACAATCGCGTTGTCTCACATCACAATCTTCAGCGTTAAGACACCTGGACAGAGTCACTGTTCCGAAGTGGAAACAAAAAGGTGAGAAAACAATCTTCATTCCTCGCCACGCGTTCGAAGCCACCCACTCTGTGCTTTTTCAATCCAATTCATCGGCTGGAAATTTTGAAATAAACTATTGCAACATGCTCTCCGCATATCCATATATTAAATAATTCAGCCTTGCTATTAATTTTCTCCCAATAAACATTTCTCAATTCATTAATGCCACAGCAAAATGATCAATTCTCGATCACCAAAAGGCAAACGCAGCTTCATATCTTTTGGAAGCGGAAAAAGCTGGAGGAGGATTTAAATTACCGTGAATATTTCCACTGTAAATCCCACATTTTTTTTTCTCTCTCTCTCTCTCGCCCTGTCGTTTCTTAGCTTTTCAACATGATAAAAAGACCAAATGAAGTGCCCTTTTATCTGCACCTTTCTCGCATTAGTTCACGCTGTCTTATGAATTTTTCATCGAGTCCTCCTGAGAGATTTGATAACATTTCCTTCTCGCTGTATTTCTTGCGCTCAAAATGAAGAGGTGTTTCGGGTGTTCCCACGAGCAAAATCTCAGAGTCGCAAACAAGATTTCAACTCTGTGCACTCAGGCCACAGATGAGGAAATGGAAGCCTCTCTCAATGGTGGTCATTCATGAGCAATCTCATGACTTGATCCACTTTCATTCAAAATTCTAATTATTTATGCAAAGAATCTTGGTCGCAACTGCGCTCCACAATGGCAACGCCAGAAGAGACATTCACCTCGCGCGCCTGTCCCTCACATGCAGCATATTTCAGCTGTCTCAGTGCCTCTCTATCGCGCGCCTCTCGCGATATTGAGTGTGTGTACAGAAAAAAGAACATCTGTGACATAAATTAACATTATTATCATTTACCTGTGAGGAACAAAATCCACTATCATTTGACTCAGCGAGCTTCAAGCGGATCGCAGGCGATATTAACTGAAGAGAAGGTACAAAAAAAGAGAGAAAAGAACCAAAATAGAAAATAATTACAAAAATAAAATTGATAAAAAATAGGAACAAATTGACACCAGAGTTGAACATCATGTGGATGACGATAGAAGCAGTATTTCAGAATTAAACATTTCTTACACATTTATTTGTTTCCCAGGAATTGTCAAGATAACCATTTCCATAGAAAATACCCAGATAATTTTTTACAGATTTTAATAGGATAGTTTGGAAATGTTGAATCACAATAAAAAATTAAGTCAAATAAAATTATTTTTGATAATTCATTTTATTATCTCTCATCTATACCCGTTTAGCTATTCAGCTCTGGTGCCATATGCCAGATAAATTGAAAATTGCAGTGGAAATCAACGGGAGACTGGGTAGAGGACAAAGAAGCGCCTGAGAAATCTCACAATTGTGCCAAAGAAAATTGATTAATTGGGTTCTTACTTGCGATAGAGATCTTTGGTGTTGTGATCCCGCCGATCCACTACTATTCAGCGAATTTATCGAGCACACCGAACTCTTCCGGGAGCCCAGACTAGCTGAGCATCCGCCCTGTGAGCTGTTGCCCCCACTCGTTGCTCCCGGAGATTCTGGGTAGAGACTGACGGAGGACTTTGTGGCCAGGATGATCTCTTCTGAGGACGGCGGTAGAACGCTTGGTTCTTTCGTTACGTTCACAATGGCATCCATCGCCTCTTGAAGGTGGCTTAATTCGTACATCACTTCGTACTCCTCCTTCACCACCGGCTGCAGAAGATTCACGAAAGTACAGTAGCGTTCGCGCTCCTCCACCATCGCCACACGGAGACTCTTCTTCTCGATCTCCTCCAACTCAGCGCGACGCTGTGTCATGTCGTGCAGTGAGGAATTGACCAGACTCTGCATTGTGTCTGATTGACCCTTGCGCGCCTTCTTTTGCAGCCTCAGCGTGTCCGTTGAGCGCTTCTTCAACTCCGCCCGACACCGCTTGTACTCTTTGGTGTGATCTTTGTCAATGACCGCCACTTGGCGCTTCCACTCCTCAATCTTGTCCTGCAACGGCGCTATCAGGCAATCCATGATAGCTGCCGTGAAGGACTTCATTTTCGTTTCGACTGCCTTATGTCGGAGGCAGACACGCGTAAGCGCCGTGCCGATCTCCTTTGATCCACCTGGAAGAGAAACGGCAAAAAAGACATAATCAGTGAGAAAAAGCGCCCAACTAATGCCTAACTATTTTGAGATTCTGGGTCAGTGATCTCTTGAATTGGTAAAAAGGCCCCGAAGAGTGTAAAGAGATAGAGAGAGAGAGAGAGAGAGAAAAAAACTATACACACACATTACAGTGAAATCCCGACAAATTACAAACAACCACGCTCTATGATTTCTCATCGCACTTCTTCTCTTTCGCTCACTTCACCCACATTGTCTGGAAGGCAGAATCATTTCACCGTAGAGAAGATGCCACTTCTTCCGAGAAAATACCTCATCATAAGCAATCAAACACGTGTGGATGCCCCCTCGTTGTTGATTTAATCGCACACCCATTTTCTCCAGCCCCCCTTCGCCATCATCGTCACCTCCTTAATTGTAAACACTTTGCCAGTCTGAAGGACTTCCGCCCCACCTTTGCAAGAGAATGCAGAAATAGAGAGAAGGCTAAAAGGGACTTATTTAGAGGTAGATTGCTCTAGAATATAGCCATATTCTACAGCCATGGACTGAAAGGATAAAAGATGATATAATTGTGTCCTGATTGTCTCTAAAAAGCACGAGGGAAACAATTTTGAGAGAATTCATCATATATTTAAATCTTCGCTGAATTATCACAGATTTGCGGACAGATGTAAATTATTTTACGATCTCCAAATTGGCACCATGCAGTCTTTCACAATCCAACATAACAGATGAGACGGCAGTCTTCACATCATTCAGTATGAATATCAAAAGAGAAGAGATTGCGTAATTTCCTGAGAATATTTTTGCCTTGAATTCGAAAGAAACTGTCCACAAAATAGTGGAGTAAAAAATCACTTCCTCTTCATCAAAATGAAGAAATAAGGTGACCAAAAATCACAATTTAAACACAACTTGAATGGCACTCTGAAGAACCGCCTGTTGCCGATGATTAGAGAGTGTTAGGAAAAAATTCTCACACGCTCTGCAAAATGTCGCTGTGTTTACAACTGGCAAACATCGTCAAGACGCGAAACCATGTGAATGGGAGTGCAAAAATAACCTCGTGTGTGAATTGTTTACGCACTCAGTCATATTGACGATTCATTTTTGCCATCTATCTCTCAATTTGCTTCTAACGATATGCTAATGAGTGAATTCTTCCTCTGGCTTCGCTTCTTGTTTTATACTATCGTTTTTTTTTTAACAATGAACAATGAAGGTGGAAACGCGGAATATGATATCAAGTGAATGGGCTTTGACATGGGTAGGAAAAAAAGCACACTTGAACTATCCACAACTTTGCATGTAACTTTATCTCTCGTCAAGCGAAAAATATCGCCACGAATTGCATGGAAAATTCACATAAACCCACTTTATCTATTTGATTATTTCCTCCACAACATTATTTGCATGGAAAATAAATCTGTTTTAGGCAAGTCATTGAGAATCATATAGTTTTGTAACGTACTCAAACGCCACTTGAAGATTCATTTATGCCTCCCAAAAGACTCTCGCTTTTAACCAGAATATCAGTGAGCATGTCAAAAAAATCACACTCTTTCAGATTGTTATGACCGAAAAAAAGCAAGAATATTTATGCATCCACGCCTCGACTGACTGGTTTTTCCTTTCTCGCCAGGCGCACAATTTTATGACTTCAGTTATGGGGAAAAATCTTCAAGAACACACGTAACGATTTCTTCTTTTGCAACAATCGACCGGAATTTTTTGGAAAGTATGCTCAAATATCTAAGCAAATTCCCGCCAAATACCATGGAAGGTTAGAGGAAGTGTGTGTTTTTCTTCCCAATATATATATACATGAAACAAAGTAAGAAACAAATGTGTCTTGTGGACGAAACATTTCCTGAAACCGGAACGTGAGCATCTGTGGCAAATGCCCCAGTCGAAAAACCATTGGAAAATTGTGAGGGCGTTGAGAGAGAAAGAGCATTTCAATGGAGGTGGACGTGATTAACTTCTCTTCTCTCCTCCTTCACTGCCCAATTTCATCACGCCGTGGCATTTTAAATCAACTTCTTCAGTCCCATAGCTTAAGTTCCTGAAGAGGCGCACACACAAACGCCAAAAGACCCAAAAATACTCCTTCTGTATGTTTACCTTTCGAATTGGTGGCTGCATCGGCAATCTTCTGAAATGCATCCAAATACGTGGCGATTGCCTGAATGGCTGATCTCAAGCACATGTGCAGTTTGCTGGCTTTCATCACCAAATCCTCCCAGAGTGGTGTTGAGTTCTGCAAAGTGACAAAGAGAGAGAGAAAGAGAAAGAGAAATTCGTGAGTATTTTCTGTGTTATACTATTATTCCTCCTCCGCACTTCCATCCACATCCACATTTGCCAAGCCCTAAAGCCCAGACACACAGATTCAATGCAATCTCGAGCTCAAATTGATCATGATGTGAAATTGTAAATTGATAGTGTGATTGCATCGTTGCACGGTGAAAATTTGAGGGTGGCAGAAAAGCAATTTCAGTGCAGCGAAATTTCAATTTCACCTGCAATTAGGAGTTTTATTCCCCCCTAAACACTGTTCGAGTTTATACAAGACGCAGGTTGTGTTTTTGAGTGTTTGGAAGGATGTCAGAATCCACGCCCACTCGAATGCTCCGCCTTTTATTGCTTAATTGACCCTTGATTCACTGAGCCCAACACGTTTTTACAAACTGGAAGATCTGGTATTTAAGAATTTGAACCCAAACTGAACTTAATGAATTCTAGTGTGTTATATCCTAAATCTAAACATAAAATACCACCTCTAAGTTAGGATCAAGCTCCTTTCCGATCTTCGGGCGTCTCTCTTTTATGAATACCTCAATTAATTTACAATTTCATCTTTCTTTCTGAAAATGTAAATCTGATTCGAGCATCGCCGCGAAGACCATGTAATGTTTTCTCAATTTAATCGCCTCTTTATTAAATCTTCTCACATGCATTTCTCCAACTCGAATAGCATGATATTTGTTATTTTCTAATACCATTTAAAAGCCAGTGAAATAGAATTTATTTCCTGAGCATTATTATACATATATCAAAGAAAGAGAGTTTCCATGCAAACTCTTCACACTTTACTGACCACTATTGAATGATTTTTTTTTCTAGAGAAATTCTCAAACCCGGCATTTTTTCCTCATATTATTCTGTGCGATTTTAACATTGAGAATATCTAACCCAAATACCCAATCTTCTTTCGCTAGTTGAGCAGTAAGGGAAAAGAGCGCCAAAGAGATATTATTGCGTGATTAAGAGATAAATTAGAGTAACTTGCATAGTCTATAACGTAACTGTTTCATGCACATCGCATATACAATTTACTCTTTTTTTCATTCATTCCGCCAAACTCAACTAATTAGCAGAAAGAGAGTCTGGCAGAGTGTATTTAATACGCCAGGGAAATGTCTTACCTTCAAATCAGCAATTATTTGCTGAAATAAACTGCCCATGGCTGTTCCAACGGGATGCTCCAGATTCAGATCCATGCTTTCCAATCACTTCTGTTGCACTCCTCTTCACACAAAACACACACACTTCTATTATTATTGTCTCTGCTGCTCTTCTGACTTCCTGCAAGTACGACCAACAATCAGTCCACCCATTTCTCGTGGTCAGGGAAGCGCCAACGCGAGAGGAACCATGGAAAGAGGGCTCGTCAATTTGTCAGTCTGTCATTCAATTCCCAGGAAGTCCATTGAGACCCAACCCAGCGCAAGGCCCACCAAAATAATGAGATGCTAATCTATCTAGAACGAGGCAAGAAAGCCAAAGCAGAAGCGCACAAAATGAAGAGTAATTAGAAACTGATGCGTGATGGTTTTAATCTCATTCGAATCATTTTGCGTGGCATTTCAATTTTTCACGATAAATCACGGCAGATTTTTCTAAATGAATAATCCAATATCCGTTCTTTCCAGATTATTCATTCTATACGTGCCTATGAAAATTAGGTAAAGAAGAGAGAAAAAGGTTTAATTCAATTCTCAGGAATTTACACGCAAGCACCCTTTCAAATTAAATCATCGCTCTAAAGATGCTCTCACAACTTTGTGACTTTACGACGTAAAACACATGTCTTTTGACCTGATATTAGACTTTACAACAGTCTCCAGTGCTAGAATTTTCACATTAGCACACTCATCACTGAAATTACGGATTAAAGCATCATTTCATGATGTGGAAAATCAATGAAAATCGTCTGATAACGAGTTACATTGATGTTGGCAAATATATGCATCCCTTTCAGCCAACACAAAACTGTCTTTCGTGGGAAACCTTTGTGAATCTGCTTCGAATTATAATAATTCTTCTGACCCATTTTCACACAGATTTCAGAGGGGAGATTATGTAGCATTTCTTAAGTGGACAAAATTAATGGGAATGTGTGTTGCATTTTGGTGGAAAAACGCTTATGTGAGTAAGTTACTTGAGTGTTCCTCAATATTCAGCATATTTTTTCGGGTGTTTGCTTGTCTTCATGAATGTGCAATTTTGTGGATGGCTTCCGGATTTTACGGTCTGTGAAGAATCATCAAAATTTGTAAAGTTTGTTATACAAGATATTACGATATAAAATAAAGCGATTAGGGGAATACAAATAATCCTTAAGGACCTCAGCAATTCTTCATTCTGAGGGATCATTCCAAATCATCCCACCCAAAATATCTGAATAATTGACACTTTTCCCATGCAATGCGACGAATTGGGAAAGTGCGTTGATGAGGAAGTTCATTGACGCTTTTTCATCCACAAATTCTCGTCGTTTTTCTCTTCCGACCATTTCCAGCTGCACCGAAAATATTGTTCACACTTTTCGCTGTGTGAGCGAGACAACGTAACCCAATGCTTCCCTCGATTTAATTGGGACACGCATATGCCGTCTTTCTCTCTCGGCCACCAATGCGGTATCTCACTTCCTGCTCTCGCCAAGGGCGATTTTTTGTCACAACGCGGCGCTGGGGTAGATTTCAAAGTGCATCTGAAAATCACATGCGCAAGAGCGGGACGACGATAGCTAGCTTCGGGAAAACAATGCTATGTACATAATGGCAATGGCCGACAAGAGTCAATTTTCCCATTCGTTCCTCTCACGCCACTTCACAAGTGTCTGACGCCCACACGAGGTGATCCGCCACCCTGATGATCACACTAACCGACAGAGGCACTCACGGGGTACACAATCGGTGTACACGGGTCACGCTCCGTGACGATTTTCACCGTGAAAAGACACTCCAAATCAGCAGCAGCCACTTTTCTTCACCACCACTCACGAGACAGCACACGGCATACGTCCGTATTCTTCGGATGCACCACAAACACTGACGAGCTCTCCGTTATCGGGTCGGCGGTTCGCCATTGTGCATTGTGGCGCCATCTGAGCTCACGAAGGCGGCCGAGACAAAATATCGTCATTCAGCGCCGATATCATGTTCAAAAAAGGTTGAAGATGGTCGGGACTCAATTCCTGGAACAAATTGATAATGGATTCTTATAAATGTCAGATAGCAAATTCGCGGAATATGCTTGAATTTTGTTGTATTCTAAAGAAAAATTGAAGTGAATTCGATAGTTTTGGCGGTTTTGAAAAGATTTTTCTTATCATTCCACGAGAATCGCCGCAAGAGTTATTGCAACTTGCTATACTGATTGTCTAATCCTGATTGTGTTTAGAATCATTTTCTACTGTATTTGAGTAAAATAAAAAGGCTAAAATCAAGAAAAGTCACCCGATATCCCAGCATTCTGAGTTTCTCGCAGAATTTTTTATTGATTGCAGTTGGCAGCACTGTCTGTTTATGATCCCATTGAATGACAAGTTTACGAAATTCTTCACTTGGACGCATTTTGTCTGTGTTTTATTCGCATTTATTCGTGACTTTATCCCAGAAGTTTTGCCACAAATACTTTCACAAGATCCTCAACAGTGCATATCAGTTGTTTCTCACATCGCCGCTGTCCAATTTTCAGTGATTTCGCGTGTGTGAAAAATGTAATAAAATCCATTGAAGGAAATCCTCCACCGGAGCAAAGAATGGAAGGAAAATTTGATATCGTTGATTGAGCTGTGCCGCCAGCGATAAGGTGGAACATTGGCAGTTGATAGTGGGAAATTAGTCGTCTGATAAGGGGAGTGAGAGAATGTTTGGGAAGCTTTGATATGCTGGCCCTGCTTTTTGCCGCTACGCTGTTGCTCTCGCTGGTCGGGGGCAACAGCGATGTCGGAAGTCACTATGTACCTGTTATTCTGAACGGAAGTGCCACCGTGAGTGTCCGGAGACTAACGGATGCCCCGCCTGAAGAACCGCCGCGTGTTCAGAGACTCGCAAGGCGCCTTGAGGAGCGCTTCCGAGAAATTCGGGATGCCGAACTGGGTGTTCCTGATGTCCAGGAGATGTTTGATCTGATGGAATTCGCGCCGGTGATGAGGGATGACGTGGAAACGGTGAAGAGGATGTCCCAACGCCTGGCGGCGAAGATGGAGAAAGCACACCTGGTCATCTCCAGCCTTAAGGACTTCATCGTGGACACTGCCGAGCAACTTAATCGCACAGGATTGAACTCCGTCACATTTCCCTGTCCGTTCAGGGCATCGGCTCCGCCCTCTATTCAGTACGATCGCCAGCAAATTGAGATTGTGAACTTCATGAAGACATTAGAGGATGTTAAGCAGACTGAGGATCAGTTCGAGACATCCTTGACGGATGAACTGAAAAAATTCTCTCACAGCACTGCTCACTTTAAGCGGCAGTTTTTCCTGGCAACCAGTGACAATGCCGTAGACAAAAATTGTCCAGACAATCAACACCTCAGGACACTTTTCACCTCGGCAATCGCTGGAAAAAGAATCCTTCTCCTCGTAGACCACGGAAGTTCTCTCAATATGGATCAACTGGAGTTGACAAAGGCTACAGCAAAGAGTGTAGTTGGTCTTCTGCATGCCACGGACTTCATATCCGTGATTAGCATATCAGATCGCGTGGGAGTTTTCACGCCAGAGAGGAAATCCTGCACTCCTGAACAGATGCACGCTGCCACGCTAGATAATCGCGTGAAATTGACAAAATTCCTGGACGGACTCAATAAAACCAAGGCACAAACTAATCATACGCTTGGCTTTGAGTATGCCTTCAAGCTTTTGGTGGGCATTCAACAGGACTCTGAGATTAAGAGTGGCCAATTTATGTTTCTCTACATAAGTCGTGGCTTGCTGTCCTCCTTGGCGGACGCCACAGGGGTTCTGGAGGTGATAGCATCAGGCCAGAGAAGATTGAAGAATCCTGTGGTCATCAACACAATTCAAGTGGTTCTGGACGAGAAGAGGATAATGTATGAAACACAATTTCTCTGGGACATCACTGTGCAAGACTACAGGAAGCACAAGATAGAAGGAGCAGAATCGTCGGAGGCTGGGATTATGCTGACGGTGAATAAGTATCGAATGGATGAGGTTTATATGAATGTCACAGCGCTGTTTAGTCAGATGTTCAAAGAAGGACATCTCAGGGAGAATATCACCATTCATCAGCCGTACATGGATCCAGACACGAAAGGTGAGGAATAAGATAAGAAAATCACTGAATCCTAATCATATTCCATGTCTATGTGCCTTCTGCCTTTCCAGATATCCTCGTCAGCGTGACTCAAACTTGCGATCGCTTTGGAGTTTTCGGTGTGGATCTCTATCTCAATGATCTGGTTGAAGATGTTCTGTACTACAATAAGTATCCAGACTCTTATGCCTTCATTGTGGATCGGAATGGCAGTGTCATTTCTCATCCATCTTTTGCGGACCGTGCTTCGGCAGTTGAGATGATTTTTCCCACCGACATTAGCATGATCGAACCGCCACCCTTCACGTCCACCATCCGAGATGAGATGCTGCAGGAGATTTTCAGCACACACTCCTTGCGAGATGACACCACAAATGACACGGTTACCTTCACGTGGCATCATGTGATGGATTCTTATGTGATTTGTGTGGTTACACGCGTTGGAGGAGTGAATCGCTCTCCGGTGGTGTTGAAAAGAGTTCTCCCTGGGATTCACTACTACGCTCAACATCACAATGAAGTGTCTCTGGCGGCGCTGGATATACTATATCACAGATTGGACCTAATCCCACCGCCAGGAGGGAAGATAATGTGTCGACACTTTAAGCAAATTGCCACAATGGATTGTGGGACGCTCTTTCTCAGTCCAGGAGCTTTTCAGTCGCCCTTTGTGTTTGTGCGGAATAGCCGAGAGAGCACATCTAAAGCTACAATTCACAATATTCAGACTTTGATGGCGTACATCAAAGACAAGACGAGTCTTCTCGCCAATCCCGGCTTGTTGCCAGCAGTGAGGAATGATGTGACTGCGCTAACGCATATCATTGGATACCTGAAAAAGAAACACTTGCGCGAGGGACCGCTTAAGAACTTCATAATTCGCCGATATGTGGCGTCTATCAACGGAGTTTTGATGGTGTATCCAGGTTCCCAAGTGAATAATCAACTGGAGATATACCAGAGACCGTGGTTTGGCCGGGCTATTGCTTATCCAGGAAGGATTGTTGTCACTGAACCTTATCTGGATGCTGGAGGTGCGGGATATATTGTCACGATCGCTCACACAATTTTCGAGGGGAAGCACAATGCTATGCACAATGCTCAGAGAGACACTCCAATCGGCGTGGTGGCTCTCGATCTCACCATGGGCTTCCATTATAAGCTGGTGATGGAATCAGGTTCCTTTTGTTCAGAAGCTAATGTCAAGTGCTTCCTCATGGAGGATCGCGGATACTTAATAGCACATCCCAGTATTCTAGAACCTGTCACAGGGCTGAATCCGAGGCGACCTCTTGAGCACATCACGCATCGGGAGTCTTTCGTGGCAAATGACATATTGAATCACAAGGATTTGGTGCAGAAAAAGCTGTGCAATGTGTACGCCAATAGAACAATTCAGAGGTGAGAGTCTATTGAGCATGTTTTTGATCATCACATTTAACATATCTCTCTTTTCAGATATTACCAATTCAACATATCTTTGACGGATGTTCTCACGAATGTTGTGCACGGCGAGAGAACAAAGTACCAAATCTCTGTTGTGCCGGGAACTAATATCTTTGTGGGTGTTCTCAACGCGTCCAATGATGGGGGCGCCTTTTGTCCCTGCAGCACTATGGATCGCCTCTGTTTGAATTGTAATCGCATGGAACAGACAGAGTGTGAGTGCCCCTGCGAGTGTCCTCTTCGCTATGAGTCTCTTGCGAGTGCCCCAGGAGCATCCAAGTGTGCTCAAGACTCCCAGGAGAGCGAGGCGGAGGATCAGCGATTGGGAGCCGATGGGGTGTGCATGCCTTTTATGCCAGAAGCAGCTACATCCTCTGTCCTAACATATTCAGTGGATGATCTGGAATTGAGGGCATGCGTGAATGTTGTGTGTGATCTCTATGCCACGCAAAATGAGTGCCTGGGCGTCGTGGGATGCGAATGGTGCCAAGTGGATGTGGATGGAGAGACAGTATTCACACAACCTTTCTGCACATCCATGCAGTCATGCTTCAATGGAATTCTGGGATCAGCAACGCCATACGGAGATGCTCAGTTGGGTAAGTGAAGGATTTAGTTAATTCTAAACATTTTACTCTCAATCTAAAAGAATTCACTGTTTTGCTATATCGCCCTCAGAAATCACTTTTTTTTGTTTCCTCTAATTCAGCATGATAAATTGTTGTCTTTCAGGTTCAACCATTGTGGATCCGCTGATTCCTCCAGCATATTCAGCTATTGGTCCCGTGGCGGGAGCCACAATTGCACTATGCCTCGTGGTGGGATTTGCCATGTATTGCTACAGGCAGAATCAGGACCCAGGCGGGGCAGAGCACTTGTACGGAGACTCGCAGGGCGAGAATCAATTAGATGTGCCCATGGCGAGACTTAATTTTGACGACATGGCGCACGATGACGGCGATATGGGCAATAGTTCCAATCAGAACCTCCTACCTGCGCCGGGCACTGGCATCATGATCCCCGAGGTGTCCCCATATCGGGCCCCCTCGGCATGTCGACGTCCCAATGCTGCAGATTCTGATCATGGCTACTCCACAATGACCCCACACGAGGACTCGGAAAATCTGTGCTTCACCCTGGCTGATCCACTGCTCACGCACAAGCGTCTCTCCATGTCAGACTCCGCTTCGATCAGCACCAGTGTTTCCAGTCCTACAAATTGTCGGCCGTTGGGTTTGGAGAGGCACCTCGTGGCGCCTCCTGAGAGCACCACAGTGCTCCCTGCGTCGCCACACCTTGTGCTGGCGCCCGTGACGGTGCATCGACAGATGGAAGCCACCTCGTGATCATTTATGTATCACAAACTATTTTATAGTGCCAAATTTTCATCAATGCTCTCATGCCAAGGGGTTTATCAAACAAACAAGAGGAAACCAGTACAAATTATAGGCATTTTCTTATCCGCATTTAAACTTCAGATTCAGGATTTTCTTAGACTACCAACTGCAACAAGTTTTTTTTTTTCACTTGACAAACCCCTTGCCAAGAGTAGTGTTCTGCATTTAGCATTAATTTATTGCCTTTCACTCGTTCTAAGAAGGCGAGATGAGAAGAGAAACAATCAAACCTTATCAGTTGAATGTCGTGCAAGGAAGCAATTTTTACTATTTTGTCGTTTGTAATCCTCGTTTTACAATCAAGTTAATGTTTAAGTGTATAAACAATAAGGCTGGGGAGAAAGATAGAGAGATTTTATTGTGGACAAGCGGAGAACTGTGGCACAGGAGATCCAATAAGATGGACAGTATCTGTGATTTTGGACACTCACATAATTTTTGCTAAATTCTATTGTTAATTTTTGTACTTAACACACTTAATCACCCAAACATATTGTTTCCAGTGCAGTTCAATGTATTTTTTAGACTTAGAGAAGAACAAATAGAGATATTTTCTGTGTCACTGACCGCTGAGAAGAGTATTTAAAAGCAATTTTCTTTGTAAAGAAAAATAAAAGATTCAGTGTATCGCTGCTTAAATGACTCCTGGTAGAAATTTATTTATTTATTTATGTAAATACCTGACTTCGCTGTCTTGAAAATGCTGATTTGTTCTGGGTTATGGGAGAAAATGTGGCTCTTTAAGCCGAAGAGAGTTTTACGCCTTGTTGGGCTGTTGAGCTGGTGGAGACGCCTGTGGAGGAATCTGATTCACCATCGGCTGCATGGGTTGCTTCTGACCCACCCCGGAGACTTGTTGTGGCGGCGGTTGCTGGAAGTTGGCGGAATTTGGCTGCTGTGGAACCGCGTTTGAATGCACATTCGGTGGCATTTGCTGTGGAATCGCGTTTGGATGCACGTTTGGTGGCATTTGCTGAGGAATGGCATTCGGGTGCGCTTGATTGGGATGCTGAGGAATGGCATTAGGATGCGCTTGATTGGGATGCTGAGGAATGGCATTAGGATGCGCTTGATTGGGATGCTGAGGAATTGCATTAGGATGCATTTGATTGGGATGCTGAGGAATGGCATTAGGGTGCATTTGATTGGGATGCTGAGGCGCTTGATAAGGTCCCTGGGGTCCTGGATAGTATCCCTGTGGCATATTTGGGTGCGGAGGCAAAACCCCCTGCGCTATGAGACGCTGAATCTCCTCCTGTCGCTTTCGCTCAAACGCAAGATACTCTTCATGCGTGTACTGAGGCTGATTGTCAACAGTGTCCCATCCTTCGTCACGCCTAAATTCATCTCTCTTTGTCTGCTCTAAGAATTCATCATAGCTGATAAGATTATCCTTATTCACGTCCGCCTCCTTGAACACATGCTCTCGCATCCTTTCCATTTCCTCTGCGCGCTCCTTCATATCATCTTCAGGCACTCCTGCTTGATACACTTTGTCTAGTTCCTTCACAAACAGCGCCTTCACTTCCAACTCATCCCAGAATCCATTTCCATCCAGATCGTGCATCATGAAGAAAGTCTTGGGATCGAAATCCTGTCCTTCCATATGATCTTGTTTTTCCCACACCTCTTCCAGTTGCGCCTTTCCGCCCGGATGATGCACCTTGTCATGCTTATTATGTTTCTCCTTCATCTTCTTCAGATTCTCCTCGTACTGCTTCTTGTGCTCCTCATCCATCGTCTTCAGTGCCTCCTGCTTCTCGAACTCCTTCTGCATTTCATATCTCTTGAACTCCTCCCGCCTTAGACGATCCGCCTCAGCAAGATCGTTTCCCGCCTTGTGGATAAGTTTCTTCAGGTCCTCCACCTCAAATGTGTACTGATTCGAGTGATCAAGGTGCTGAGGGATCTTCAGATGATCCCTGTCGATGTCATTCGTCATCTCGTACTGCTTTATGGCTAATTGACGCAGTCTTTCAAGTTCCGTTCGCTTAATCTCATCCAGCTTTGTCCTCACGCGATGATTCACATATTCCAGTTCATGGGCAATTTTCCCATTCTGTATATCCACCTCGTCCACATTGTTAAGCTTCTCCCTGAAGTCTGGATCACTCTCCAGAACACTCACAACTTCCTTCAAGTAATTCTGATACTCAAGGACGTTCTGGAAGTAAAAGTAGTTCCATCAAGCTTATGCTGCATGATAATTTCATCAGTTTCTCAGAAAATTACCTCAAGATTCGATCGTGGATCATTGGGATCGTACTCCTCCTCATATCGTGGCTTTTTCACCTCTGGCACTTCCTCTTTCTTCTCGTCAGCCTTCTTGTTGGGCGTCACTGGAAGCCCAAAAGCGCCCCAGATCGTCATAATTGTCACGATGAAAATCACCAGAGACATTCGCTTTCGCATCACAGTCATGGTTAAGCAATATCTGTAAACAATTAAACGTATTCTCAGGAATGCGGAAACCTCCCTAAAATTCTACTTTCAGGCAGAAAAGTGTGGAGAAAGTGATGAAATATGGAACATAAACAAACTTACACCAACTGCGAGATTAAACTCTGTTTGTCACTACGGTCAGTGATAAAAAGTGCTGCACTTTAACCGGGGAAGTTTGGTGGGTGAACAGGTGAGTCACTATCACGCCTTATTACGATAATTTGTAAATAATTGCCTTTATTTCTCAGAGATAAGACTTCCCTTCTCGTCCATCAAAACAATGACGTGGTTTTGACATACAGGTCGCACGCGATTATCGATAAGGCAGAGCGAATCGATGAGATTTTCCCACTTTTTCCAGGGATTCACTAATTTTTCACATATCTAACATTCTCTGGAGAAGAACCAAGAAAACACAAGAAAATGCAAAAGGATTTCTTTTTCCATTGACATTTGTAGAAAATTCCAGGAAATCTTCATCGATTTCGGGCCGCAACTCAAAGAAACGTCATCGAGAGGGCGCAATGAACGCCCCTTGGACACGTCATTTGAGAAGTTGGAAAAGTGAGTTTAGTGCAATTTTCAAGCAGCATTTCCCATTCACTGAATGACCCAATTTGCGTGAAAATCCTCTCTAACCGTTCTGGATATCCTCAAGATTGTGTAATATTTGTGAAAGATGGCCCAAAACCCCACTAAGGCAGATATCGAGACGCTTTTTAATCGTCTCAGGGCGATCGCCACCAATAAAGTGAGTTTCCTCCAGGAAAAGCCCCATGACCAAACTTTTTCCAAGATTTGTCTTTCTTCCTCTGATAGAGCTGCTTCGATTGTGGCCAGAAGAATCCCACCTGGGCGTCTGTGACGTATGGCGTGTTCATCTGCATTGACTGCTCGGCTGTTCATCGAAGTCTGGGAGTTCATCTGACCTTTGTGCGCTCCACGAATCTGGACACCAACTGGACGTGGATTCAGCTGAGACAGATGCAGCTGGGAGGCAATGCCAGCGCAGGCCAGTTCTTCAGGCAGCACAACTGCAACACCACCGATGCCCAACAGAAGTACAACTCCCGGGCGGCTCAGTTATACAGAGACAAGCTGTCGGCAGCAGCTCAGCAAGCGATGAAGATTCACGGGACTCAGGTAAGTGCGTGAGAAGTATGCTTTCGAGGCTTGAACTAACACGCATGGTTGTGTGACGTTGCTTTTTCCCTTTCGGACACGCACAGCTCAATGTTGATGGCAATGTGGAAGGAATTTCGGCCAAGCAGGAGAAGGAAGAGGAGGATTTTTTTGCAGATTGCACAACAAATGGCAATTCCGATGTCCAGGAAGACTATGACAATAGCAGGAGGAAGCAGGTAAGACTTGAACAGAGCCGCTTGGAGTGAGTAAATGCACTAATTTTGCGATAAAGAGAGGAGTTCTTCTCTATGTCTACTAAACTACTTCAATTTTCATTTCAGTTTGATGAGCCTGTGGCTACAGAGAGCGCCCCAGCGGTTCGGATGACAATGGAAAACACTGGAGCGCCGAGTGTGGACTTTCTCAACTCGACAGTGCCTATTGAAGCGCCCAAATCGACAATTGGCGTGAGGAAAATTCAGCCCAAGAAGGCGGGCATCGGATCAGCGAAGAAAGGTGGCTTGGGCGCGATGAAGGTGAAGACAAACTTTGCTGACATCGAGCAGAGAGCCACGATGGCGGACCAGATGAAGGAGGCTCCGGCGCCGGAGAAGAAACTCACAGTCGAAGAGGAGGCAGAAGCGATCGCCAGCGTGAGACTGGCCTATCAGGATTTGTCTGTGCAGAAGACACGCGAGGAGGAGCGTCTGAAGGCCACAGATCCAGCCAAGGCGAAGCAAATGGAGCGCCTGGGCATGGGTTTCGCGGGCAGGAGTGCCGTATCTCATTCAGCGGTTAGCGACATGAAGACGCTGAGTGAGGAGAAAGCGCCTGCCAAGGCGAAGAGTCGCAGCTTCTTCGATGCAGACGCCAATGATGGGGGTTTCTTCGATGATCTGCTGCCTATGTACTCCACCAGTATGATTGTGGGTGGGAAGTCAACGGCTAGCAAGCAGGAGAAGAATGAGGAGTGGACAATTGTGAATGCTAGCGATGCGGTGGATCCCATCGATGGCGATCGTCCGGTGATTCACACGATGTTCATGCAGCAGCCCACAAAGAGTACGCCTAAAGAGGCGGCGAAGGTGGTGCACAAGTCGTACGACAATGATGAGGCTCAGAAGAAGTTTGGTGGCGCGAAAGCAATCTCATCTGATCAGTTCTTTGGCAATGAGAGTTCCACCTTTGAGAGATCATCCAATTTGGCGCGCTTCCAGGGTTCCAGCAGCATTTCATCTGATGACTTCTTCGACGATGGCACAGGCAGGAGCGTAAATCGAGGTGAGTTGCTTAATTGATAAAGCTTCCGCTGCTTCTGGCCTAAACTAATGCCTGCTTTGGGTGATTGCTTTCAGGCGCAAACTCCCGGATGCGCAGCATGGACATCCGCGGACCGAATCTCGATGAGGTGCGCGAAAGTGTTCGCCAGGGTGTAACGATGGTGGCGGGGCGCTTGAGCACGCTGGCCAGTGAGGTGATGACCACGATCCAGGACAAGTACGGCGGATAGGGATCGGCCACGTCGTAGGCGCGCCAACAAATTTGAAAAATTGAAAATGAGACGGGGAGATTCAGCATAATAAATAGGGCGATAAAATAGGGGTTGATGTTTAGAAGAAAAATTTAGAATGTATTCCGCATTTCTTTTCAAAAGGAGAAAAAATCACATACAGAAGAGCTATTTGAATAAATAATCCGAATGAGTCGTTTATCCACGAGTTGAAGTGTTTAAATCTGCTGAGACGCACTGGACATTGGCGATTTAGCATAATAGAGCCATGAATGCGCCAAGAGGAAACCAGTTTCCACGGCCTTTCACACCACAAAGTGAGAGATTTAACACGCCAATTTCTTCCCAGTGACACTCTTAAGTCTGCCCTGCGATCAGTGAGAGCTGGACAGTCACTCATGCGACACAGTGCCTCAGAAATGGCGAAAATCCTCCTGATTTTTCTCATCGTCTCTCTAGCGTCTGGCCAGACGCCCAGCGAGAAACCGCCCACGCTTCCAGTCACTTACGGTAGTCCCTTCGACGAGATCATCGTGGAGTCCTCCCTGAACATCCGCAGGAAGCCCACTCCGGTGCGCCAAACGCGATCACTGGCGGAGATGCTGAGCGGCGAGACGTCAAAGAAACTGCGCCGAGATGATGGGTAACTTTCTGTTTCACTCTTTTTCTCATGGCCGTGAAGAAACGTGCCCGCGCATCTAATTAACGCACCATTTAATTGACTACGCATACACGCGATTAATCTGATGGCATTCCAAAGTAGGTGCTCATCAGCGTGTCTTAACCCTCGCGTGATCCATTCTCCAATCACAAAAATCTTGATTATGTTTATAATGCGATATCCCGTGTAAAAAAATATGAAGTGAGTCTCTGAAGATTATTAAACATCTTAATATCAGCACCGAAGGGTTAATCGCTTTCTTTGCAGAAACAACTTTCCCAGCTTTGAAAATTTTGGTTCCAACTTTGGGAATTTCGGATCATCGAGTGCTCTCGCAAATGCACATGCTCAAAATCAGTTTTTCGATAAAGACGGTTTCGGCGGATCAGCTGCAAATGCCGGAGCCCAGGCTTTTGAATCGCACGGTCCTCTGGGCAGTTTCGGAGCGTCGGCATCCAATGCTCAATCGCAAGGTTTCAACGTAGGTCCCAATGGATTAACTGTGAGTTGCTGACAATCTCCGCAAGACAATGTTCTAATGGGATTTTCTTCTATAGGGCTCGGCTGGATTGTCCGGAGGACAGACATACAATCTTCCCAATGGTCAGACCTTCAGCTTTACATATGGCAATACAGTCTCCTTCGGTCCAGATGGAAAACCCACAGTTTCCCGCTCAAATTCTGTTGCCTTCTCATAGAGAGATTAAAGTCCCGGTCAGTTCATTGGCCATTTTCGCGTTTTATTGCCCACAGGAGGAACTCTAAAGATTATGTCACCGAGACGTGTTCAAGAGAATATTGATTAGCTTCCGTGTACGGAATATTAAGTGTATCATCTTCGATTTTGTCTATAAAAGGCAGAATTCTTGTTCTTCTTTGTCAAATGTGTTTCTTTGTGGTCTTGCAATGAGGTTCTTTCTGGTATTTGCCATATTTGGTATCTCTTTTGCTGCTCCTGGTAAGATTTGTATCCCTCCCTGGGGAGATTGGCTACGTGACTTATCGAAATTGCTTCCAGGATATTTTTTCCACGGACCACCGGCTCATCAGAGGTTTCTCCTGTACAATCAAGAACCTCTGCAGAGACAAATGACTGTTCAATATCAACCTCAGTGGATGCATCAAATCTCATCGATGCCTGATGGTGGAGTCTCAGCTTTTGTGACTGGCAATTCAGGCTCTTCGAGCACTATTTTTCAACCAATTCCATCATTCACCGAGGAATCCATCGCCAAGGCTGAAGGAGTCACAGAAACACCTAAAATTGATCACATCTTGGCCGAATCTGAGGAGGATCAGGAGGATTTCCTTGAGAAGAGACCTCGCCCAAGGCCACCCACTCCCGAAACTTACTTTCCAGCGACTTTTGGATCTGCCAGCGGCGCTGCCATTGCCATCGCCAACAGTTACAGCACAGGAAAAGGAGGAAGTGCCGTGAGTCACGCAACAGCTTATGGCAATCCAATGGAGAAGATGAAACCCAGAAACGTTGAACTCTCTTCTTGAGGGGGATTTTCCTCCTAAAATTAACATGATGTCACAAACTATAATTCCTTGCATAAACAAGCATAGACAAATCTCTGAGATTGTTAATTGATTTGCGCGTCTCGTCGTTTTGTCCGTGTAAAAAATCCCCTCCGGCTCAGCTTGAGAGCTTTTCCCAAATATTTGCTACTTGTCTTATTCACAAGTACCCAAAATTCCAGCAAGAGCGTCATAGTATGATATTTTCATATAAATAGAGAAATGCTTGATGATCTATTCGGCAGTTTAAAATGAGATTCTCAATCATTTTCACTCTTGGGATGCTTTTTAGCATTGCCCATGCGCGTCCTCAGTACTTCTTGTTCCCCGGATTCAGTTTCCTGCCCTCTGGAAGTTCATCATCAGCCAATTCCCACGCGTCCTCGCAGTCAGCAAGCTTTGGCGGTGGAATTGGACCAATTTACGGTGGATTTTCCGCTTCCAATTCTGCTGCACAATCTTCAGCGTCCTCAAATTCCTTCGGAGGATTCCCGTGAGTGATGAACGGAGTTCTTTTAGTGCTATTTTACTCACAACTCTGGCTTGTTTGCAGGTTCTTCTTCGGCTGATGATTATTTCCGTGTCTTCTCATTCTCACCTTCTTTGACCGCCTCAAATCGTCACATTTTCATTAGCATCTCTACCGAGATTCTGCTGATGATGCAAAACTCTGCCGGTTTGGCCTGGAGTCGATTCAATCACCAATCGACGTGTTAACGGCAATTTACATAGAAATAAATTTGTTACTTCATAACAGTTGGTTCTACGTCTCTTGTTGATGTTGCTGGCAATTTCTGCCCTGCCTGGGGTGTATAAAAAGCGAATCTCGTAGACATTCTAAGTAGTTTCCGTGAATTTTCAGTGAAAATGAGAGTTGCTCTGTTCTTCCTGGCCATCCTCTTGGCCATTTGCATCGTAACTGCCTATCCACACGGTATTAGTGATATTTGGTAGCCCTCGGCAGTGCTCTAAATCTCAAGGATTGTTCTTCCGTTCTTCCAGGATACGGAGGCGGTTACGGGGGAGGAGGCTATGGGGGCGGCTATGGAGGATATGGTGGAGGATACGGGGGAGGAGGAGGCGGTTATTATGGGGGCCGTCGGCGTGGTGGTTACGATGGATATGGCGGACGAAGAGGAGGAGGCTTCGGTCCACCAGGACGAGGTGGGGGCTTTGGTCCCGGCTTCGGGGGAAGTGCATCGAATTCCCAGGCCAGCGCTCAGTCCAACACTTTCACATTCGGCGGACAATTAAGCAGTTCTTCCGCCAGTGCAGGCTCCAATTCATTCGGCGGAGGCTTGGGCAGATAATCATTCCCGAGTCGCCCTTAATAAAACTCTCTGTTTATATTACAAAATACATGACTTACGGCTTTATTTCTCAAGAGGGGCGTAGTTGAGGAGTTTTTCAATCAAATCCACATGCCCCAACAGCATTCTCCGGCAGCAATATCGCTTTAATCCCAGAGCATCCAAAGCATCTCTGCAGAGAGGACAAAAACAGGATTTACAGTGGAATTTTTATAGAAAATATAGCCGTTCTGCTTACCCCTCTGTGTATTCTGCCTGAAGGAGTCCTAAGTAAGCTTCCCACTTGTTCCCAATCACCTTCCCGCATGTGAAGCAGCGAATTGGAATAATCATCCTAGACAGTCTCCAGAAACTTTGCGACTCGCTTTGAGGTTATTTTCTAAAAACACAAATTGTCGTATTGAAATGATTGTAAATCAATAAAACTACACTCATTTTAGAAAATTTAAATTTTCCTCGAAATAAATCTAATTCGACAGAGAAAATTACTACCTTATTTCCCAGGAAAATGGTATTTTCCGCAGAAAACGCTTTGTTTACTCTTCTCACCTTGACAGTTCTGAATTGAGGTTAGTTTTCTGGGCATCTGCCGGATTGTGGAGTTCTGTGTGTGAAAATGTCTGACGGTTGGGATGAGATCCAAGCGCTGAAGAGTAAGAGAAACAGTTTAAGAGAGCGTCTGGAGAAGCGGAAGAAGGAGCGCCAAGATATTCTGGGTGTAGGAGTCGGTTCCTCCTCAGTTGGGAGTCCTGGAGCGCAATCCGGAAGCGGCGAGGAGAAGAAGACTCTCGTTCCGGTGATTAAAATAGATGTGGGTGAGTATTCTCTGTATTTAAAAGTTGGTTTTCAAGGATATCATGGCTTTGTTTCATCTTCAGATGCCGAACCGGAAATTGAGAAGAGTCTTCTGCAGATTCTAAGTGATATCAGCCTTATTCTGCCACTGAACTCACAACAGTTGTCCCAGAAAGTGGCCAAGATGACACCTTGCTCGGCTGTAACAGTGTCTTTGCACTATTATCTACAGAAATTGGCTGGCCAGAGCGCAATCACAATCAAGGATGTCAGTATAGACACGGAAATGGGCTATGAAGTCATCCAGGTTGATCATGGGACTGTTCTGAGGCTTTATCAAGATCTTGCAGGAGATGCAGACAACTTGCCCAAGTCTGCGGAGGATGGTACAAAGAGGAAGCTGGAGGATGACGATTCAAAGCCCGAGAAAATGGTGAAGACTCCGTCTGGGAGTGAGAAGAAGTCTTCTAATAAGGATTGTACCGACATAATGTCCCTTCTGTCGATGCCATCGACCAGAGAGAAGCAACACAAGCAAGTTGGAGAGGAGATCCTCGAACTCTTGTCTAAACCCACCGCTAAAGAGCGCTCCTTGGCTGAGAAGTTCAAGTCTCACGGTGGAGCTCAAGTTATGGAATTCTGTCCTCATGGCACGAGGTCAGAATGCGAGAGGGCTCATACAGCAGAAGAGGCAGACTCTCCAGCCGAATGTAACAAGCTCCACTTCAAGAAGATTATCCAGGCTCACACAGATGAGAGTCTGGGTGATTGCAGCTTCCTCAACACTTGCTTTCACATGGATTCCTGCAAGTATGTCCACTATGAAGTGGATTCTATGGATGCTGTGCGCCCTGATGCATCTCCGGGACGCCCTGGAAAACGCTCAATTGATCCAGCAGCTACGATGTATCCACCACAGTGGATTCAATGCGACCTCCGCTACCTAGACATGACGGTTCTCGGAAAATTCGCAGTGGTGATGGCCGATCCACCCTGGGACATTCACATGGAATTACCTTACGGTACAATGTCTGACGATGAAATGAGACAGCTCGGTGTTCCTGCACTCCAGGATGACGGACTCATCTTCCTCTGGGTCACAGGACGCGCCATGGAATTGGGCAGAGAGTGTCTGAAACTCTGGGGCTACGAACGTGTGGATGAGCTTATTTGGGTGAAGACCAATCAATTACAGCGAATCATTCGGACCGGAAGAACTGGTCACTGGCTGAATCACGGCAAAGAGCACTGCTTGGTGGGCATGAAGGGCAATCCAACGAATCTCAACCGGGGCCTAGATTGCGATGTAATTGTAGCTGAGGTAGAAATTCTCACGAGTTCTTAAGATCAATTCTTTATATTCAGTCTTTGCTTTTCAGGTCAGGGCGACGAGTCACAAACCAGATGAAATATATGGCATCATTGAGAGACTGAGTCCAGGCACCAGGAAAATCGAACTCTTCGGGCGGCCCCACAATGTACAACCCAACTGGATAACGTTGGGTAATCAGCTGGACGGTATTCGCCTGGTGGATCCAGAATTGGTCAGTCAGTTTGAGAAGCGCTATCCCGACGGAAATTGCATGGCGCCCACGCCGAAAACTGGCCCATAGCCTCACTTCTGCCTTCCCGCCTTCTTCAGCAACTGCTCATGTTGCTGTAGGAAATCCTGTTGACGTCCAATCACACTTCCCGGACGCAAGATCCTCAGCCAAGCGACTGCTTCCAGAGCCGTGAAGTCAGTGTGCTTGATCAAGAAGGCAGATATGAGTGTTCCTGTGCGTCCGAGTCCTGCATAGCAGTGAACAGCAACAATTCCCGCCTTTTCTGCAATCTTCAAGAATCTCTCCATCAATTGGACAGAAGGTGAAGTGCAGTCTTCGAAGTACATCTCATGATGGACAATACCGTTTTGCTGCAGTCTGGAAAATAGACAGATTTGAGAATTAGAAGTGTTAATCCGTAATTCCTCACAGTTCTTACATTTTAGGATCATATGTACACTCTCCACATCTCACAACAGTTGTAATGTTGTTTTCCATAAAGAATTTTATGTACTTCTTAAGATTTAACGGTCCCTTGGAAATTCCCAGAGGTGCAGGAAAGGCTACAAATTTCCCGGGCACTATCCAGGTAATATCTCCACCTTCTGGGCTCTGCAAATGCTTATACAATGCGACATTCCACGTGTCTAAAGAAAATATCCCGGGAATGCTAATTGCTCTCTGAAGAGCCATTAGAAAATACTTTAGAGGAAGTCTAGACGCTGAATCCATGTTTGTTGTGTCCCGAAATGGCACCAAACCCTGCCTGATTCCTTGAAAAGTCCGTATAATATCCTGAATAGACATTTTAAGGACAAGTATAGCGAAAGCTCCTACGAGAAATGCTGCATTTGTCAATTGCTCTGGTGAATTTTTATTCACAAACAGAACGATAATTTTTTCGGAATGTTTCTTCTTCGAGAGCAAACTTCTTAAATTGCCACTAAATTCAAAAACCTGAGCTAAGTTTGGCGGTCCAAAGTATCCTGGGAACCCATGAAAATGTTCTGTAATACCCAAAAATGCAGAACAAAACACAATTTGGCGATTGCTTCTCGGATGAGTTCCATTTTCCAATGACACCAAGCTTAACCGACCACTAATGATCTCGCTGTAAAATTTAACTTTACTCATGGAGAGGTTGAGAAATTAAATGATTTTACAAAAATTTATCTGGCTCAGCGAACAATTTATTTATCCGCTTGTTATTCGAGAATCCTTAGTGAACTTTAATTTCAAATTTGAAATCGAGGCATTTATAGAGGCTTTAATAATAATCCAAAAATGTTTCATCAAATTTCAATACACGATGCGACGAAGAAATTGATTAAAAAAAAAATCCTAATTTTGACACAAATTGCTGATGCAGCCGACCATCTCAAAGCGAGCAAAATAGAATAGGATCGCCGCTGGTGGTGTTGAGCTGGATGAGAGAAGCCCAAGAAGACCCCACGGGTCGTTTTACTCTCATTCTTGCACTGCACTTCAGCAACGATCAGTATTTGCTCGACTCCCGCCAAAAGATCACCGCTGGTTAACCCTCGAGTGCTGTGGAGGTTTTTTGCCCGTCCAGCTGCTGACGAACATCACCGGTGTTTTGAGCATGATAAAAGCTGCCATGGAAATTTTTCGCACTGCCCCGATGTTTTGGTAAACGCTTTTTGCCCTCACTGCGCCTCATTACAGAGTCTGTACATGTCTTTTTGCAGGCGCACAGATTCGCGCTGAAATGTATTTTTCTGTGATTCCGAAATATGGTGAATGTTTTGATGGTCAGTTTTGGGCGATAAAGTCGCGGGAAAATCGCATTAATTGGATCGTGGGTCCACAAAGGTCTCCGGCAAGCAAAACAATTTCTGACTTGAAGTGGTTTCGTCTAAGCTATTTTCGGCTTTACACTCTCTTTCTCTTCATCTGATAATTGTGTGATTGTGTATTCACATGATGACAATCGATCACGAAATTGTTCAATTCTCTCAGGAGGATTTTCTCTGTTTCCAAGCTCACACGTCGCGCCACTGCTAACCAGGGAAATCCCAAGAAAAGTCAAACAAACTCAAGAATTGTCCCCTTTTGGTGTGACATCTCGAGATAAAGTATATCTCAAACAATTCTTGATGAGGAATGGGCTTCACTCAAATTTCTCTTTATCGCGAGAACGCACCTTCGCCAACGATAACGATGGAAAATTCAAATCCCACGTAGAAAAACCCTGGCGTAGAGAATTTCCCAAGCATTTCTGATAACAAATCCGACGAAAACAATCAAGAAAGACGCTTAAGTGCAATTTCTGAGTAACTCGTCGCCACTAATCCACATAAACTACTCTCCAAATTAGACTCGAAATAGTGCCATATACTCTTGAGGTGCTGTTTCAAGTGGGCAAACAATGATGAAATAATCACACATCTTGAAGGACAATCAATGGGAAATTACTGGAAAAAAGTCTCCTGCTGCGCGCGAAAAACGCTCCGGGAGAGCGAATGACTTTTTGTCGTACGCTCTTATCAGCTATGAGTGCTTTTATCAGTCCGCGCGATCCGGTGCAAACCTGATCGCCAGACACTTCCACAAGTGTCGACCCAATTTAGTTGGGCCGCTCCGACATGGTGGCCTCCGGACGCCCCCGATAACGTCCGCCACAGTGCGCGGATCACCGGGAAAAACCATCCTTTTGCGGGGGAGCCCATAAATCAACCTGGCGTCGAAGCTCAGACTCTAAAATCCCCGCAATTGCGATAAGGCGAGATGAAAAACTTGCGCTGATCCGGTTCGAAGTGGCTTCGAGAGACAGTACTCGTCGGATCTGTCGCAATTTCTGATAGGGGGAGAAAAATCCGGGCAAACACCACGAGCGACTTCTTGGGAAATGCACACATACTTTAGCTCGCCTAATTAATCCCAGATTTTCACCTTCTTTTGCGCAATATCACTTTTATCAGCGCAACTCAAAGACAATGTAGTGAAAAAGTGAGGAGAAATGCATGATATGCGCAAAACTTCGAGGCTTTTCACATATTTTTGGCCTCATGAAAGAATTGTGGAGCTTTTTCAGAAACACGTGAAAGATTGTGTTCTTTTATCAGTCATTCCAACACCTAATGATTCTCTTATCAAAACACTCTTGCGCAGACTGTAAGTTAATGGTTATATGAACCGTTGAAGGTACCACAATGATGCCCATAAACACAGGCAAAGGGATGAATATACGCATATCAATTTCTCTATAGATTCAATGGGCAAATTCTGACAAATGATTCAACCCAGTTGTTTCGTTAGAATCAATTCAATGAGAAGAATTCGATACACATTTCAAAGTTACTCACTCTTCTCGTTGATTTGTATTTATCTTTTTTCCCGATATTTGACAAATTTTCTAAGACCATAATACTAATTAATAATATTAATATATATATATATTTGATATATATATATATCAAATGTGTTTGCATAATCATTCACAACGCTCAGAAATTCATGATAGTCTTTTGGTCTAAAATACATCACACATTAAAAGCCAAGCCCCTTTGTATGCTCCGCCCTTTTAATATTTACCAACTTATCAAGAAAAAATACCTTCATGTGACTTTTTACATTTCCATTGAAGTCTTTTCCATTGAGGTTTCACCGTTTATCGTCTAAATTTACGCGCAATTGCAACAAGAGTTGCGCCTAAATTGTCAAATCTACGAGATTAACCCATGTGATAGGCGCACACTTTTGTGTGCCCCCAATTCAGAAATGCCTCTTTGCAATTTTCTAGTTTATCATCTCCCGCCAAAAATCCACACTTGTATCACTCTTGCTTATCAGATGAGAGATTATTTCCTGCTCCCAATTCGATGTGGGCGTCCTTCACCCCAAAAACGGCCCCAAAGAGTGGACAATCATGCTGCAATCGAGTGAGACAGGAGGTTCGCGCTATCAAAATTGGAAGTGAGGAAAGATGGCAAAAAAGTACGCCGATTCTTCGAAAAGCCACTTTTATCATGACTCGCGGACGTCAAAAATAGGCTGTGACGCACATTCTCCTTGGGGAGCATCTCGGTGTGACTCTCAAGGGGACTCTGAAGTCGATAAGACAATTATATGATGCCTGCGTGGCGTTCCGGCCACTCAGACGCCCGTCGAGGGCGTCCTGGGAAGTCATCCAGGTGTTGCGCATTGGCTGATGAAATCCACACAGTGAATTTACCATCACAATTGCTGATTGTGAGAAAATCAAGCTGGAAAATAGCAGAGAAGATTCACAATATAGACAGTCAATGTGGGAAATGTAAAAGTGCTGCCGATAAGGCTGACCCCAAAAGGACGTGAGAGCAGCTAAACTGGATTGGAGGGTAAAGTGCGCGCCGATCAATTGTGCCCCATCGCACAATCCAGATCTCTGGAGGGCTTCGGCATGATCACCAGATCGGCGGATGGGAGGCTGCTGGGGAGCTGAAAACTCCCATCTGAACTCAGTGACCCCACACAATCCAGCTTCAGCCAGACCTCAAGCCTATTCACTCACATCTCTCTCTCTCTCTCTCACACTCTTTCCCGGTTTGGCTTTCGCGATCGCTCTGTGGCCGGGATTTTATGTGCGATAATTTCGCGAATGCTCAGAAACCTAATCCTACCCCCATGGCCCGGATTAGCACTTGGCATACTTGCACGCATGAAGCAGGCTTTTAAGTCTGGGGAAAACCGCAATTATCGCCAGTGAGAGTGGTGCGTTGGGATTAAAAGGTGATTTCACGATTTAGGTGGTCTATTTCTGGGCTCCACTAGCCTCCAAAATTACGTGTCAGTGGCGCGCTCTTCTGCGCTCATTTCATAGGACAAAGTCCAGTAAAAAACCGAGTCACTTCCTCACCTTCAGGCACACTTGTTCCAAAGATCAAAGATCTCTAAGTGGCGGGAGTGGAAAGTTCAATATTTCCAGACGACACAGATTCCAAGTGCGTCTCCCCGGCTGGTAGTAAAAAACAGCCAATGGAAAGCATTTTTATCTGACCGCCTTTTTCCCATCACAACTCTTGACAATCTCAAATAGACTATGTCGGGGATGAACAATGTTTGTCGAGGGATTTCTTTGAAACAACCCGGAATTGAAGGATCGTATTCGCAAAAACTGTACACAAGCACCTACTTTACTTTGTTTACAGGGAACTGAGATGTTAGGGTCCAACTCAAAGTGATATTATAATTACATTATGAAATTCACAAATGCAAATAAGCGTAGCAAGAGACTTGGTATTAGCATTTGCGTGCGATTTCTCAATCATCAGCGGCAGTCTATTAACTTTTGGTGTACAGTCCAAATATGTCAGGTGGACAATAAGAATACTTCTGATATTTCCTGTATTTATTTAAAATAATTAACCATCATATATACCTAAATTCAACACATCACAGAAATGAAATGTGATGTAAAATCATAGCTTCTCACAAACATTCTCTTGACGAATTTCAATGATAAGACTCCGCAGAAGTGATTTAAATTGGATCGCATATTATTTTCGATATAGGCAAAGTCTAATGAGGCAGCAACAGTTCAATAAATCCCAACATTATCTTAACTGCCAGATCAGCTTAATTGCCTATCTCGCTGCCCCCCTCATTGTCAAGCATCCCGAGTGGGTTATCAATGTGATCAGTGTGTCTTGGCGAGCCGGAATTGTTCCGCAGAGGGCAAGACATTGAGCTCTCCCGCCCAGGAGATCAAATCATGACAACGAATATTACAACACTGCGCTCGGCGGGAGGAAGCCCGCGGCAAAAAAGCGCCGCGACTGGCGATAGCTTATCAGCGACGATTGGAACACATTTTAAACTGTTGTCGCACTCGAGCATCAGCCAGTTTGTGTTGTTCATCCAACTGTGTTGTGTGCGCGAGTGTAGCGTGAAAAGATGCTCACGCAGAATATGTATAACTTCAGAATGGGATATCCACTGTTCTACCATCCTGTGGACTTCCTGCCATTGACACCCCCGTACGAGTTCCCATCGTACGGATATAGCGGACACGAGGAGCCCATGAGGTCCGCCGGAGAGTCGTTCTACCCACAATTTCCCACGCCGCCACTCTCCGTCTCACCACGCGCTCCAGTATCCAACATCAGGACCACATCAGTGATCGTCAGAGTTGAGGATCTCCGCAGCGGAGAGGCGAGATCATCGGATAGCGAGGATGAGACTGTGTGCAAATGGGAGCAGTGCAACAAGTAAGTGAACCCCATGAGATCTTGGGTTGGGCGGACCAAAGTCCCCATCGTGTGTGTGATCAAAGGTGAACAACGGTGAAGACCTCGAACGATGTAACCGCTTAATCCGTGAGGGACTCAACAGATGGGTATTAGCAGGGCAATTTTGATAAGTTCCCCAAACGCGGATAAGATCTACGGTTACCCTGACCACACACCAGACAAAATACGCGATAACGCCTATCGCAATAACGTCACATCTCGCGTGAATCACACTTTTTGCGTGGAAAACTAACACTGATCTTGATCTGTTGCAGGACTTTTCGGAATTTGGAGAGCTTAGCCAGCCATGTGAATCAAATGCACGCCCACTCTGGACCTGGCGGTCTCTACTACTGTAAGTGGGAGGGATGTCCTCGCTCCGAAGGTGGTCAGTGGCGAGGATTCAATGCCAGATACAAAATGTTGGTTCATGTCAGGACACACACCAAAGAGAAGCCTCACCAGTGTCCGGAGTGCGACAAGAGCTTCTCCCGGGCGGAGAATCTAAAGATCCACACCCGCAGTCACTCAGGGGAGAAGCCCTATGTGTGCCCCGTGGAGGGATGCAATAAAGCCTACAGCAATTCCTCAGATCGCTTCAAGCACACCCGAACCCACGAGACAGACAAACCCTACATGTGCAAAGTGCCAGGGTGCCAAAAGAGGTACACAGATCCTTCATCGCTCAGGAAACACGTCAAAACCTTCAAGCACACGCCCGAGACAGAAATCAAGGTGAATGTGAAGATCGCCGCCTCTGAAAACCTCGAGGAGACAGAACCACACCCCAGGAGATATCCAGAACAGCCCACCGAAGATCCGCCAATCTACCGAGACTTCTGGTATCGCGAGGCCATTAAGGTGGAGCACATGGAAATTGATCTCCCTCTCGATCTCAGTCTCCACCGGAGCAAATAGTCCCCTGGATTTCCCACCTAACTTAAGAGCGCTATTTAATTTTGTCGTGTGATTTTTCTATGTGTTCTCTGTATCCATTAAAAGTGTGATTATACCATTGACTTTGTCTTGATGACGAATCTTCCATGGAAGTGATAAAGCCCACTTCCGCGCATTCTTAAGCCCTCTTCAATGACCTCAGTTATTGCGAAACAGAGCAAGATTATCTAGACTGTTGCTTATCAGAAGCGTCAATTCATCATTGGCAGCAATATATTCCGGAAGAGATTGTAAAGGCCAGACTCACCTGTCTTCATCCTTCCACTCTTCGGTGGCTTTTCATGTGGATGTAAAGTGCCACGTCCGTCTTGAAGTCTTTCTCACAGGTTCTGCACTTGAAACTACGTTCGTTGGAGTGACTTTGGCGATGTCTTCGACACTCAGCCAGAGTTAAGAACTTCTTAGGGCACATCTCACAGGCATAAGGAAATTCACCAGTGTGATCTCTTCTCACATGCCTGTCGGAAGAGAAGAACAGTATTAATAAAATCATATCATTTTCAATAAATCAAATTAGGTAAAATACCTCTTGTAGACGTGATGATAAAGGAACTCCTGACCACAATGGCAAGTATACAGAGGCTTTCTCGTGTGGAGTTTCGCCACGTGATATCTCCTGGTGTGTGGCGAGACGAACTGAAGTTCACAGTGAGGACAATCATAGTTCTTTGTCACTTTAGGCCCATGGACGCGTTTCTGGTGTTTCCTCAGCGCCCCTGGTGAACTCAGTGTTCTTCCACACTCAGGACACACTTGAGGACTCTCCGTGTGACTGCTCATGTGGACAGAATATGAAGTACCCTTTATAATCTTTCCACATTCCGTACAGAGCCACTCTCTGTGCACCGTTCGGAGATGTTTCTCCAAATTAATAGGGCCCTTGAAGTCTTTCTGGCACTTTTCGCACGAAAAAGTCTTCTTGCCCACTCTTTCAGGTTCAGGCATTTCTTTCACCATCAACTGCGGTGGCTGATACTTTGATATCTTGTGCAAAATCCGCATATGCTTCTTCAGAGCCCGAATATCCTTGTAGATCTTCCCACAATCTTCGCATTTGGGCACAAAATCATGAATTAACTTATGTCGGCCGAGTTCTTTATCTGAGAAGAACTTCTTCGGGCAAAGTGGGCACTCCACGTCTTGCTCTTTTTCATGCACCTTCCGAATGTGTTCCCGGTGAGTGCTGTGGTATTGAAAAGATTCCTCACAGAAAGGGCACTGATGGATTTTCCTGTTGAAGTGAATAAGGTTCACATGTCGTTTTCGGGCGTTGAAGTTCTGGAAAACTTCTTGACAAATTGCACATTTATATTCATTTCCGTGACGATGGCGAGACAGATGAGACTTGAGACTGCCTCTTGTTGAGAGAATCTTCCCGCATTCCCCACAAGTGAAGCCTGTTGTGCCTGCGCACTCTTCATCTCTCAGAGGGCTTTCATCATCCACAAACTCTTTAGACTTGAAGTATTTGATGTTTCTGAGGGATCTTTTCTTGAAATTGCACGCCGAGATGAGATTTCCTGCACAATCTTGACAGATGCTTCTAGGAACTTCCAAAACAGATTTCTCCTCCTCATTCAGTAGATATCTGAAGAAGTCTCTGTAAGTTGAATCCACTGCGGTAGGAGAGTCTATATCCAGAAGATTTCCCACCTGACTCAGGCAGAAAGAGCAGAAAATACTGATATTCTCTCTGGGAAAGTCTTAAAAAAGAAAGGTTATGCGAAGAAACAAAAAGAAAAGTCTTGATTACCTGGTGGGTTCTCCTTTTCTGTATTCTCGTCAAACATTCTCGGTCAACGTCCAGATCTGCAAATCAGTTATCTACAGATTTCCTGGGAATCCTAGCAGATCCCTGCAATTTCCACGACAGTTGCGAAGCTGCGCCAAAACATTGGGTGTATTTCGTTACTTTTCTCCCTACTCACTTGGCGTCGCTGGCGGCACGATCGGTGCTCGATGTGATTTTTCCACTCTGTGTTTTTGTGCAAAAACCCCGATTTTTCTCGAGAATTTACTGAACAATCAACGCAGAAACATTTCACAACAAGTAAGCTTTTGATTTCCTCCATTATCCTTCAATGGTATGACGATTCGGGGATGTTGCACAGGTATTTCCCAGCAATCATAACCTCACTCTGTGCATTTGCACCCCCCACGCATACAGGCTCAGGTTTGGGGAGAATTTAAATCAATATTTTCTCACTGCGGGAAAGACTTTTCCCATTCGAACTTTTGTGTTGTTCGCGAGAGGACCATGTGGAGGGTCGGGTAGAAATCGCAGTGAATTTTGCTCAAGTCTACAAGGAATTTCGTCCATCTGGTGTTAAGAAATGTAAGTGTACAGTTTTGGAGGGAAAAATGGGGAGATTTTGGTGGGAAAATGGTGAAAGTGACTGGAAAAATGACGATTTCCCACAGTGCCCAAGCGAATGTACTTGCAGAAAAACACTTCTAGCTACCTGAGGGTATTGCGGCTTTTAGCAAATCACACGATTGGCGGGATGAGAACAGAAGAGCCTTCGAATAGGATTATAGGGCAGGAAGTTGAGCATGAAAATAGGACGGAAGTGTGTGGGTGGTGAGTCTGTGCTGAAATGCTAATTGCGTTTATTCTCCATTGTCCGTGAGGGCTTTTAATCGCTGCCGAGAGGCACCTTCAAACTCTGTATCCTTGTCAAAGACACTCAGATCGACAAGGACACAGAGGCTCATCACCACTCACGGAGGGGTTTTCTTGCAAATCCCCCCACGTGTTCGCCTTCATACTGTCTTTTGGCCAAGGAATCGCGCGAGAAAGTGTTTTGAAATTCGATCAAAATTGTACTGACAAGGATTTATTTATTTTTTAGTCTCTCTGTTTTGAGGAACTTTCCCGGAAATTTGAGCTGCGCTCTTTAACATTTCGTGGGTTTTTGCCTCTACTTCTCCAAACGATAAGACGTCGTTTGGGCTATAAAAATATTACTACAATCGATGTCAGAAGGTCAGAGGAAAACTCGGACCATAAAACTTATGGAAAAAAAACTAAAAAAGGCATCGAGAAACTAGGTAAATCATAATTTACGATTCTCTAATCGAACGCGAAGCGTTGTAGTTAAAGAGGTTAGTGGAAATTAGCAGGATTTTGCTCCCTAGTTCTGCCCTGGTATTTGTCTCCCGGAGACTGAATGGAAGAGCTTTATTTACTCTCCAGCCATCCGAATTATCTGTAAGGGAAGAGGAAACGGTTATTAAACCGATTCATTAATCTAATATATGTGGTCAAGAGGCAAAAAATGTGATCACATTCATCTGTCCACCTTTTGTCACTTGCCCAAGTCAGAGTCCTCCCACTTTCTCATCCAATCTCTCAGCTCAATCTGAAGCGCAAAATTCAATTAGCCAGTTGACGGAACTGCCTCAAGTCGAGTGGTTGTGTGTGGTTTTTGATCCCAGGAATGTTTGTACAAAAGGTGTGACTTGTGATTAATTAACATCACCACAATGTGATTCATTCTCGAGATCTCTGGAGATTTTCCACCACGTGGATTTATTGAAGCGCACGTTTTCCCATGTCGCCACAAAGTGACTCCACGAGGCCCCCAAATGCAGCCTCGTTGCGTGATCTTTGACTATATTTGACTCTCCGCGCGACACACGCTGATTTATCACATTCAAGAGTTTTCGCCTCATATATAGAGCACGCATCCGATTTGATTTTCTGTCACTTCTTGTTCCATCCCTCCAGAGATTTCTCGACTCTGCCACGCAAAAAGGAAGACACAGCGTGAGGAAAACATCAATTTCCATCCAAATTTGTTTATTTGCTGTTATTAGATTAAAACGATTTTGCATATTTGAGGCAGAAAAAATAGGTACAGTGATATTGGATGATGTCTCATCTTTTGCGGGCACCCATCAAATTTTGCCTCCCGGTTTATTGTTGGGGGAAATGGTATTATCTTTTGAAATAATGTGGAGCGAACACTGGGGGCGGCATGTAGAGCGTTAAAGGTGAATGCCATTAAATTTGGTCAATCGTATAGATATTTGAGCAATTCGTGAAAATGTTTTATTTCAATTGATGTGATCGTGTGAAGGAACTTATTATAGACCTAGTGATTTGTCTTCAATTTTCGGTGTTAAATTCGAAAGATTTAAGATTAACAATTAAGAAAAAAAACCCTTTAATTATTAAATTATTGTCCTGAGGAATTTACTTTTTAGGATTAAGAACCCTATGTCGTCTCACTAATTTGTTGTAAACTCTAAATTTTTTTCGGTTTATCTATTAAATTTCGCATTTTATCGAAACGCCACATCGAGTGGAGGCAGATCTGGGGAAGAAAACTCAGCAAATATTGTCTCAACCCTTGTCACATTTTGCCCCAAAAACCGTGATGCCAAAAAAACAATCCGTCGTCAACCCATTTCCCATTCGAAGAAAGAAGAGAAATACCCTTGACACTCTCCAGAGCCGAGTAAACCCCTATATGAAGCTATTTGTGTAATCCTAATGGTTTTCCGATGGTGTGTTCACCACGAAACCACCCTTGCGATGCATCGCAATGTTGCCGAATGACCACAAAGTGAGATAAAGCGTCGCAACAAAGTGGCATAAATTGCTGACCATTTGCTTCGTTGTTTGAGCCAATTTGTTTGAGCAATTTTTTGAATCCCCTGAAACACTCAAGTGGATCATTAGGCAAAAAATCTGTGGGAAAGTTATCTTCTCATTAATGCAAATATTGTCCTTAAGTCTGTTGGCTTATACTTCATGCGAGCAACACATGTTATGGGAAGACATGTGAAATCGCGATGCTCGCGTGGAGCAATTTTAATCCCACTTCTGAAAGAGCCCGAGGGTTGCCCTCGGGTGGATTGGTGGGGCCCTGAAAAGCCCCATAGTATTTTTTTGGAAGGCCTGGGCAAAAGTGAATTAAATTTCCTCGCCGGGTCCTTATCTGCAGAAGTGCACACGCGAAACCGAGATTGACAATGAAAATGTATTGAATTGAATGAAAGTGTTCGTCGTGCCATTGAACTACATTCATCTGTCGCTTTATATAAAATGTGGACTCACTAACACACATTGCCCGTGGCAAGCACAGCTGATTGCGTGTTTTTATGTAAAAAGCACACAAAGCAATGTGACAACTCTTTCGGGACGTGCAGCTCAGTATTATTTATATTTTTACCAAGGAAAGTCTCTCTCCTGACATTGGAATCAATTCAAATTGAGAATAGTATCATTTTAGTGTAATAAGAATGACTAAAGTGATGAGAAAGTTTGGCTTATTTATTGTGAATTGGTGGGAAATGAGTTTATTTTCTTAATATCCAGTGATTTTCCTTACATCTTCTCTCTATTTTGTGATGATAGTGTTTTATGTAATGTGGATTAATACCATAGTGCCAAAAAAACTCTTGCATTTAGCATTATTTCGTCGCAATTTAACATTCAATGGTTAACATATACTTCATGCTAGCAACATTATTGCCGGAGACAGTTAAAGCAACTGGCGCTTTGAAGAGCAAACAAAACATGAATGCCACACCGTCTGTTTCGTATCGGATGGTGTGGCGGGGCCTGACAAGCCCTTTATTTTTTTGGAAGACCTCGGCAAAAGAGAATTAATTTTCCTCGCCAGGTCCTTATTTCATCCCCACATGGTTTTTTTTTTACTAAATGTCTGTTTCTCATCAGCTTCACTCACTTTATTAAAGGGGAAGGGATTGATTTCATTTCTATTTCAGCTATTTCATATCAGCAATAAGTTTATTTTGTTGATGGAAAAAAGACAACTAGAATACTTTAAAAAATAACCAATTTGTGTCATGAAAATAATCTGAAAAATTAGCAAGAAAAGCCCAGATAATAAGCCCTCAAATAATATTATTTTTCATGTCCATAAAGATGTATTTAGTGGTAGTCTGAGGAACAAAATATCAGAAGCTCCGCAATCGACACGAAAACAAGAGATTTTCATTGTAACGAATAATTTATTGTAGTGGGAAAACACTTAATTTGAACCCTTCTGTAGCATCGACATCAGAATTAGGCTTCTTTGCTATGTCTTCACTTAAGATTCACGGCGGGAGTGAGAGTCCTAAATTAATTTTTAATTACTACCTCTGACGAAATCCTTTTCTCTGCCATGGAGCTAAAAACATTATTTCCTCTGTGAATTATTCAATTGCTCTGAAAAAAGGTGATTTCTGGAAAAGGCGTGTGTATGAGATTTGTGTTAAAAATAACTTCTCAGATGATTTTGCTTATGGGAATATCTAGAATTGACTGGAAACTTTATTGATTATTACGCGCATGCAATGAAAGGAGATGAATCCCTTACTGCTATAGTTTCAAGCGATGGTATATTTACTCTTTTCATTTCCCTGGAGGCGGAAATGTGGCAATTGGGGTGGGAGAATCAGTGGAAAAATACTTTTTTTTCTCATTGTGGAAATTTCTTGATAGTCAGAGCATGGCTGGATTTGCGGCCCAAGCAGCTCTGCGATCCAAATGGGGCGATCTCGTGGACTCTGGCTCGGCCAGTCTTCCGGAACCTCATGAAGTGTCCCAGAGTCTCAAGAATGTCGTCGGGTGGCTGAAACAGGTGGATGTGCAATCCATTTTGCTTGTTTTGGGTTTATTTTTCTCGTATTCTCTTTTCATTTCGATGCTTTTTATTCGATGTTGCCTCACTGTCTATGGTTCTTGGTAATCCAATCTTCTTTGCTACACTTCCAGGCGTCGATTGAAGTGCGGGAGGCCGGCAAGCGAGCCGTGACGACGTTGCAGAACACTCATCCGTCGAGTGTAATCGCTCGCAAGGAGGCTGGAATGGAAACTTTGGCCGAAAGGGATGCGCCAGTGTCTTCCATCGTACATTGCAACAGTCACTCACCGCATAGGGAGGTCCAGGCCTTGTCCAAAGATGGCATAACAATTCTCCATTTCAACGACGTGTACAACATTGAACCCAACTCGGTGGCGGAGCCGATTGGGGGCGCGGCGCGCTTTGCCACGGCCATTCATAGTTTCCGGGATCTGAAGCCGTTGGTGCTGTTCAGTGGCGACGCCTTCTCTCCCAGCATGCTCAGCACCTACACGCAGGGTGAGCAGATGATCCCCGTGCTCAACGCCGTGAGCGTCAAGTGTGCCGTCTTCGGTGAGTAAATTGAATTGGATGCCATCGTGAATGAGTGGAAAATTTCATTAACACGCTCGCCTGCGAGTCATTCACATTTCTTGCCGCTCGCGCCTCTCCGCCAAAAATGTTTCACAGAGATAATCCAATTACAAGGGTGAGAGGAAATTGGACAGCGGTGTGAGTCTCATCGTCGCCACACCACCCACAAATGAAGCGATAAATTATCCCACAATTCAGTGGGGGTGAAATCTCATGATGCGAGTTGACAAACTCTTTAGCTTCTATAAATTATGCAAATCCGAGAGAAGAAGGATTTTCCACGAGATTCTTTGTTGTCTAGGCCATTTAGTGAAAGTGTACATTTATATTACAAGTTATTTAACTTGTGTTCTTTCTGACTTATACTTGAGAAATGCTGATTAAAGATTGGAATAGTTATGAGATAAAAAGATTTTAACTATCTACAGTCAAAGTTGTTAATTTTATAGAAAAGAAACACTTCAAGACACTCATGCGTCCTTAATGGGAGAATTATCACTTTAGAATTGCAGAATTGAAACATGAAATTGAATTAACAGCGCAGATGAGAGTATTTCAACTCTTCTTTATAAACATTTTCTTTCCTCTTTCAGGCAATCATGATTTCGATCATGGTCTTGATGTGCTTTCCAAATGGGTGGATCGCTGCCACTTTCCATGGCTCATGTCCAATGTGGTGGACAATGAGACGGGACGCCCGCTGGGCGATGGCAAGATCACACATATCATGCGGTATGGCGAGCACAAGATCGGTTTCGTAGGTTTGGTGGAGCGCCAGTGGCTGGAGACGCTGCCCACGATTGATCCCAAGGAAGTCACTTTCATAGACTTTTCCAAAGCAGCTCACGAACTGGCGGCAGAACTGCGAAAGGAAGGATGCGATATTGTCATTGCGCTCACGCACATGCGAACACCCAACGATGAGGAACTGGCCAGACAATGTCCTGAGATAGATCTGATCCTCGGTGGTCATGATCACGTATTCGAGGTGGTGAAAGTTAATGGAACGAACATCGTCAAGTCGGGAACGGACTTTCGGCAGTTTTCGAAGATTGCCATTGAGAACGAGAGAGATGCGGACGGGAGGCTGAAGATGGAGATTGAGAGAGTGGATGTGACTGCTTCCTATTCAGAAGACGAGACGCTCAAGGCGGAATTGGAGAAATACTCGGCCACCATTGAATTGAGGATGGAGGAAGTTCTGGGGACATTTTCTGTGGAATTGGACGGCAGATTTTCGCAGATTCGCACGATGGAGACGAATCTGGGCGACTGGGTATGCGATGTCATCCTGGCGGCCACTGGAGCCGACGTGGTTCTCATCAATTCGGGCACATTTCGCTCTGATCAAGTCCATCCAGCGGGTCCGTTCAAGATGAGGGACTTGGTTAACATAGTTCCAATGCGAGATCCGCTAATTGTGTTGGAGATGAGTGGTCAAGTGCTACTGCAGGCACTGGAGAACGCTGTGTCCGCCTATCCGAAACTCGAGGGCCGCTTCTTTCAAGTCTCAGGCCTATCTTTTGTATTCGATCCCTCTCAGCCACCAGGGAAGCGCGTTGAGGCAGGCCTGGTAAGAGTGGCGGATGAGTGGCTGAATTTGGAGCAGAATTACGCGGTGTGTATCAAAAGCTACATCCACAGCGGCTGCGATGGATTCCACATGTTCAAAGAGTGCAAAGTTCTTGTGAGTCGGACAAGAGAGTCTTCTCCAGCTCGAATTGATGCTTATTCGTTTTTTTTTTCAGATGGATGAGGACTCTTGTCCTGAACTCGGCTTAGCTATTCAGAACCACTTCAAGGCAATCGACGTGAGGATGGGCAAAGGACGTCCTTCCAAGCATCGGCAGAGTCTCGTGACGCTGTCCAGGCGTCACAGCACTGTTCAAATGATGGACAGCGTTGAATTGGACGGCCCGACTCCTGTTCGTCGCATCTCAATGCAAAAGAGCCTAGATAGTGTGCCGAAACTCCTCAGGCGAACATCTATGGACGATCTGGAGCAGGCGAGTTGTCAACTCGCGCCGGAAATTCAGCACAGGATCATTTCCGCGCAGAATTCAGAGCATGTGCAGGAATTGCTGAGGCGCCGCGAGACGCAAGAGAAGAACACAGTCATCAAGGAAGTGGATGAGTACTCTTAAAGAGCGACAGCTACCTTTCGTACCCTGAGTTTTCCTGTTTCCAAACTACAGATGACAATGAATGAAATGGCTTTAATAATGTTTATTTAACGCTAGACGACCTAACTTTTATTGTTCTAAAACCCCTTTTTTCCCCCGTAACAGATGTGCTTCTATTCTTGCCAAAATTGAGGATGGTTAACAGAGCTTAATGGTGCTTTCTGGCCGAAGGTCAGGAAGCGGTGTGATTTAGAGAGAAATGTATTTTTGTACGCTTCTTTTTGGCCTCCCAATTTACCAACATGATATTTCAAAGATATTCAATATTTATTTGGTTTGTGAGGGTGTTTTTCCTGCAAGACATTCCATTGTAAAAATTCTATTTACTCAGTAAAGCGGAAAGCAAACCACTGAAATGGTCACAAATTGTAGATAAAATGCACTTGTGTTTACCAAATAAAAGAAGACAATCCCTGAGGGGATTTAAATTTTAAAGGTCCTAAAATATGTCTCTTTATTCCGGTTTGGTGATTTTCAGTTTTCGCTTCGAACTTTCAGAGGGTTTCTCAATTTCAAGTCTTGGCTCTAAGGTGAATCAGGAGCTGAGAGGGCACGAAGAGCAGTCAACAATGAAACCTCATGGTCATCACAGTAGAATATCGAGGAAATTGTGTTTCGTAAATATAATTTTTCCTCAATTTATGTTTTCCGCTGATTCACATAATTTTCAGTGATGCATTACATCAGACATCGGCGGATTCTTCCAGTGGCGCTCCAGTGAGCACGACAGTTCGCTATCGGGCCACTGAATACCAAATTGTATTATGAGGTGTCGGACGGGAAAAGTGGCATTTTCCCGTGAAAAAAGTATTTCTGCGTAAAAGTGTCGCGTAGAACCCATCACCAGCATCCCCCCACTTCATGCAATCACCATGTTAACACACAAAAACAACCAAGTTGTCCGGAAGAAAATGCAAGTGAGTGGCGACATAACCTCAATGCTGGGGAGGCAGCTCTGGGAGGCGCCCCAGAGGGGGGCAGAAGCTTCGCATTGGCTGCTTGAGTGATTAATGCACGCTTGTGTGGTGTTTTCAGGTGTCGTTCGTGATACGGGACGCAGAGGAGAAGCGCCACAGAAATGGAGTGAATGCCCTACAGCTGGATCCGGTGAATGGGCGTCTGTACTCGGCGGGCCGGGATGCCATCATACGTGTGTGGAACAGCACACAAACGGGATCGCAGGAGCCGTACATCCAGAGCATGGAGCATCACAACGACTGGGTGAATGATATTGTGCTGTGCTGCGGCGGACGCCACCTGATCAGTGCCAGCTGTGATACGACGGTGAAGGTGTGGAATGCCCATCGCGGCTTCTGCATGTCCACGCTCAAGACGCACCGTGACTACGTGCAGGCACTGGCGTACGCTAAGGACCGCGAGCAGGTGGCGAGCGCCGGCCTGGACAAGGCTATCTACTTGTGGGATGTGAACACACTGACGGCGCTCACGGCCAGCAACAACACCGTGACGACGTCCAGTCTGCCCGGTAGTCGCGATAGTATCTACAGTCTGGCCATGAACCAGTCCGGGACGGTGATCGTGAGCGGGTCGCCGGAGAACACGCTACGCGTGTGGGACCCGCGCACCTGCAATCGCCTCATGAAGCTCAAGGGACACACGGAGAACGTGAAGGCACTGGTGGTGTCACCGGACGGAAAGGAAGTGGTGTCCGGCAGCTCAGACGGCACCATAAAGCTGTGGAATCTGGGCGAGCAGCGCTGCATTCAGACACTCCATGTACATTCCGAGGGCGTGTGGGCGCTCCTCACCACCGACACCTTCTCGCATGTCATATCAGGTGACTATTTGCTAATATTGAGCGTATCATAATTTTAAATTCACTAAAAACTGCAGTATTTGTCTGAAATAGGATTTTTTTCCAATTGTTATATTATATGGAAATTATTAATTTTTCCATTATCAACAATTTTCACCCACCCAAATTTGTATCTTTTCAATGGTTTTCTCACAGAATTTGTGGGAAAATCACTATTCTTTATTTACTGCATTTGATAATTTATTCCTAAGATCTAGCTAGAACGAGGAATTCTATTGACGGCTACCTTAAATTATAAAATTATAAGTTCTCATTTATTATTATATTCTTGATACGAATAACTTTTCGACTCTTTTAGGGAGTCGTGATAAGAAAGTGATCATGACGGAACTGCGCAACCCCAGCAATAGTGTGCTGGTGTGCGAGGAGCGCGCCCCAGTGCTTAGTCTCTGCTACAATGTGGATCAAACGGGCGTCTGGACGACCACTTGGAACTCTGACATCCGGTGCTGGCGTCTACCGCGTGCGCATCAGGACAAATACGTCCACACCAACGATTCCACAGCGCTAACGAACGGCGGCACGCCGCCGGCAAGAGCCACCGAGACGACGTGCATTCGCGGCGGGGCGGCAATAAAGAAGTACGCCGTGCTGAATGACAAGCGTCACATCTTAACGCGAGATACAGAACAAAGCGTGGCACTCTATGATGTCCTGAAGGTGACGAAAGTCGAAGATTTGGGCTCTGTGGATTTCGATGAGGAGTTGAACAGGCGAAACCAGAGGATTTACATCCCCAATTGGTTCACGGTGGACTTGAAAACGGGCATGCCGACGATTGTTCTGGGACAGGATGAGGTGGATTGCTTCGCTGCATGGGTGGCAGCGGAATCTGGATTGCCTGAGCATGTTGAAGCGGGCTCCGAAGTCAAGGTGAACTACGGAAGTCTTCTCTTGCAAGCATTGCTGGAAGCCTGGACGCCGCCACATAGCGCTCCGGCCAGCGATTTGGACAACGAAATTAAGGGGAATGGATACTTTTCCGTGCCGAAACACACGCCGCTCATTTTCAGCGAAGTGGGCGGACGCACGGTATGCCGATTGCTGGTCAGAGATGCTGCTGGTGAGAGCGAAAGCGCGCTGTTGCATGAAACGGTGCCGTCGTGGGTCACGGATGTGGTAATCGAGCGAAATATGCCGAAGTTCATCAAGATTCCCTTCTATCTGCTACCTCATCCACTCATGGTGAAGCAGGATCGCATGAAAAAGGTGAAGATTCGAGAGAGAATCGAGCAAGAATTGGAAGCGCTAATGTTTGCTGATTGAATATTTCAGGAGCGTCTCATTGCCAATGAATTCATACCGTGCCGAAAACTGTGTGAACACGTTCTGGAGAAGGTGCTTGGCACCGAAGTGACACCGGGCATTAGCAATGCGTCCAACTCATCCCAAAATAGCCAAAGTGATGCCAATTCTGAGGGATCACAGATCCCGCCAGAGGATCGTCTCGAGTTGCTTTGCAATGATATTGTGAGTATATCTCTTGATATATCGTCACTCTTCTGCCTAGAGAGCCTTTTGAGGGATCCAAGAGGATTTAAAGTCCCTGTTAATCTCCCCAAATGAAGTCGGCCAGACATTAAGAGTGCATTTCTATTGCAGGTTCTAGATCCCAATATGGACTTGAGGACGGTGAGACACTTAATCTGGAAGCAATCGGCTGACTTGACCTTCCACTACAAGACAAAGCCCTTCACCTGAGCTGAAACCGACTGTCCCCAAAAGCCACGCCAGTGAGGATGAAAATGATAAGATATGCTTTGTGGGAAGAAGAGATTGTCATTTATTCTACAATATTTAGAGAACGCAAGATGATGATGATGATGATGAAAGTATGTAATAACATTATGCGGATCAGTTCTTACTGGCTGGGAAGCTCGTTGTGGAGTTCCTTGTACACACGGATAAGTTCTTCGGCGATGGATTTGGGAAGTTCCAATTCTTCAGCTGAGTAAGCATTGGGTAGTTGCAAGGCCACAGCTTCAAGGGCAATCTCGCGAAGTGTGCGCATCCCATGATGAATCCTGGCTACCTGACGGCGAACCAGCATGCGCGAGAGATCAACGGCGCCCTTGTACCAGATCGTTGGGTAGAAGACCTTTTGGCCAGAAACAAACAGGTTCTCCTTGGTAACGGCATCCTTGTAGGTCCATGGATGAGTGCAGAAGGTGTCCACACGGCGCCTCTGGTCAGGCTGAAGAATGCCGAAAGACACCAGCTTCCCAGAGTAGTTGATCCAGAAGATTTCCACCTGACGTTTTGTGGTGTTGTGGAACAGAACGAAGGCACGGTGCGTAGAATCCACGGAGCGAGGCTCAAGCTCCTCCGGTGGCACGGGTTGAACGGGTTGCACAGCAGCTTCGGGAATTTCAGCCATTATCACGTCTTGTCACGTAGCACGAATTTCAAGATAGTCGCAACTTGCTCACAAGGAGGTTCAGCAGGGAATGAAATTGTGCTCACCACGGCCCGTCTTTTATAATCGGTCGTCAACCTCATTTTTCTACCTGAACATCCCTCGGAAGGCGCACAGAGTCTCCTGGCCAAGAGGTAAACAAATGACCTGATGATTGGCACAGACAGTTCTGCTAAAGTCATCAAGGCGGGCAATTTTGATGAGCGGATTAGAAGACTTTTAAATTACCACATCTTAAATTAGAATTTGACTAAATGAGGTTTTGAAAGCCGAGCAGACTGATAGTGTCGAGTTATGGAAGAGAAGATTAATGAATTATAATTCAGAATTCTGGGAAATAACACATTTCCTCCACTCAATCGAAGAGTTAAACTTTTATATCGTGAATTAAGAGAAGCGATAAGAGGAATGATTTTATCGTGAAAGCTGATGTTGGCAGCATTGTGACATTTCGAAGATTGTTTACGTTTTTCCTTGCATTTTGTAGAGAAAATTGCATAAAGATTTTCAAGTTTTCTCCTAGTTTTTTTCTGCAAAACTCTTTAGAAATCCGATCAATTACTAAATATCAACTCATTATATAGTAAATTGAATGATAATTCTACCAAAATGAGTTCCAATATCACGAGTGTGTGCATCGCAATTATTGGCAAGGATGTAAGTGTTTTCCTTAAGGTTTTCCTAGTTTTCCCTAATTCTGTGCATTTACTCTCTCAGAACTCGCCTCTCTTCATCGCCACAACGGATTTAGATCGTGAACTCGAGCTGCATTATAGTGTTCACGCTTCGCTGGACATCATTGAGGAGAAATGCATGCCCGCATCCGGAAAACAGTCTGTTGACTCTCGAGATCTGTATCTAGGGATGCTGTATTCAACTGAGACAGACAAGATGTGAGTTCTGAGCGTTCTAGAGATATTGATAAGATGCCTAATTACTATTATCTGCATTGTTTCAGTTATGGCTATGTGACGAACACAAAAACCAAATTTATCATCGTGATTGACTCAGGAAATTCCGCTCTGAGAGAGAATGAAGTGCGCTCCATGTTCAGGAATCTGCATATCCTCTACACGGATGCTATTTGCAATCCTTTCTACACTCCAGAGGAGCCCTTGACCTCCAAAGCCTTCGATCGGAGTGTCCGGAACATCATGTCGGGGAATGTTTAGTTGCGCCACCGCGAAATTATTCGCTTTCGCAGCTAATCATGCGATAAATTAAGTGGAAAATCAATTGGGAGGGCATCAAAGAGACACTTTGTGAAATCTTTGGCATTCGCAGAGCATATAAAGAGACATTTAGTGACCAAATCAACTGTATTTCCAGTCAAAGTGCGGGACAAGATGGTCAATTTTCGGTTGGTTCTGGTGAGTCTATCATTAGCATGTCTGCTCATTAGAGCACGTCGTTATAGGGATTGCCTAGTCTTTCTGATCCTCTTATAACATTAATTGGGGTCATCATTTTGGGATTTACCCCGGCTTTGTCTCTGCTAACGAATAAGTGTGAAACGATAATGTGCAAGTGACGAAGATTAGGATCACCTAATGAGGGTCAAAGGAATATTCTGGGAACTGCCTATTACTCTTTTCAGTTGCTCTGTCTTGTGGGACTTTGGATTCCCGCCTCAGCAGTTCCAGTGCTTAATGAGGATCCAGCTAATCTAGCGCGAGTCCAGATCCGTGTCTATCGTGGCCCTGAAGACGTCCACACCCATTTCGCGCCATGGGGATACTTTATACAGCAGCCACCGGATCAGGATTAGAGCCGATAATGGACAATAAAAGGCAATAGCGGGCAGTCTAATATTTTATTGATGGCAGGGTTTAGAAGATGAAGCTCTCATATGAACTCTGGGTGCCTTGAGCATATGCCCAGGACGGGAATTTGTCCAGTAACTCGTTAAATTCAGGCGTCCGGAAGTCCTCGTGGAACAGATAGTGGGACACAATGGCTATGTCAATACTTTGAATTCCCTGGCGGAAGATGCTCGGTGCCTGGACAGTGACATTGAACTCCAATCGGCGGAAATAGTTGAAGCCGTAGTTCAGGAAAACGAAATACGTCTCGCGGTCGTGCCAGCGAGGACCTGAAGACGGTACGTGGTCCAAGAGGCTCCATTGAACCATTTCCATTCCGTGGCGTGGTGACAAGAAGATTCCCATGTGGGCTGTGGCAGTCACGGCGAAGGTGAAAGTCTTTCGAGTGGCACCAGGTTCGAGGGTTTCTGCCAGAAGTTCAAGTCCAGTGGCATCAGGAAGCACAGGAGCTGGTCCAGGCATCCATAGGCTTTCTGACGCACGATTGTGCTTCCGCGAGGAGAGCAGCGGCATTCCACAGAAAAGGAGATCACCATCACAAGCATTTCCCAGCGGCTGAGCAAGCGCCAAGTCTGGGATGAAGGATTTCACTGAGGAGGACGTGTGACGATCCATGGAAAGTATGAAATACCCAGAATCTTCCCAAGAAGATGCATTGTTGAAGTCTTGGATCCGCCGATGTGTGTGCTGCGGAAGAAAAGCAGATATTTCACCTAATTCTTATATATTCCGCGGTGAAAACTCACGAATATCCAGAATCTCTGAGGCGCTGTGGCTTCGCGAAAGGGGAAACCAAGTGGTGTGATGATCAGAATAATGTTTATGCACATCCAAAGGAGGAAGATGCTTAGCACAGCTCGAGGATGACGACAGAGAGCGACTAGAGGGATGAGGAAGCCACCCAGGAGTAGAGCCAGAATTGTACAGATCAATCCTACAAGAAGATCTGGATTGCTAGTTGCTCCTCCGCGTCCTGTGAGAGGGATGAGTGTCAGCAGGGCGAGATGAGCTTGCTGGCAATAGAACAGCAGAGGAAGCAGTTGTCCAATAAGATGAACAATCAGCCAGGATCTTCGGCGATTGTGGAAGAGCATTCCATTGATGAAAGCAGTGACGGCGTAAAAGAGTGTCGCCGGAAGAAGAACATAGGATGATCTCAGACCCATCGCCGTTGTGATGATGAGAGCGAGGATCAGAAGGAGGAAGTGGGAGTGGAGGAAGAGCTGCACTCGATGGGATATGGAGAGAAGATCTCTCTTGAAGTAATGAATGTACAGAGTGACACCAGTGCCGATGGCCAGGAGCAATGGGCAGAAGTAGAGGCCAAAGAGAAACCAGGGAATGGCAAACCAGGACATGCTGCGTCCTGCAGAATCCAGAATCACGGCCAAAAGGAGAACCAAAGCTATGCCGATGCCCACAGAAATCGCCAGGATGGTCACACTGACACCAAACTCTGTCAGAATCTCCGTCATTGAGAGGCCAGACTTGAAGGACATGGCTTTTAGGCAGAAGGCAATCACCAGGATTCCAATAGCTGCAGTTAAGGAGTTGATAACGACGCCCTCGTATCGTGAATAGACGACCAGGAACCATCCCAGGAAGTCGAAAAAGACAGCTGGCTCATCACTGAAGGCTTCCACTTCATACAATTCGTAGCTGTCCAGGAGCGATACCAACAAGGCCAGGATGTTGTCTCCAACTTGCTGCAGAACAAATGGTAAGTCCACAATCTCTCAAATTATACATTTACAATTCCTCACCTGATAAGTTTCACTGGGAATAACATCTGGCGTGTCATATTTTGTGTGATAAACGTATCCGTTCGCGTGAAATGCAAAATCCATTCCGGGAATCCTCCCAAAGTCCCTGAACACCCTGAAATCCGAATCCGAGGGCACAGTGCCTTTCTGGAATAATTCCTCCGCAATGGCTGAAGCTCTGGGTCGCGGAGCGGAGATTTGCAGGTGGCGCACTAAGAATGGATGTCCAGGACCGGCCTGGAACATGATTTCGCGTCCTCCAGCACCGGCAGAATCCAAATTCACGAACGCCTTCACTGCTCCCGCCCATTTGTGGCGCGTGATGAAAGCGTGGGCGCCTAGCATGTAATTCTCCTCGGCGCCATTGAAGAGGAATACCACGCAGTGCCGGAAGACTTCAGCGCGAGTGGACAACTTCCGGAGGAGTTCCATCATGATGCCCACCATGGCGGCGGCGTCGCTTCCACCCACAGTGCTGGGAATTGTGTCAAAATGGGAGTTGACCAGGAGGCAGTGGCCACTGTATTCGGAATTAGGGACCGTTGGCGTCATGCGGACTATCACGTTATGAACACCTGCGAAATAGAATTTATAAATTACTTAGGATATTTTCTCAGAAATTACGTCCACCCACTAAACTTCTTCATTGACTCTCTAGCTACTTCTTATTCATTGTCTTGAAATGTTGCATATTCTTTTGGTAAATGTTTACTTGCTTTGAGCGACATCAATTGCTTACCATGATACACATTAGTCATTCCGTAAGGAGTGAACTGCAGTTCAAAGGCTCCTTCGTCAGCTTTCTGGACATCCAGTTCAATTCTGTGCACTCCTGACGCTGCTCTCACGGCAATTCTCTCCAGCTCTTCGTACAGGTGATTCACAGCGCTATAGTCATTAGCTTGGGAGCCCCCAACGCGCGCCCCAAATTGCGTAAGATTCCTTGTGTGCATTTCCGCGCGCTCGGCGATGAAGCGATGCGGATAGAAGGGCTCGTGCTCCTGCTGCAAGGCCGCGGGCAGGGCGTAATAGAGGAAGTGGACGGCCACGAACATGCCCAGCACCACGGCCAGGATGATTGGCGCCGTCCAGGAAGGAATTGTGTAGACATCGTAGATGACCTTCCGCTTGTTGGTGCCCTCGTACCAGCGCTTAACCGTGGTCCTGGCAAAGGTCAGTGAAGGTTTCAGAAAAAGGGTGGAAATTACCACTGAAAAGTTGATAAGGAAATTTGCAAGCGAAATGATTGATGACCGATGACTAAGATTAACTGATAAGTAGTCAATTTGCAATTTCCTCAACTTATGGGAGTATTTGAAAAATTCTACTCTCCCTTTGAACACACATCTTCTCATCGTCACTTGCCATTTCCATCTTTATCACAATGAGCGGGCTCAAGTGTGCCAATAGCGTGATAAAGTGGGTTTGTGAGAGAGCGTGAATTTCGAAATTGATAAGAGAATTCTTGTCATCTTAATCACTACCGCACAGTAATTTACCTAAACTTATCCCACGAGTCCTTCACCATTTTTTAAGAGCACTGATTCTGTCTTCAAACGCCCGCGGAATTGATGATTTCCACATCGCACAACAATGTGCCTTTCGGCCGCGCAATTGGACTGCAATTGACCAAAATACGGCAGCAATTTGTCTTACTGCGATAATCCTTATCGGACTCTCTTATCAAGAGGAAAAGTCGCGCGCGTCGAATGCGATCGAGTGCGGAAAAACGACTGAAGACTCAACAGAGAAGCGAATGTATTCATGCTGTCCCGAAATTGGGGTAATTTTCCTGCCACTGGACATTAAGCATTGCGTTTCACTGAAACTTTCCCATTTTTTCCACAAACTTTCATACGATTGTGCAATGTGAAAGGTGTTCTATCGCATATTTTCCCATGATTTTCACATGAAATCCGAACCCTTATGACGTACACTTTGTAATTGTTTTGCGTGTTGAGGCTATTTTATAAATAAAACCACGCTTGAGGTGAAAAGAAGGGAGAATATTGACCAGAGAATGAGGGTGGAACGCGAGGGTAGGGGCCTACTTACCGCTTTTTTCCTTAGTGGAGTGAATCGTTAGCACATTCTCAAGGGACGGTATCCGCAAGGCTCCAAGAGAAACCAGTGTTTCCCAACCAAGTCTGGGAATAAAGAAATAATATTTGCGCTACATTTAGTGCGCTCTTGCCATCTGTTAGCATTTTGATGGGTCCGCAGAGACATATTTGCAGTATTTGCACAAACAAAGCAAATATAGTTTTTTCCTTCGAACCTCCATTGTAGCAAAGTCGTTTAAGCACAGAAGATTTAGTTATGAAAATTTCAGTGGCATTTGAAGTCGTTCGAAAATATCACCTTCTATATTTATGTATTTATGAAGGCTTTAATTTGTCTGCTTTTTGTTGAAACATCAAGCTCTTAAGAATATTATTTCATACCTATTCCATTAATTTATTACACAAATTTGATCAGCTCGAAGAACAACCTACATTAGAGTCTATGTTGTTCGTTAGTTTGAGAACTTCGATTTCTCGTGGTAATTTATTTCTCTATCTAAAAATCATTATCAATATTAAAGTGAAATTTTATTGATTTAAAAGTCTCATTATCATTTCACTTTGGTACCCAAAAAACCCTTATAATAAAATTAATTAAACTCATAAACTCGATAGCCGACAATCCAGGCTGTCACGTCTGTCCAGTCAGGAAAGGAATCAATGAATCTCCTGAACTCAGGTGTTTTCTCATTGTCATAGTGTGTAAAGTGGCCAGAAACTGCTATAGTCACTTTGGGAGTGTCTGGTGACCAATTATCGGGAGTTTCCAGATCAAACCAGAAACTGAAGGGTCGTAGGACTTTTCCTGCGGTACGGACAATGAAGTGCGCTCTTCGGTTGGGCATCTTAGGAATGCCTACTTGGGGAATTTCTGGAATAAAGCTCCAGTTTTTGATGACTATTCCAGGTGCTGGAGCGATGTAGAGGGTTATTCTGCTGGGTCCCTCGACTTGGAATGCCATCCTCTCAGCGGGGATTTGGTTGGTAATTCTGGTGAGAGTAACTGAGTGGTTGAGGTGGGGTGGAGATGCGGGAATCCAGTGGGAATGGGGCACGTCTCTGGCCATTCCAACTCTGTAGAGGGGAAGACCGCAGAAGATTTCTTCAGTGCAATCTTCTTCAACTGCCACTGCGCTTTCCATTTCTGGCACATAGTCCTTGAGGAAGTCAGGGTAGGAATTGCTATCCATGGGCAGAAGCATATATCCTGCGTCTGTTTTCCTGACATTGTTGTTTAACTCGTAGAAAACACGATCGGTGTGGAATATCCAGTAGCGTTGGGGATTGGTATCTGCTCTGTAGGGAAAGCCAATTGGAGTGGCTAAGAGTATTATGCCCAGAACGCTGAAGAGTCCGAAGATCAAGCCGTAAACCCACCATCGGCGAGTGCAGAGCCCGATCAGAGGGACTATGAAGCCTCCGAGGAAGAGAGCCATCGCGCAACTAAAGACGACGAGAAGTATATCCAAGTCACTCTGTGGTCCAGCTCGTCCGTTCATTGGGACGAATGTAGTGAAGGCGATCGTGCAGAGATAGGCGAAGAAAATAAAGGGCAGAACCAAGCCCAAGATGTGGAAGTAAATCCACCCGATGTGTCGATGATTCACGAGTCGAAAAACTGCACTGATTCCACTAGAAGCGCAGTAGAAGATCACAAGAACGGTCAGGAGATACGCAGATCGAATCCTAAGTCCAGTCATTATGATCATGATGAGAGCCAGGAGTAGAGCGTGAGCGTGAAGAAAGAGCTGTACCTCGTGATTGATGCGGAGAGGAAGTTTCCTAAAGGTGAAGTAGAGACAAGGCCCAAGCGCGAGACCCAGATAGAATGGAGAGAAGTAGATGCCGTAAAGCAACCAAAGTTCCGAGTAGAAGCCTAGTGCGCGTCCTACGGCTTTGTAGATCACCATCAAGAGGAGACACAGGCCTATTCCCAGGATAATTGATAAGATATGAACCGCGCAGATTTTACCCAGTTCCTGCAAAAGGAAATCTTAAATGTCTAAACATGAATTTTAGAAAATCCTGAACTCACCAAAAGCCCCGTTGTAAAAGGAACTTTTTCAGCCTTGGTCATGAGATAGATGGAGAATCCCACGATCACGATTAGGAGGATTGTCAGCAAGCTGTTAACGATTATAGCCACAACTTCGGTGTAGGAAATCATGAACCATCCCATAAAGTCGAAGAATATCACGGATCCAGTCGATAGATCTGCACCCACGTCCAGCTCTGGAGAATTGGCCATTCCCTTGACAAGGGACAGAACATTATCACCAGTATGCTGATAAGTTCCATCAGGAATCACATCAATACTATCATACTTTGTATGATAAACGTATCCGTTGTATGGAAATGCCGTGTCAAGACCTGAAAGACAGTCAAAATTACTGGTCAGATTCTTGGGATTTGAAAATTTCTTTACCCTGAACTCCTCCGAAATCTCTGAAGATCCTAAAGTCCGTGTCTGAAGGCACGAAACCTCCTTGGAAGAGTTCCTCTCCCATTGCAGCTCCATAAGGATGCTTGGCGTATTTGGCGTAAAGATTCAGCAGCCAAGGCGCTCCTGGACCAGCCTGGAAGAGGATTTCTTTGCCACCACTTCCAGTTGCTTCGAGATTAATCAGAGCCGTGATGTTGTGCCTCCAAGGATGACCAGTGATGAAGCCATGAGCAGCCTTTAGCCCAATTTCTTCAGCTCCGTTGAAGAGAAAGACAATGTTGTGACGCATAGCTTGAGGACTTCTTACAATCTTCCTGAGAGTCTCCAGCATTACTATGATCATGATTCCGGCATCCGAGGCGCCAGGACTTGTTGGCACTGTGTCGAAGTGGGAATTGACGAGAAGAGTGGCTGCTGGAGTGGGTCCAGAGCTTGGTTTCACTCTCACGATTACATTCTGGAGTTCGTGATAATAGGCAATTGCGCCAGTGGGCAGAGAACCCAGAAAGAAGCCTCCGTCGTGCGTGCTCACATCCAGTTCGATCTGATGAGCGTGATGACGACTCTGGTCGATTGCCTCAATTTCTCTCAGGAGGAAGTCAACAGCCAGGACTTCATTTTCCTCACTTCCAACTACTTTCTGGCCGATCTTGGTGAACTCGTCCAGCAAATACTTTGCCCGCTCGCCTATGAAATCATCCGGGTAGTCCCTCTCCTCTGCCAGGGTCTTCATTGCGGGCAGTGAGTGAAACGCAACAGTTCCGGCATAGAACATCAATATTCCAATGCCCAGAACTATCGGCGATACCCAGAATGGAATAAGAATCTCTCTTCTGGGTTTCACTTTCTCTTCAGTCTCTTCATTAGCCTCATTATCGCTGTGGAAGATGGAGAGATGATTAGTTAAGGTGAATTACTGGGGGTAATTCAGCTTCTACACCCATTGATAAGATTAATGCCAGTGATAAGATGGCTATTAATTCGTGAAATGCTGACCGCTGATAAACATATCCCAACACACATACACCGGGAATGCAAATGTTCTTTACCGTGTCCAGGGTTGATTCTCTGATGCCCATCGCCTCCTTAAGTCTCTCCCCATGGAATAATCCCTGGAAAGTGTCGATGAAGCATTGTAAAAGCCCCAGAGAGATCGTCTCCCCGGGATGGGACAAGGACAGAAGCCCAACAAGCGCTAAAAACCGACGGAAGAACAATACCTTGTTTGAATGTTGCTTTTCTGGGCAAAATCTGGAACATCCTCAGCAGACGTCCTTGGTTGGACCTCCATTGTGTGATCCGGCTGGAGTCAAAGGTGGATTGGTACTGAGACTGTTTGATTAGATAAACTACGATTGGTGGGAGATGTTGAGAGACGCCGGTGTCGCGGTTCTTCTGACATTCCTTCTCACACGCTCTGCGCGCTCTGCAGCTTCTCGGAAAAAAGCATATATTCCGGCGCATTCAACGGCTTTATTTTCGAAACGTTCAAAACTCATAGAGATCATAAGAGATGATCCAGGAATGGACGGTGCTCCAGGAGGGAAATTCGCTGATCTTCTGACGGAATTCACTGGATTTCTGCTCGTGATACCAGATATACTCGCCACTGACAGCGATGTCCACAATTTTCTCAGTTGTTTGTGGATTTCCATTAAACTTTAGCCAGAATTCGGTTGTATCTCTGGGCTGGGGAACACCCAATCGGAAGTTGGTATAGGTGATGAAATAGACTCCCCTGCCTTGCCAAGCTCTGCTGAAGTGATCAGGAACTGCTTCCTCGAAGCTCCACTCTGCTAGGGTTAATCCAATCTGTGGTGAAATGAGTAATTGCATCCTATCGGGCCCTTGAAGTGTAAAATGAAGGATCACAGCATCATCCTGAACTTCCCTCTGACTCACAGTGAGCACTACTTCGGTGTCTGGAATCACTGATCTCGCGGCTGGATACCAGAAGCTGAAAAGTAGTTGATTATGTGGCATCAAATTGGTCAACAAACACTCTTTGGGAGTACCTGGATCCTACGCCGAAGGGGAATCCGCAAAGAAACTCCTCATTGCATCTTTCAGTGATGTTCAGGGATTCTCCAAAGCTGTCCTTGATCACACTTCGTCCGTGTGAATCAGTGGGAATGACGAAAAAGCCGGCATCTGAGTATCGGACACTTCCTGAGAGGGAATGGAACTGGCGGTTCATGTGCTGAAATGTAGGCAAAAGCTTGAGGCACGATCGCTTGGGATTATGATAAGCAGGGTTGTATCCCACGTTGTCTAGTGGTTAGGATACCTGGCTCTCACCCAGGAGGCCCGGGTTCGATTCCCGGCGTGGGAAATTTTTTTTCACACCATATTCTATTTTAGAATGAGTTTTTAATATTATACACAATCTCAGTAACAATGAGCTCTGCGGAAAATCTTCGTGTAATGAAACGCTGAACCATGAGTGAAGTTAATAATTAGCAAACTTACATAAATGGAGAATCTCTGTGGTGTTTTCCCTTCTCGGTAGGCAAATCCCAGTGGCGTGGCCATGAGGATGATGCCCACAATCCACAGCACAGCAAAGAGAAGTGCTGTGATTCTCGGACTGCGACAAACTGTGATGAGAGGAATGAGGAGGCTTCCTAGGAGTGCCGCTGACAGGATACAGAAGCCCGCCATGAGGAGTTCGGGATTTCCAGATGAGCCTCCACGTCCTTGCATAGGGATAAACGCGGTAAATTGAGCGACAATGTTGGTGGAAAACCACATGAAGGGGATGATTTGACAGGCGAGATGGACAAACATCCAAGCATGAGGCTTGGCTTGCAGCTTCAGCGCCACATTACAGAGGAGACTGATGTCGTAGAAGAAGACAGGGATCATGATGAGGAAGCTGGAGCGGATTCCCATGCCAGTGAAGGCGGAGAGTACGACTATGTAGAAGAGATGCTGGATGTGGAGGAAGAGCTGAGCATTTTGTGGGATGCTCAGTGGATTCCCCTTGCGGAAACCCACAAAACAGGCAGGCCCAATAGCCAAACCCAGAAAGAAGGGGCAGAAGTACAGGAAGAAGAGCAGGTATGATGAGGTGAACCAGGCCATTGAGCGTCCGGCTGCATGGTAAATCACAGCGGCGAGGAGCACCAATCCAGCGCCCACGGCTAGCGAGAGCATTTGGATGATCATGGTGAATCCCAATTCCCTAGCGAACACCAGCACTGAAATCTGTCCCTGGCGGACGAAGAAGAAGCACGAAATGGCCAGGAGAAGCACGCCGATTGTGGCCAGGATGGCATTTATAATTGCACCTGTAGTTTCGCTGTAGTAAATCAGCGCAACATTGAAGAAATCATAGTAAACCACATGACCATCCTCGTGGCTTTTGGTATCTTTCAATTCCTCGCTCCTGACCAGGGACTCAATAAGTGGTAGAACATTGTCTCCAGCATGCTGAAGACTCTCTGCTGGGAAGATTTTTTCGGTGTCAAATTCGGTGTGATAAACGTATCCGTTGTAGGCATAAGCAAAATCCATTCCTGGTATTTTTCCATAATCCCTGAAGACTCTGAAATCCGTATCTGAGGGAATCATCCCTGCCTGGAACATCTCCTCAGCCATGGTGGAGGCATAAGGTCGAGGGACGGATTTTCTGTAGTGCTGGAAAGAGCATAATTCAAATCCCATTCTTTATCTGTGCTTGTCTTATCTCGATTACTTTTTCGCGCTTGTCAGCAATGATAAGACCTGACTCAATACGCGCAATCGACTATGTCATTAGAGCGGTTGGTGGGGAATTGAGTCAGTGAGTGATTTAGTGAGCAAATAGACATCTAATCGGAATTTCAAGTGATCTTATCAGGAGAGACGGGGGTTTTAGGCAATCTACAACCCAATCTACTCACGTTCATAAGCCAGGGATGTTTTGGTCCTGCCTGGAAGACCATTTCTCGGCCTCCGTTGCCCGCAGCCTCGAGGTTTAAGACAGCTCTCACGGATTGCGCCCAGGGGTGCTTCGTTATGAAGGCGTGGGAGCCTTGCAAGGCGTTCTCTTCGAAGCCGTTGAACAAGAAAATAACCGAATGTTCCACATCGGCAGAATATGGAATCATCACTAATTGCTGCAGAGTCTCCAGCATTACAGCACACATAGAGCCATCATCTCCTCCGCCTTCGCTCGTGGGTACAGAGTCAAAATGGGCATTAACCAGCAGAGCATTCTCAGGTATTGTCTGACCATTGGGACGCAGCCTGGCCACAACATTCTTCACTCCATAGTACACAGCGGACACTGCACTGGAAGTGAAGTCAATTTGAAGATTTCCGTCGGCTATTTGAACATCAACATCTATGGTGTAACCAAAATTCCCCGCCCAGCTTTGAATTTCCGTGAGCCAGTCCACGAGCATGGCCACAGTTTCCACTTCATTAGCTCTGCTGCCACCAATCCTAGGACCAAGATTGGCCAAATTCCGGAGATACTCTTTTGCATTTGTTCCACTAAAGCGACCGGAATTCGGTCTTGGGAGACTATTAAACTTGAGAACGGAGATGCAATAAAGGGACACGCAAATAACGAGGAGAACCACTGACCACAGCGATGAGATGCTCCCTTTGCCGGGATCTTTCTCGAACGCGCACACTTTCTTCACCTTGTCCGGTGTCTTCATTGCTCCGAATCAAACTGACTCCATGGGAGTGCATATCACCTCGAGACTCGCTATCTGGCCACTCCATGTCTAGGAGCTGAACAATCGCTTCGATAATTGCCCAGAAACACAGTGAGGAGCATCAAAATAGAGACACCCTATTTGTAGCGATTAAAATTTATTGACAATCAATCACAATCCATTTTCCAAAATACGTTTTTACGCAGAAACTCACCACAAAAGAATTTAATGCTGAATCACTTACGTGAAAGGGGTAAAAACTCGATTTTTTCTTCGCTGAGCGAAATGATTCATGTTGAAAAATTGAAAATCTAAGAGCTGTTGAGCGCGAAGCACAAAAAAGGAGCACTCGTATAAAATTCAAATTTTATAATAAAAGATTCTCATTCACCAATTTTGATTGAATTCTCTTAATACTATTAATATGATTATTCCGAATTGACAGCTAAAGTTGTGCTACTCAATAAAGTTAGGCAGACCCGCGATGCCTAGGAATGTTCTTTTGAATTGCTTCTAGTGTCCATTACCTAAATTGAATGGGTGAATTAGGGAAATTAATAATTGGGGAACAAATGTCGTTACCTTTTCAATTGATTGTTGTGATGATACAAGGATTTTTGTCTTTTGAACAGGGTTTTTGAACTCATATTATTTCCATTTCAGAGAGCATTGGCCTCTTTGGCTCTCACTCTCACTCAAAACACCCTTATCACAGCGTATCATCACAGTCTATGGACGGGGCAAAGCTCCAGGGACTATGACGTCACGGGGAAAGCTTTCGTGCCCCTTCGGAAAGTGGAGCAAAGCTCTTGGGGATGTGCGCAATCGCGGTGGGGCATCAAAAATTCAGTGTGTGGCGTGTTGGGGGAACAGTTGACGGTTGAACTTTGTGCAGTGCGGTTGCCACACAATCTAATCGGTGCCCCCAATTTCACCTGTGTCTCTCTGTGTCTCACCGCGTTCGCTCCCCGGCCCATGCCAGGCCACTCCGGCTGACCTGCCACCGGATGGACGCCAGGCAAGTGGACCTATGCCCGTACTTTTTTCCCTTTGCCATGCTGTGGAATCGATCGCGGGCCGCTGAAAGAGGAAGGAATAGGGGAGAAAAAGAAATGTTATACTGAGTCGTGCAATAACCTAGATTCTCGTCGCTATCGTCGTGCTTATGTCGAGACAACCTCATCCCACTAGGTTCACCCCCACCGTCGCTGAATTACTCTACACGTCTTATTCTACACTGATTTATTTACTTTATTAGTCCGCCACGAGCCCATAAGGCATTGTACACTTGTGCAGGTCTTCCTTCGCTCCTGGAAATAATCAATACATGAGGGATCCCAGGAGTTGGTCTCACTGCTAATTTATTTACCATTTTAATTAAAAATGCAAGTCTCGCGGGGCTCCGAGCCACAATTTCCCTGTTCTTCGCTGGAAAACTCAATTACTGACACAGTGAACTTGTTCATCTGAAAGACGTGGGCTTTGACATTCCTGCAATCTTGGGGGAAGTTTTCATGCGATCTTGTTTCTAGCCAATAAATGATGGTGGGTAGGCAATTAGGTTAGCGACAGACCTAATTGGAGGAAGTCTGGAAAGAAAGAGCGTGTATTTGAAGCGTAAATTAGGAAATTAATCGCATCAATTTGTGTAGCATTAGTCACTCCTATGTCTTCTATGAAGTACGCATTGAAGCATTTACCCATATGGGGAAGGTAAAAAGGCGCTTTTTAATATTCAGTAGCTATGAAAGTTGAAAATCCGCAAAGTTTGCAGACTCTAAATCAAATCTCGTAATCTCGTGTCAGCTTAGCTGAGAAATCTTCATAAATTTTCCCCAAGAATCCCCCCTAATTCGCCTTATTAAATCCTTCTCTATTAGAGGGAAAGAGTGTAGCTTCTTTCCGACCGACATCTGATGATAGCAAATTGATCTCATGACACACACCGAAATAGTGTCAACTTGTGGGGTTGTACACAGCTCATGCGACAGCAATAAATATGACGGCATCACACAAAAAAGCTCCTCTTTGTCACTTCAAGAGCATATGTAGGCATAAGGAGTTTTGTAGACAAACCAAAGCTTCTTTCCGCCCCTTTTTCACACAGTTTTTCTTTGTTGGGTGGAGGGAAAATCTCGGGAAGAAACCGCGATATTCATGGAGTGTCGTCCAATAAATGGAATTTTTCTGTGATAGAGGGAAATATTTATTCCGCCGGAAAGAAATTGAGACGCTGAAAGAGTATTTAAATGGAATAATCTTCTCATTTCTCCGTCTTGAGCGATTTTTCCCGCGGCGCAGCAAGGAGCAGGCTGAAAAGACAGTGGAATGCAAAATGCTGATGCTGTTCTTGCGCCAAGTCGGCACATCAAGTTTAGTTCTAATATTTTTACTCCTCACTGTTTCTCAGTTTGACGCAAAATGTGGTATGATGAAAAGAGGTTCTCATTGAATTTTTTCAACTTTTCTTTTTCTCTGTCTCGTCTTGTGAGCGAATGAAGTCCTGAACGTCGATGGGAGGCGCCCGAATGGGACTTTATGCTAAGAAGATGAAATTCCCAAGACGCTCAATTTGGGATTATTGCACGAAAAGGATTACGAGTGTTGCTCTTTTACGACACCCACTGAAGTCTTATGCCCTCAATGGCGAGAGCGGGGGAGTTTACCGAAATGTCTTTCTCACCACAAAGTGGATTTTATGTTGCACTCTTTGGAACGAGTGCAACTGTGACATTAATTGGTGTGGAAAATCGTGTTGAAATGAATGGAGAAAGTTTGTCTTAAGGGAAGCTGTAAAATGAAATAAAATTAAACAGTAGAACAGCATTTCTTCATTGGAAATGTCTCTCCTCACACGATGATTGATGAGGCGCTAAAAAGTAACTTTTTGGACTGCAGCTTCTACGCGTGACAAACCTGAAGATGCATGAGAAAACAGACCCAATGGCTTCGCCCATCATCACTCTAAGGTGTTAGAATCTGATCTTTATTTCGTGGACTGTATTTTATTTGCGGCTGAAAGTCAAAAAACGTTTTCAATTAATTACATCAACGCTAACCTAAATTTCATCTTACATTTCTTTCTTTTCCTTCAGGATTTCTCCACAAATTTTCTCCACTTTCACTTTCCTCGATATTCTGTTAAATTTCCTGTAAATATTTCATTTCTAATATGTATTAATCAATAAATTATTTCCTTTCCAGTAACTCACGTTCTCCTTCTTGGTCAATCTTTTCTCAAGTGACTTTCAGCCGCGGTATAACAAGAATTCATATCTTAAAAAACTAACGGAATTATAACACTAAGGTGTGTGGCAATTCCAGTAATTTCCACCCATGCTCTTGGCTGGGAATTTCCCGCATGTGGACACATTTAACTCACGCTCCGCCACTCTTCCGGATGACAATGTCCCTCCCCGTGGCGTGAGGGAGACTTTTATGGCACGTGCTTTTGCGCTGAACGGGCGACAAAGCATAAAGAGGAAGAATTTATGAGGAGCCAGTGAAAGTTTCACCCCCGTGACAACTGAAAAGCCTCTCCAAAAGTCGTCATTGAGCGCGTGTTTGCAGCAATTCAAATCACTTTCCATTGTCGACAATTTTCTCCCTACATTCTCCTATAGGACATTGTCATGGAGAAAAGGACGAGCTTGAAATTGTCAATGTATTCCATCACATTTCTGGCCACAAATGGAATTATTATATCCAGCCTAGAGAACACGTGTCGCATTGAATTAATATTTTCTATAAGCACATTTTGCCAGATCGTCACTCAATTTATTGGCTCACACTTTGCCATTCAACATCTTTATTGGAGACCAAGAAAATGTCTATGAAGGCAATAAAAGTGAAATTTAGTGACTATGTTCAATAATGAATACAAATAAAATGATCGAAGAGTTCATCCATATGATAAAGAAGTATTAAAAGCACTTTAAGCTTCTCTTCAGTGACTTAACAGAGAAAGTAATCCTGCAGATGGAAAAATATACTAAGGGAGAGCCGCTAAGACATTGAGATGGTACAAATGGGCGAAAATTGAATTTATTGGGATTTCACAAGTTCACAGAAATAATAGAATCAGCATCAATCAAAGTAAAGACGCAAAGTCACACAAAAGATTCAGAATAATGATGAGTGCACGATAATTAAAACTCTATCGATTCGTTTTTAAGACACACAAGACGGTGTCCGACGAAACAGTCAGACGACAAATTAAATGAAAACAATGTATTTGCTTTTATTTGAAATCACAATTCCTTTCATTCCTTTAGTACACTTTCCAACGATTCTTTCCGTTTTTCTTCCTTTGTTGAGTCTAGATATTGAGGCTAAAGCCGTTTGCTGGAAAACCACTCACATTTCTCGCTGATTCAATTGTCATGTCAAGTCTCATCCCACCTTCTCGAGCGCCCCTTTTCTCAATTGACACTGACATTCCTCGCTGCTTGATTTTTCTTACATTGTCATCTGAATGCCTCACACGACTCGAATTAAGTTTTAATTGGAGCGAAATATGTATGACTCCTCAACTGTAAGTTTTCACTCTGCAGAAACTTGTCTGTGAATCCATTCAATTATGTCATGTGGCAACATTTACACTCTATATGAGTAAATATTTTCCTAGCCATTCAGTGTTCGGGGGAGGAACAATATTAGGTTGCTGGAATGACTTGACTTTGAGGAGTGTATGTGTTACTTAATAATTCAGTTGAGTGAAATTAACAGAAAACTTTCTTCTTTGCAGGAGGCGCGCGATGCTTTATGAACTGTTGATAGCGACTGTGCGGCTCATCTGAGTGTCGGAAAAGGCACAAGGGTGGCCAGCCACGGGGGCCTCCTGGCCGCTCGTGAGTGCTGGTGGGATTTGAGTGCGTGGCGTGAGCATAAAAGTGCCAAAGTGTTGTTTTGTGGGTGCATTTTGTTCGACAGGGGGCCCGACAAAAGCAATACGGAGGGCCTCAGGAGTGCATTGGCCCGTTTGCGACGACATACAACGGGTCCCTCACTTCCCGCCGCCACATCCGGATCCTCCCCGTCCAACGTAAGTACCAACCGTACTTTCCACACATGAACACTCCGAAGGAGTGAACAGTTTATGGAGCGC